AATCCTTAGTTTGGGGGTTATAATAATTTACATTTACATTTACATCATTTAGCAGACGCTTTTATCCATAAGGTTAGACAATAATTCTCATTAAAGCATCAGCCATAATTGTTTGAAAATTACAGGGTATATTATATGAATTGAAATATCCACCTGTATCTGACTTCCATTTGGATTGGATTATAACAGTACATAGCCATTAAGGCCAGATTTTTCTCCAAGATGTTCAAAAGTTCATAGATGACCAGCAGGGTCAAATAATAATTACAGTGGTTGTAGAGGTTGCAACAGGTCAGTACATTAGGAGTAAATGTCACTTGGCTTTTCATAGCCGGGCATTTAGAGGTTGAAATAGCAGGTGTGGTAGAGAGAGAGAGTTGAAAACAGCAGGTCTGGGACAAGGTAGCACGTCCGGTGAACAGGTCAGGGTTCCATAGCCGCAGGCAGAAGAGTTGAAACTGGAGCAGCAGCACGACCAGCTGGACTGGGGACAGCCAGGAGTCATCAGGCCTGGTCGTCCTGAGGCATGGTCCTAGGGCTCAGGTCCTCCGGGATGGGGAGGGAGAGAGAGAGAGAGAGAGAATTAGAGGGTGCATACTTAAATTCACACAGGACACTGGATAAGACAGGAGAATAACACCAGAAATAACAGACTGACCCTAGCCCCCCGACACATAGACTATTGCAGCATAGATACTGGAGGCTGAGAAAAGGGGGGTCGGGAGACACTGTGGCCCCGTCCGACGATACCCCTGGACAGGGCCAACCAGGCAGGATATAACCCCACCCACTTTGCCAAAGCACAGCCCCCACACCACCAGAGGGATATCAACAGACTACCAACCTACTTCCCTGAGAAAAGGCTGAGTATAGCCCACGAAGATCTCCTCCTCGAGCCCGAGGGGGGGGACAAACCGGACAGGAAGATCACGTCAGTGACTCAACCCACTCAAGTGACACACCCCTCCTAGGGACGTCATGGAAAGCACCAGTAAGCCAGTGATTCAGACCCCATAATAGGGTCAGAGGCAGAGAATCCCAATGGAGATACAGGAACCGGCCAGGCAGAGACAGCAAGGGTGGTTCGTCGCTCCAGTGCCTTTCCTTTCACCTTCACACCCCTGGGCCAGACTACACTCAATCATAGGACCTACTGAAGAGATGCGTCTTCAGTAAAGACTTAAAGGTCGAGACCGAGTCTGCGTCTCTCACATGGATAGGCAAACCATTCCAAAAAAATTGAGCTCTATAGGAGAAAGCCCTGCCTCCATCTGTTTGCTTAGGAATTCTAGGGACAATAAGGAGGCCTGCGTCTTGTGACCTTGTAGGTATGTACGGCAGGACCAAATTGGAGAGATAGGTAGGAGCAAGCCCATGCAATGCTTTGTAGGTTAGCAGTAAAACTTTGAAATCACCCCTAGCCTTAACAGGAAGCCAGTGTAGAGAGGCTAGCACTGGAGTAATATGATCACATTTTTTGGTTCTAGTCAAGATTCTAGCAGCCATGTTTAGCACTAACTGAAGTTTATTTAGTGCTTTATCCGGGTAGCCAGAGAGAAGAGCATCGCAGTTGTCTCATCTAGAAGTGACAAAAGCATGGGTTATCTTTTCTGCATCATTTTTGGACATAAGGTTTCTGATTTTTGCAATGTTACGAAGATGGAAAAAAGCTGTCCTTGAAATATTCTTGATATGTTTGTCAAAAGCGAGATCAGGGTCCAGAGTAGCGCCGAGGTCCTTCACAGTTTTTTTTTGACGATTGTACAACCATCAAGATTAATTGTCAGATCCAACAGAATATCTCTTTGTTTCTTGGGACCTAGAACTAGCATCTCTGTTTTGTCCGAGTTTAAAAGTAAAACATTTGCCGCCATCCACTTCCTTATGTCTGAAACACAGGCTTCCAAGGTAGGACATTTTGGTGTTTCAGAATGACATCACCAAGAGGTAAAATATATAGTGAAAACAATAGTGGTCCTAAAACAGAACCTTGAGGAACACCGAAACTTACAAATGATTTGTCAGAGGACAAACCATCCACAGAGATGAACTGATATCTTTCCGACAGATAAGATCTAAACCAGGCAAGAACTTGTTCATGTAGACCAATTAAGGTTTCCAATCTCTCCAAAAGAATGTGGTGATCGATGGTGTCAAAAGCAGCACTAAGGTCTAGGAGCACTAGGACAAATGCAGAACCTGTCTTCAGGAAGGCAGTGAGTTGCTGCACAACAGCTGTTTCTATGTTTGAGAGGAATGGGAGATTCGATATAGGCCGATAGTGTTTTACATTTTCTGGGTCAAGGTTTGGCTTTTTCAAGAGATGCTTTATTACTGCCACTTTTAGTGAGTTTGGTACACATCTAGTGGATAGGGAGCCATTTATTATGTTCAACATAGGAGGGCCAAGCACAGGAAATAGCTCTTTCAGTAGTTTAGTTGGAATAGGGTCCAGTATGCAGCTTGAAGGTTTAGAGGCCATGATTATTTTCATGAATAGAGGAGTCCGTAATTTGCTTTCTAATGATCATGATCTTTTCGTCGAAGAAGTTCACGAATTCATCACTGCTGAAGAGAAAGGCATCCTCTCTTGGGGAATGCTGCTTGTTAGTTAGCTTTGCGACAGTATCAAAGCTAACTGTGAACACATACTATTCACAGAGTCAGGTTACAGTGTGTGTGTCATTACCTGTATGTTGAGCTGTAGGTTACATATGGTGTGTTATTACCTGTAGGTAGGCCTAGAACTGTCCCACTGGGTACACACTGGTTGAATCAACATTTTTTCAAATCAAATGAAATTGTATTTGTCACATGCGCCGAATACAACAGGTGTAGACCTTACCATGAAATGCTTACTTACGGGCCTTTAACCAACAATGCACAGTTTTTAAATAGTACGTATGAAAAATGTGCTAAATAAACTAAAGGAAAAATACTAACACAATAGTAACACAATAAAATAACAATAATGAGGTTATATACCAGTACCGAGACAATGTGCAGGGGTACGGGTTAGTTGAGGTAATTGAGATAATATGAACATGTAGGAAGGGGTAAAGTGACTATGCATAGATAATAAACAGAGAGCAGCAGCAGAGTATGTGAAGAGTGTGAAGGAATGTGAATGTACTGTATGTGTGTGTGTGTGTGTGTGTGTGTGTGTGTGTGTGTGTGTGTGTGTGTGTGTGTGTGTGTGTGTGTGTGTGGCGTCAATATGCATGTGTGTGCGTGTTTTGTGTGTGTGTCCGTGTGTGTGTTGTGTGTGTGTCTGTGTGTGTGTGTGTGTGTTGGAGTGTCAGTGTAGTATGTGTGAGTGTGTGGTTAGAGTCCAGTGAGTGTACATCGAGCCTGTGCAAGAAAAATAAAATAATCTGGGTAGCCATTTGATTAATTGTTCAGTAGTCTTATGGCTTGGGGGTAGAAGCTGTTAAGGAGCCTTTTGGTCCCAGACTTGTCGCTCTGGTACCGCTTGCCGTGCGGTAGCAGAGAGAACAAACAGTCTATGACATGGGTGGCTGGAGTCTTTGACAATTTTTAGGGCCTTCTTCTGACACCGCCTGGTATAGAGGTCCTGGATGGCAGTAAGCTCGGCCCCAGTGATGTACTGGGCCGTACGCACTGCCCTCTGTAGCGCCTTGCGATCAGATGCCGAGCTGTTGCCATACCAAGCCGTAATGCAACCAGTTAGGATGCTCTTGATGGTGCAGCTGTAGAACTTTTTGAGGATCTGAGGTCCCATGCCAAATCTTTTCAGCCTCCTGAGGGGGATTAGGCATTGTCGTGCCCTCTTCACGACTGTGTTTCAACCATGATAGGTCCTCTGTTTATTATCTATGCATAGTCACTTTACCTCTACTACATGTACATATTACCTCAATTACCTCGACTAACCTGTGCCCACGCACATTGACTCTGTACCGGTACCCCCTGTATATAGCTTCGTTACTGTTATTTCATTGTTGCTCTTTAATAAAATAAAAAATATATATATTCATTTATTTTTTACTTCGGTTTATTTAGTAAATACTTTCTTAACACTTATTTTTCTTAAAACTGCAATGTTGGTTAAGAGCTTGTAAGTAAGCATGTTGTATTAGCCGCATGTGACAAATACAATTTGATTTTATTAGATTTTTGAAAGGTGTGAGAGTTTCATAGCATGGTTGCTGCGGAAAAAGGAGGAGGTCAAAGGGGGGTGAGTGTAACCGGTGTGAAATGGCTAGCTAGTTAGCGGTGCGCGTTAGTAGCGTTTCAATCGGTGATGTCACTCGCTCTGAGACCTTGAAGTAGTTGTTTTTGCTCTGCAAGGGCCGCGGCTTTTGTGGAGCGACGGGTGCTTCGAGGGTGACTGTTGTCGATGTGTGCAGAGGGTCCCTGGTTCAAGCCCAGGTAGGGGCGAGGAGAGGGATGGAAGCAACACTGTTACATGGGCATAATGAGTGGCGCAGTGGTCTAAGGCACTGCATCGCAGTTCTAACTGTGCCACTAGAGATCCTGGTTCGAATCCAGGCTCTGTCGCAGCCGGCCGCGACCGGGAGACTCATGGGCGGCGCACAATTGGCCAGGGTAGGGGAGGGAATGGCCGGCAGGGATGTAGCTCAGTTGATAGAGCATGGCGTTTGCAACGCCAGGGTTGTGGGTTCGATTCCCACGGGGGGCCAGTATAAAAAAATATGTATTCACTAACTGTAAGTCACTCTGGATAAGAGCGTCTGCTAAATGACGTAAATGTAAAAATGTAAATGTATAATGTATGTGTGATTATATTCCCATTTCCCACATCCCTGGGTGTGTATGATCACACCTTTCCTCCAGGGCAGAGAGAGAAAGCGGGGGAGTGAGGGTAGAGGGGGAGGGGAAGGTAAAGGAGAGAGAGTGAAGAGTGAGAGAGACTGAAGAGAGCAAGATTGAGCAGACACACCCATTTTCAACACCTAGGTGAGGCACAGCAGCTTTGAGGGAGAAACAGAGAGAGTTAGAGAAATTGAATTGAAAGGGGGAAGGGCAGAGTTGTGCAACATTGGGTGTGGCTATCTTCCAGAGGGGAAACGATAAGCAGAGCTAGCTTGGTGGAACTCACTACACTCTTTCCCTTGCTCACACACTCTGCATATACAAACACACACAAACACACACAAACTCCTGAACCCAATCAGTCTCACTCTGACTGGACGAAGAGAAGGGAGTGGGAACAGCAAGTCTGAGAGAGCAACCGCGTGCCAGCACAGAGAAACAAGAGAGTGAGGGAACAACCAAAAAAGAAATTAGACATGAAGGACAAAGTGAAGAGAGGAGGAGGAGATCAGGGAACGTCAGGTGAGAAAGAACGACCTTGCTCTGGTGTCTGTTTCACAACACTCTTCTCTCTTTCACTTTCTCCCACTTCCTTGTTTTTCCATACGGTCTCTCTCTTTTTCTCTGCTGTTCCAGACTGCCCTACAGAGGGCTGTTGTAGCACTGCTGGTCTGCTGTAGCCTGGTTCCAATTCAGTCAAACTGTTGTTTTCTTGCCAAATGTGCTGGTCTGCCAAAGCAACAGTAACAGTGTGGTATTGTTGAAGGCAGGTAGAGAATAATGACCGGAGTCCTGGTTGTATAGTTTTCAACATTTAAGCCATTTAGCAGACGCTCTTATCCAGAGCGACTTACAGGAGCAATTAGGGTTAAGTGCCTTGCTCAAGGGCACATCGGCAGATTCTTCACCTAGTTGGCTCGGGGATTAGAACCAGAGACCTTTCGGTTACTGGCACAACGCTCTTAACCACTAAGCTACCTGCCGCCCCGACACTACCAATTGCTAAGCCATGTTGATGAAGGAAACAATGAAGGAAATGTTCACCTGTCTGATTTTTGAAGTCATCATCATGACATTCCTAGGAGATGCAGGAATGTACATAATACATCATCTCTGCTCTGTGTCATTCCTCTTCATCACACCACATGTCTCTCTGCATGCTACAGTTTATTGTGCCCTTAGTCCAAGGGGGGCTTTTCTCCCTCTTCCTTGCTTGCACACACACACACACATACACACACACACACACACCTCTTTCCATACTTGTGTAGCATATTTCTCATGGCAATGACCCAAGTAACTAAATACGCACACATCTGCCTCTGTGTTACCCTCACCCAATACAGGGGTGGTGTGTATAGAATGAGGGCATTTGTGTGTTTTCTCATGGATCCATACCTGTGTAGTGAGTGATGGTTTGTGTGTATGTGTGTGTGGGGGGGGGGGGGGGTGTATCTCCCCTGTGAGTATGCATATCACCAACCTCTAATATAATGGTACAACCAGAGCTGTAGAGTTGTCAGACTTGGTTAGGCAGTAAAAGGTCAAAACTAATTAATTATAGTAAGAGTTCAACCTGGAATGTGTTGGGAGTGTAAACCTTCATCAAGTAGGAATGTTAGTGGTATGTGTGTGTGTGTGCGTGCGTGCGTGTGTTGGTGTGTGTGTGTATGAGAGAGAGAGAGGAGGGCAGATGTTATTGGCTACAGGTCTGGTGGCTCTTGGCCGGTGGAGTCGAGGGGAGTAAAAAAACAAGAAAAAAAGCGGCAAAGGTACTGTTTGTCCATTTAGAGACGCCGTAGCCAAAATAGTCAGAATTAATCTAAGATAACCTAACTGTTTTGCGGCTGGGAAGCATTATGGCGTCTGCATGCTTCCCAGCCGAAACAGTTCGTAAGAGTTTTGTGACGTTTTCTGTTCGTTTTGGACTTCAGTAAGGGTTTTTTCGGCTGTTCGGGCACACAAGATTTGTTCTCGAGGCAAGCCGAAGTCGGTAGCCGAAGTCTACGCCCCTTCGTAGGTGATTGGTCAACAGGAAGGATTCTTCAATAAAGTCTTTGTTGTAATTCAACAAGAGACGACTCGTTTTCATTAGTTAGATGTAGAATTGCGCGACTAATATCTCCTCAGCAAAAACATCAAAATGAATGATAGATTTCTTGAGTTATATTGAGTTGTTTATTTGTCTGAGAAAAAAACACTTTTCAACCTATATGATCTAGTACACAATAAAAGTATAATAAAACATATACAAATATGATGATGTGACAAATAATAAGAATGAATAAGCCTTTTCATACTTTATAATATGTCCATAAATAGTTATAATCTGTTTTAGGAACATCTACCCAAAATATTTCACATTCTTTATTACTTTACCAAACATATCATGACATTAGCAGTCAAAATCTGTAAAATTTGTGAACGTCTAAATCAACATTTGGGCCATTAAACAGCGTGCATCCCTCCTATAGACAAGGGGAGAAGGGCTATGTAAACGGCTCGATTTTGTCGTTCTGAGCCTATGCAATGTGTCTGCCTCCGACACATTATTTTTTGAATTCCATACAAAATTACTTCTTAACTTATTTTAGGTTTAAGAAAGTGTGTAGGTCGCATTCTTTACAGTAGCACTATTCAAGTTATGTATTTAGATCCGCCTGCTCGAGACAAATTCAGCGATTGCTTTGCCATGTCTGCTCCGTGAAGCAGTCGAGTTGGATAAATGTTTTTCTAAGGACCGCCCCTTTGACATGACTTCGCAGTGAAATGATATAAATTGATGTAATGATGCAGCTGACCACCAGAGGGAGGCAAATACACGTTTATTTGACAGAGGTCCTTTACATGGTCCTAGGATGTCTGGATTTGTGTCTTCTGACCTATAAAATGGTGGAAAACCAATCCAATAAGTCATGTAAACATATACATATAATTCTAGTGCCCAATTTTGGGGACTGTCAGTTTAAGAGGTTTTGTGTAAGTGCACTGTCCATGCTGTAGTACTTGAACAGGTCTGTGTGTGCCATAGACTATATGGTGTGAGAGTGTGTGTCGGTGTGTGTGCGTGTGTGTCTGTGTGTCTATGTGTTGGTGAGTGTGTGTAGGCATTCACATGCCAGTGTTGGGTGTGGCAGTCCCTTACCCCTGAAGTGACATCACTGCTTCAAGGCAAATACTGCCAGCTCAGACACAGACCCACCCCTCACACATGCTGGGTCCTGCTCTTGTCTGTGTGTACAGTGGGGGAAAAAAGTATTTAGTCAGCCACCAATTGTGCAAGTTCTCCCACTTAAAAAGATGAGAGAGGCCTGTAATTTTCATCATAGGTACACGTCAACTATGACAGACAAAATGAAAAAAAAAAATCCAGAAAATCACATTGTAGGATTTTTAATGAATTTATTTGCAAATTATGGTGGAAAATAAGTATTTGGTCAATGACAAAAGTTTCTCAATACTTTGTTATACACCCTTTGTTGGCAATGACACAGGTCAAACGTTTTCTGTAAGTCTTCACACACTGTTGCTGGTATTTTGGCCCATTCCTCCATGCAGATCTCCTCTAGAGCAGTGATGTTTTGGGGCTGTCGCTGGGCAACATGGACTTTCAACTCCCTCCAAAGATTTTCTATGGGGTTGAGATCTGGAGACTGGCTAGGCCACTCCAGGACCTTGAAATGCTTCTTACGAAGCCACTCCTTCGTTGCCCGGGCGGTGTGTTTGGGATCGTTGTCATGCTGAAAGACCCAGTCACGTTTCATCTTCAATGCCCTTGCTGATGGAAGGAGGTTTTCACTAAAAATCTCACGATACATGGCCCCATTCATTCTTTCCTTTACACGGATCAGTCGTCCTGGTCCCTTTGCAGAAAAACAGCCCCAAAGCATGATGTTTCCACCCCCATGCTTTACAGTAGGTATGGTGTTCTTTGGATGCAACTCAGCATTCTTTGTCCTCCAAACACGACGAGTTGAGTTTTTACCAAAAAGTTATATTTTGGTTTCATCTGACATTCTCCCAATCCTCTTCTGGATCATCCAAATGCACTCTAGCAAACTTCAGACGGGCCTGGACATGTACTGGCTTAAGCAGGGGGACACTTCTGGCACTGCAGGATCTGAGTCCCTGGCGGCGTAGTGTGTTACTGATGGTAGGCTTTGTTACTTTGGTCCCAGCTCTCTGCAGGTCATTCACTAGGTCCCCCCGTGTGGTTCTGGGATTTTTGCTCACTGTTCTTGTGATCATTTTGACCCCACGGGGTGAGATCTTGCGTGGAGCCCCAGATCGAGGGAGATTATCAGTGGTCTTGTATGTCTTCCATTTCCTAATAATTGCTCCCACTGTTGATTTCTTCATACCAAGCTGCTTACCTATTGCAGATTCAGTCTTCCCAGCCTGGTGCAGGTCTACAATTTTGTTTCTGGTGTCCTTTGACAGCTCTTTGGTCTTGGCCATAGTGGAGTTTGGAGTGTGACTGTTTGAGGTTGTGGACAGGTGTCTTTTATACTGATAACAAGTTCAAACAGGTGCCATTAATACAGGAAACGAGTGGAGGACAGAGGAGCATCTTAAAGAAGAAGTTACAGGTCTGTGAGAGCCAGAAATCTTGCTTGTTTGTAGGTGACCAAATACTTATTTTCCACCATAATTTCCAAATAAATTCATTAAAAATCCTACAATGTGATTTTCTGGATTTTTTTTCTCATTTTGTCTGTCATAGTTGACGTGTACCTATGATGAAAATTACAGGCCTCTCTCATCTTTTTAAGTGGGAGAACTTGCAGAATTGGTGGCTGACTAAATCCTTTTTTTCCCCACTGTATGTGTCGGGGAACCTCTAACTTTCCTCCTCCTCTCTCTCTCTCTGGCACACTACACACTCACACACACTCTCTCTCACAGCGACATTATGGCTAGCTACTGTGTCATCTTGAATAAAAAACACATCCCACTGTAACGCAACCGTCTGATATATAATGTTTCTGCGACCATAATTCACCTGAACATGTCCAGGGGTTAGGGTTTGTTCTAAATAATCTGATTGGCATGTTAATTCCCTCCTTTAATCAGATGCACTCACACTGACCATTGGGAAAACAGCTGCGGGTATGAAGCAGGAAGACAACCCATCATTCCTTGTGAAGATCCAGGGGGCAGGAGTAGAACCATTTGAGCTGCAGGTAAAACAAAGAGAGACACTAACACATGGTAACCAATGATTTATATAAACCCTGGATTGCTGATGCTATGTATTGGCCATTGAGGGGCTTTGAAGCCACCTGTCAGCTGTATTGGCACTCCCCAGTAGGAGCAGTCCTCCATAGGAATGAATGGAATTCTACAGTATTAAATTTATTTAAGTATTTTTTTGTTGTAGTGGGGACAGTAACATTAGTAAAATAAAAAAATAATACTTTAAGGAAAATGTTTTTATATGTTCTTTCATTTTAAAAAAATGTTTAGCTCACATAATACAATTTAAAAGTATGCATTAAGGTGTCTGTAATAGAATAAATGTGGCAAAAAGAATATAGACATTAATACATTAATTTTTATAGCATACAAAATATTTTTTACAATGGTGGGGGAGTGCTAAAATGGAGGCATGGTGGCTTCAACACAGCGCCCCCTATCAATCATATAGTGTATATATAAATAAATGATTGATAGTCACACACGCTACACATTCTCACACATTGGGCCTGGACCGAAAACAACCCAGAGCCCCCTGTCCTCTAGGTTATGCACATCTGACGGAACTGGATACAGTAGGTGCAGTGTTTCTTCTTGTTTCTACCGATATCCAACAGGAGTGTAGGGTGGGACATTGAATAGTACCACAACGGGTACAGACCTGCAGTGAGGGTGGAACAGGAGGTGAAAGGGACCAAAATTATCACACCATTCATTCATATCACACCAGTGAATACATACCATTAGGCCACAGCCAATCTAAATGTGCATCAAATCAAATTTTATTGGTCACATACACATATTTAGCAGATGTTTTGCGGGTGTAGTGAAATGCAAACTTGTTAAGTATAATAATGCCAAGCAAAGTTCACCCACTAACTATTCTAAAGGACCACTATATCTTGTGTAATAAACAGTCAAGTGCATGTATGTGCATGTATGGCCAAGCCTGTAAAAGTGTTTATTAATTTGAGTTTATTGACGCACCCGTGTGTCAATCTAAGTAACATAATAAAAAAATCCCCATAAAAAATCCCTCAATTTAAGCTAGAGATATATGGATAATCGATCGAATCCACCTATGTTGGCCTTCCGCATCTGCTGTGGAAGGTGGCCGAGCTACTAACCTTGTCTCAGAGCATTTCGTATTATCTGCTGTGGAAGGTGGCCGAGCTACTAACCTTGTCTCAGAGCATTTCGTATTATTCTGTATGTAAATCCGAATAATTAATTAAATTAATATATCATTTAGCAGACGCTTTTATCCAAAGCGACTTACAGTCATGTGCGCATACATTTTTACGTATGGGTGGTCCCGGTGATCGAACCCACTACCCTGGCGTTACAAGCGCCATGCTCTACCAATTGAGCTACAGAGGACCTGAATCACTTTATTTAGTATGATATGTTATGTTTCGTATGGTATGTATTAATTTGTGAATGTCCATCACTGATTTCATATGATATATTACGAATTACAATTCGGATTATATGTTAAGAATTTGCAAAATGTACAATATGTTTATGAATTTGCAAAATGTACAATATGTTATGAATTTGCAAAACGTATGGTATGTTACGAATTTGAAAAACGTATATGTTATAAATTCTAGTGTTGTGTTGAGAAAATGTTGCTAATTATGCTGTGAGACCAAGGAGAACCGCTGACGCTGTATTTTGATCATAAAGGTTTATTCATATCAAAGGGTTACAGCGTCGATTTACAGATACCTGCAGATATCTGGAGAATAATCGCCCCATCTCAAATATGATTATTCTGTCTTCCTTTGTCTTAACTGTGGTATATATCCTATGTAATCTGATATGGGTGGTTCTTCCTACCAACCAATCCCCTGTCTCCACACAACAGACTTCCTCTGTTCTATGAGGTGTCCCCCTAAAACTACTCCCCAGATGCTCCCTCTAAGCTGAATAAACCTCCTCTCAGGTTCCATTTGAAAACGTTAGCAAAGTCATAATTCCTCAGATACTACACTAGCTAGGTGGCTAACGTTAGCTAACTCGCTAACGTTAGCTAGGCTAGGGGTTGGGGTTAGGGGACGGGTTATCGAACATGCTAAGTAGTTGCAAAGTAGCTAAAAAGTAGTAAGTAGTTGAAAAGTTGCTAATGAGCTAAAATGCTAAAGTTGTCATTGATGAGATTCGAACTCGCAACCTTTGGGTCTTATGTAACCATACCAAATGTAACATTTCAAACTAAATGGAATGGCTCAGATTCACGTACAGAATACACTGCAGCTACAGCAGTGTTTGTCTGGCAATGTTTTCTAACCGTTTAGGCTACAAACTAATATAACTCCACTGTGGAAAGGGGAGACTCTCACGAACACGATGGTGTTCTCCGTTTTGCTCTACGACCCCCCACAAGTGTCACAGGACTCATCTGAATGTAACCCATACAAATGAATGGAAGTATGGAGGTAGTTTTGTGCCAACAAAAATAAAATGTTCAATATGTGTCCAAAAAACTAAAATATTTCCTGAGCTTATTCCTTATGATAAAAAAATACATTCATTGTGTGTATCTCCATAGGTCCATGGTTTCTGGCTGGTTCAGGAGGCTGTGATGGCAGTGTTGGGGAGAGAGGAGGTGTTTCCTCGCTCCAGCCTCTCATTGGCCCTCTCTGGGATGACCCTTGACCCCCTGACGGAGCTGCAGGGCCTGAAGAACCTCAGACCAGGAGCCACGCTCCGCCTGGTGGAGGGTAGGAGAATAACTACATTACACACAATACTTTCTCTCTCTACCACTGCTGACTCAGTTGACATCAGAGTCTTGGATAGGTTGAGAACATCAAAGTAGCAGGCTTGACACAGGGATAACCTTTCTGCCAACCAGACTGCTTTTCTGTCTGAATACGAAACAGCCAGGGTAAAACCCAGCAGCATGGCAGGTCTATGCCTGTGTGTGTATGTGAGGTAGAGAGGAGAGAGAGAGAGAGAGAGAGAGAGAGAGAGAGAGAGGGGTATGTGTGTGTATGTGCGTTAGTTCGTGCATCCATGCGTTCATGCGTTTGTGAGTTCATATGTTCATGTATGTGTGTGTGTGCGTGCATGTGAAAGCGGGACAGGTCAGTGCCTGTAGAACTATAACAATTAACCATCGTGCCCATTGGAATATGTCTTGTATTCTGTCCTCTGTTCTCCAGAGCCGTACTCCCCCAGGTCTGCAAAGGTTCATCTGGCTCGTGTGCTGGAGCTGTTGAGAGCTGTTGGGCCAAACAACGCTCTGATAGAGGGACGATCACCTAGCCTCCTGGACACACTGACACACAAACACTCTAAAGGTACACACATGCGCGCACGACATGCAGACAAACATGTTAACACGTACAAACACACACACTCGTCATATCTTCTGGGTAACTGTTCCTATCCAGCTCGAAGGACCATGAAAAAGAGCCCCTCCATTCATGCAGCTTAGAACCCTAACAAACATATGGCCCATTCTCCTCTCTTTCTGCATGTTTTGTAGACTCTGCTGTCCCAGCCAATGGGAAAGGCCTGAAATGCTCGTCCAGCAACACAAAGACTGACCCGGCCAATCAGGATGGAGCTCCTCCTGAGTACCTCCTCCCTGGAGCCGCTGAGAGACCACTACTGGCCATGCTGCCTCACAACACTCAGCCAGAGGTACACACACACAAACACACACATGCATGCACACGCACGCACACAAACACACACACACACACACACATACACACACACACACACACACACTCTTCTCGCTCTGACTCTGTGCCTCTCTCCTAAGGTTCCCAGTTTTCTGCAGGACCTGTCACTCAGCTGTTGGAACCCGCCCCCTGGGCACAGAAAGCTGCAAGGGGACTTCCTGTACATCACTGTGGTGACCCTGGAGAGTCGCAAGTGTGACATCACATCCTGTCCAAGAGGATTCTTCCTGAATAGGTGAGGTTCTCAGAAGTAACAGGCATATACAGTCGTGGTCAAAAGTTTTGAGAATGACACAAGTATTGGTCTTCACAAAGTTTGCTGCTTCAGTGTTTTTAGATATTTTTGTCAGATGTTACTATGGTATACTGATTACAAGCATTCCATAAGTGTCAAAGGCTTTTATTGACAATTACATTAAGTTTATGCAAAGAGTCAATATTTGCAGTGTTGACCCTTCTTTTTCAAGACCTCTGCAATCCGCCCTGGCATGCTGTCAATTAACTTCTGGGCCACATCCTGACTGATGGCAGCCCATTCTTGCATAATCAATGCTCGGAGTTTGTCAGAATTTGTGGGTTTTTGTTTGTCCACCCGCCTCTTAAGGATTGACCACAAGTTCTCAATGGGATTAAGGTCTGGGGAGTTTCCTGGCCATGGATCCAACATTTCAATGTTTTGTTCCCTGAGCCACTTAGTTATCACTTTTGCCTTATGGCAAGGTGCTCCATCATGCTGGAAAAGGCATTGTTCGTCACCAAACAGTTCTTGGATGGTTGGGAGAAGTTGCTCTCGGAGGATGTGTTGGTACCATTCTTTATTCATGACTGTGTTCTTAGGCAAAATTGTGAGTGAGCCCACTCCCTTGGCTGAGAAGCAACCCCACACATGAATGGTCTCAGGATGTTTTACTGTTGGCATGACACAGGACTGATGGTAGCGCTCACTTTGTCTTCTCCGGACAAGCTTTTTTCAGGATGCCCCAAACAATCGGAAAGGGGATTTATCAGAGAAAATGACTTTACCCCAGTCCTCAGCAGTCCAATCCCTGTACCTTTTGCAGAATATCAGTCTGTCTCTGATGTTTTTCCTGGAGAGTAGTGGCTTCCTCACTGCCCTTCTTGACACCAGGCCATCCTCCAAAAGTCTTTGCCTCACTGTGCGTGCAGATGCACTCACACCTGCCTACTGCCATTCCTGAGCAAGCTCTGCACTGATGGTGCCCCGATCCCGCAGCTGAATCAACTTTAGGAGACGGTCCTGGCGCTTGCTGGACTTTCTTGGGTGCCCTGAAGCCTTCTTCACAACTATTGAACCTCTCTCCTTGAAGTTCTTGATGATCCAATAAATGGTTGATTTAGGTGCAATCTTACTAGCAGCAATATCCTTGCCTGTGAAGCCCTTTTTGTGCAAAGCAATGATGACGGCACGTGTTTCCTTGCAGGTAACCATTGATAACAGAGGAAGAACAATGATTTCAAGCACCACCCTCCTTTTAAAGCTTCCAGTCTGTTATTCTAACTCAATCAGCATGACAGAGTGATCTCCAGCCTTGTCCTCGTCAACACTCTCACCTGTGTTAACGAGAGAATCACTGACATTGTCAAAAGAACCGATGTGGATGTGGTGGAGGAGTCAGGCGCAGGACACAGAGGATTCGTCCAAAAAGACTTTACTAGTCCAAAGTGCAACAAAACAATACACGACCTCGAAAACAAACGGAGGCGAGGGAATTACGCAACATGCGTAAAACAATAAACAAAACTAACAGAGCGCAAACTCGCAGCTCCGCACGACAGGCAAACAACAACACACAATCTAACTAATACAAAACAGGGAACTTATAGGACACGTAATCAGAACACAAACAGACACAGGTGTACAAGACAGACTAAAGCAATCACACCACGAAACATACAATGGTGGCAGCTAGTACTCCGGGGACGGCGAACGCCAAAGCCTGCCCGAACCAGGAGGAGGAGCAGTCTCGGCCGAAACCGTGACAGACATGATGTCAGCTGGTCCTTTTGTGGCAGGGCTGAAATGCAGTGGAAAAGTTTTTTGGGGATTAAGTTCATTTTCATGGCAAAGAGGGACTTTGCAATTAATTGCAATTCATCTGATCACTCTTCATAACATTCTGGAGTATGTGCAAATTGCCATCATAAAAACTGAGGCAGCAGACTTTGTGAAAATTAGTATTTGTGTCATTCTCAAAACCTTTGACCACGACTGTATAGTGGGGTCCGAAATTATTGACACCCTTGATAAAGATGAGCTATAATGACTGTATAAAATAAATTATTCAAATATTGATCTATATTTTATGCACAAAAAAAAGTAAACAATTATTACTTGTTAAACAAAATCTCTTTCTCTGAGCAATTGTATAAGTATAAAATAATATCATTTCCCAATTTTTTGAACATACAATCTAGCTCAGTATGTGAATTATTTATTTTATACTGTCATTATTGCTCATCTTTATCAAGGGTGTCAATAATTTCGGACCCCAATGTACATGTTATCCATACAAGATTACTTCAGTCAATATATCTCAGCTGGATATTGTTATTATCACATCAATGACAGCAGCAATGTGTGTGTGTTGTGTGTGTGTGTGTGTGTGTGTGTGTGTGTGTGTGGTGTGTGTTGTGTGTGTGTTCCAGGTCTACAGTAGAGGTGTTTGATCCTCGGCCAACCTCGTCCTCTCCAGTCAGCCACTGCCTCACTGACCTGCTGTCTCACATCAGCCCTGCCTTCAAACAGGCTCTCGCCGCTCTCAGAGCCAGGTAACAGACACACACACACACACTCACACATTAACACTCACACACTCACACTCACACTCACAGTCACACACACACACACACACACACACACACACACACACACACACACACACACACACACACACACACACACACACACACCCACACACACACACACACACACACACACACACACACACACCACACACACACACACACACACACACCACACACACACACACACACACACACACACACACACACAGAGACCCAATGTTCTGTATGGGTAATGTAGTGTCTGCCCCTACTCCCTGTAGGCCTCAACTGCCCCCAGTAGAAACGATGCCGACTCCCTACCGCACACTGAGCTGGCTGGGTCAACCATCAGCCTCCCACTCCCACAGAAACTCTCTCAGCAGGCTGGGACTGGATCAACCCTCTGGAGCACAGGTCTGTGTCACACACACACACACACACACACACACACACACACACACACACACACAGTTTAACAGCTCTTCTCAGTGTTTAAGCCAGGCCGAAAGACGGATGGACGAAAAACCAACCGACCGACCAAGTGACTGATTGTCTGACCAATTGACTGATTGATTTGGTGTTTGTGATGTGAAGGCTCTAGACTGGAACGAGGAGCTGCAGGCAGCCAGAGATCTGCCTCAGGGGAGTCAAGAGGAGAGACTACAGAGAGACAGAGCTCTACTACAGGTACACACACACTTCATACTCACTAGGAGTCCTTTAGGAAGTATTCACTGCTGACAAGCAGTTATTGTTGCTCTCAAAAAATGATATGTCATGTTGCTGTGCTTGAACCGTAAGGCTATTTAGACATTTCTAGAAAATACATTCTTCTCTCATCACTCCCTTTCAGGTGAACAGTGCGTTTGTGTGGGCAGTGGCCCAGGGTGCGGAGACTGTTATTGACGGCTGTGTAGAGCCAATCAGTGGAGGTCCTGATGACCCCGCCTTTCTGTGGGGCGGGCTGTTCCTGAGCCAGGGAGGAGCAGGGATGGCGTTAGGGGGCGAGAGGGGACGCAGGTAAGATCTTGTTCAGCTTGTCTCCAGCGGGTCTCATTGTATGTAGATAGAGAATGACCAGTCTTTTTCATAGTGTATAATCACAGAAAATCCTGTTGAACCCATCATGCTGCTGTATAACAACACACCCCTCCCTCCCAGGGTGGCCCAGAGGCTGGAGCTGAGGGGTGTACAGTCCTACAGTGACCTAGAGGGGGCGCTCCAGGGCCTCCACACCCTGCCCACCGCCACCGTGGACTATAGGGGGATCCGTCTGTCTGCCCAAGGCCTGGCCCCCGGCCTGGAGGGCCCAGAGCAGGACCAGGGCCCCTCTGCTCCTACCAGGTACAACTCAATAACAACATAAACATTAGCTGTTATATGCTCCCCAGTGATTTGTTTAATTAGGACAGTGTTTGCACCTGCAATTAGTCTTTGTCGAGAGCATGCCACCCTCACCTTTTCCCACCTTCTCTCCCCTCATCTCTCTCTCCCTCTCTCCCCCTCTCTCCCCCTCTCTCCCTCTCTCTCTCTCCCCCAGGGGTATTCTATACGGGGTGGGTGCTAGGCCCCAGGAGTCCCCCCACCGACGTTGTCTCTTGGAGCTGCTGGCCCAGGCTGCTAAAGGCCTCAACCTGCAGAGACACGCTGTAGTGGGGCCCAACGGCCACCAGGTGCCTCTGTTCACCGCACTGGATGCCCAGGGGCTGCTGGGGGCTGATGGGAGGTTCTACCTGCTAGACCTCTTCAGGAGCCTGCCGGCCGATGCCAACTACTGCCCTGAGGGAGGTAGACAGAGAGAGCAGGTGGAGAAGAAGGAGGGATCAGGGGAGGAGGGCTGGCCAGAGCAGTACCAGAGCACTTCAGGTCTGCCCAGGAGGTTCCCTCATGGCCTCTGTAGGCTGAGACCAGAGCTGCTGCAGGCCTTCATCCAGGACAAGTCAGTACTATACACCTCTAGTTAGTTATACTGTAGTAATAGTTATTATGTACTGTATGTATGTGGGACAGTCTGTTTACAGTAACTCTGCAGTAAGATGTCACATTTCTAAATGTTTTGTTTGTATTGTGTTGTTTCTAAGATTGTTCCCTCCCTCCCTCTGTTCCAGACGGTCCCAGTTCACTCGCCGCTGCAAAGAAAGGATGGAAGAGAATGGAGGGGTGGAGGAGTGTGTAAAAGCAGGTGAGGAAAGACAGTTTTTATTTTCGGTCTAGGTTTCAAGACTACATGTAATATCAGAGCTGACACATATTATTTTGTGTGTGTGTGTGTGTGTGTGTGTGTGTGTGTGTTCCCAGGTGACCCTCGAGGTACAGATGCAGTGAGAGGTGCTTGTAAAGATGTGGGATCAGTCAGTGACATCATCTTTGAGATGCGCTTCAATCCCAGCGTGTTCTCCCCAGGTATAAATAATAAATAATATTATGCCATTTAGCAGACGCTTTTATCCAAAGCGACTTACAGTCATGCGTGCATACATTTCTTTGTGTATGGGTGGTCCCGGGGATCGAACCCACTACCTTTTGGCGTTACAAGCGCCGTGCTCTACCAGCTGAGCTACAGAGGACCAGGTATCTCATCTGCTCCACACATGCACGAACACACACAACACACACCCTCCCCTTCCCGATACAGCTGAGCCAAAACCACTGTTGTGACATACCAGAGTGTAAAAGTTGACCCTGTCTCTGTCTCACCCCTCTGTGTGTTCAGACGTGGCGTTCCCCAAGAGTGACCATGAGGCCGTGAGGCTGCAGGAGAGGCTACTTAGAGAGGCTGCAGCCTCCATCATCACACAACAGATACCTGCAATCGTGAGTGGAGCTCTATATTCCTGGAGTTCAGTTTATCAACCTGTTGTAACCTGTCTCTTACTCTAGCTGTCTGTGTGTCTCAGGTGGAGGCGTGCCTGCAGGGCAGTGAAATGCCTCTAGATGGCGCTACGCTGAAGCAAGCGCTGCACCAGAAGGGCATCAACCTCCGCTACCTCGGCCAGCTGACCAAGGCCATCAGCCAATCAGAACACAAGGAGCGGCTTAGACACATAATGGTCAGACTCAAAACTCACTCACACACACACACAACGGCACTCGAAGGACAGGAAATACATACACTGAGTGTACAAAACATTAGGAACATGCTCTTTCCATGACATAGACTGACCAGGTGAATCCAAGTGAAAGCTATGATCCCTTATTGATGTCACTTGTTAAATCCACTTCAATCAGTGTAGATGAAGTGGAGGAGACAGGTTAAAGAATGATTTTTAAGCCTTGAGACAATTGACACATGAGTCGTGTATGTGTGCCATTCAGAGGGTGAATGGGCAAGACAAAATATTTAAGTGTCTTTCAGCAGGGTATGGTAGTAGGTGCACCAGTTTGTGTCAAGAATTGCAACGCTGCTGGGTTTTTCACGCTCAAAAGTTTCCCGTGTGTATCAAGAATGGTCCACCACCAAAAGGACATCCAGCCAACCTGTGGGAAGCATTGGAGTCAATATGGCCAGCATCTCTGTGGAATGCTTTCGACACCTTGTTGAGTCCATGCCCCGACAAGGCTGTTCTGTTCTGAGGGCAAAAGGGGGTGCAACTCAATATTAGGAAGGTGTTCCTAATGTTTTGTACACTCAGTGTATGTATATATACAGTCGTGGTCAAAAGTTTTGAGAATGACACAAATATTAATTTTCACAAAGTCTGCTGCCTCCGTTTTTATGATGGCAATTTGCATATACTCCAGAATGTTATGAAGAGTGATCAAATGAATTTCAATTAATTGCAAAGTCCCTCTTTGCCATGAAAATGAACTTAATCCCTAAAAAACATTTCCACTGCATTTCAGCCCTGCCACAAAAGGACCAGCTGACATCATGTCAGTGATTCTCTCATTAACACAGGTGAGAGTGTTGACGAGGACAAGGCTGGAGATCACTCTGTCATGCTGATTGAGTTAGAATAACAGACTGGAAGCTTTAAAAGGAGGGTGGTGCTTGAAATCATTGTTCTTCCTCTGTTAGCAATGGTTACCTGCAAGGAAACATGTGCCGTCATCATTGCTTTGCACAAAAAGGGCTTCACAGGCAAGGATATTGCTGCTAGTAAGATTGCACCTAAATCAACCATTTATCGGATCATCAAGAACTTCAAGGAGAGAGGTTCAATAGTTGTGAAGAAGGCTTCAGGGCACCCAAGAAATTCCAGCAAGCGCCAGGACCGTCTCCTAAAGTTGATTCAGCTGCGGGATCGGAGCACCATCAGTGCAAAGCTTGCTCAGGAATGGCAGCAGGCAGGTGTGAGTGTATCTGCACGCACAGTGAGGCAAATACTTTTGGAGGATGGCCTGGTGTCAAGAAAGGCAGCGAGGAAGCCACTTCTCTCCAGGAAAAACATCAGAGACAGACTGATATTCTGCAAAAGGTACAGGGATTGGACTGCTGAGGACTGGGGTAAAGTCATTTTCTCTGATGAATCCCCTTTCCGATTGTTTGGGGCATCCGGAAGAAAGCTTGTCCGGAGAAGACTAGGTGAGCGCTACCATCAGTCCTGTGTCATGCCAACAGTAAAGCATCCTGAGACCATTCATGTGTGGGGTTGCTTCTCAGCCAAGGGAGTGGGCTCACTCACAATTTTGCCTAAGAACACAGCCATGAATAAAGAATGGTACCAACACATCCTCCGAGAGCAACTTCTCCCAACCATCCAATAACTGTTTGGTGACGAACAATGCCTTTTCCAGCATGATGGAGCACCATGCCATAAGGCAAAAGTGATAACTAAGTGGCTCGGGGAACAAAACATAGACATTTTGGGTCCATGGCCAGGAAACTCCCCAGACCTTAATCCCATTGAGAACTTGTTGTCAATCCTCAAGAGGCGGGTGGACAAACAAAAACCCACAAATTCTGACAAACTCCGAGCATTGATTATGCAAGAATGGGCTGCCATCAGTCAGGATGTGGCCCAGAAGTTAATTGACAGCATGCCAGGGCGGATTGCAGAGGTCTTGAAAAAGAAAGGTCAACACTGCAAATATTGACTCTTTGCATAAACTTAATGTAATTGTCAATAAAAGCCTTTGACACTTATGGAATGCTTGTAATTATACTTCAGTATACCATAGTAACATCTGACAAATATCTAAAAACACTGAAACGGCAAACTTTGTGAAGACCAATACTTGTGTCATTCTCAAAACTTTTGACCACGACTGTATAGGGGAGGCAGGTAGCCTAGCGGTAATCCCTGAATGGACAAGGTGAAAAATCTGTTGATGTGCCCTTAAGCACGTAACCCTAACTCTTCCGGGTCGCTGTTGATAATGGCAGACCCTGGCTAACTATGACCCCAGTCTCAGGGGGAGTTTATAATTCACATATGTGTATAATACACACTTGTACATGTGTGAAACAGGACAAATAGCACCCACCTAAATATTTTTTATACACGCTTTGATAGTGATTTTCTAAATGTTACGCTCTCTCTCTTTTCTCTCTTAGAGGCTGGCTGTTGGAGAGATTGTGGTTCGTTCTTCCAGAAGGATCTTCAACAACTTCCTCCAGGTACTGAAACAGTCTTCATCACAGTGTCATTATCACAGTCCTTATTAACTGGTCTGGGGTCAGTTCCCCGTACTGGGTGTAGGGAAAGCATCATTACTCTCGGTAACCACAGCTACCTCCTCTCCTCTGTCCACAGGGTGTGGAGGTGTCAAGTCTCTCTGCAGCTGTCAGTCACTTCCTCTGCTGCCTATTGGTTGGCCATTACAGCACCGCCCCCACAGGGGAGGAGCCTAAGAAGAGGTCCAGGAGGCGGGGTCGTGGGGGAGGAGCTTCAGACAGTGCTGCCTGGAGCGCGCTCAGTGGAGCCGAGCTCTGGAGCCTGATTGGCCAGGACGCAGCAGAGACCTATGACATCACTCACGGCCTAGGGTTGGCACATTTAATGAATTAGTCATCAATCGATTAATCAACCAATCAGTCCATCACTTGTTACTTGTACAGTTCCTTATGTTGTCACCTAATGATTATGATAGTATAATAATACCAGTAGTTACAGTGCGAGCTGATGTTTTATGTGTCTCTGTGTTGCAGTTCCACTGCTGACCACCTGGTAGAGATGTATGGGCTGCAGAAGGTCTCCCTGCTTAGAGAGTTCTGTTTGAAGACTGGTTTACAGGTACACACACACACACATACACACACACACACACACCTGCTCACACTGAGACCTCACCATCTTTATTTGTGTCCCCCAGCTGCGACTGAGAGAGTACTTCTTCGACAACCAAACTAAGGCTCCCATTGGTCCAGATGATGTGCTCAACATCTTTCCCATTGTCAAGCATGTCACCATGACGACACATGATGCCTCGCGAGCGTTCCGAGCTGCTCAGAGTAGCGTTCAGAAAGGTGAGGTGGGCGGGTCACTACTTGGTTTAACACACTTGGTTAGAGTTTGTTGGTGTGTGTATTTCTGTCCTTGATGCCAGCGGATGTGATATGTATGTGTACCTGTCCCCCAGGCATGATGGAGCAGGCATATGAGCGTCTGAAGGAGGCAGCGTACCTGTTTGGCCGTGTGTCTGACGACCTAAACGCAGAAGCCTGCTCCTGTCTAAGCCTGATGGCCAGAGTGGCTTACCTACAAGGCCAGCCCACAGAGGTATACACACACACCTCAGATGATGGCCTCAAATGTAAGGCATAGGTTTGTACGGCTGTGTAACTATTATCCTGTGCCTCTCTACCCCTACCCACAACCCACCAGGCCCGCAGTGTCCAGCTCAAGGCTGTGGTCATCAGTGAGAGAGTCCTGGGCTTTGACCACCCCAACACTATCCAACAATACGTAAGTACCACAACTCTCCTTTAAACCACCACCGTCCACCAGGGAAATCAAAACTCCAAAGATCAACAAACAACAAGTGTGCCTTTGTATACCTTATTTATTTGTCATCCAAGTCATCTTTAGCTAAGTGAATGAGGTGTGTGTCCTGTAGGCTCTGTTGGCGGTATATGTGTTCGCTGGAGGAGAGTCTGCTCTAGCTCAGAGGTGTCTGTTCAGAGCCCGTCTCCTGATGCTCACAGTTCATGGAGAGGACCACCCCTACACCGCTACACTGGACGTAAGTCTGCTACACTCCAAACCTACACGTTATACTGGAAGTGAGTCTGCCATACCCTAACCCACCCCTACACTGTTATACCCCCAAACCCAAGACCTCTGCTCTGCTAGAGGAGACTAAACTATCTCCCTCTCTCTCTCAGAGCTGTCTAGGTTTGGTGTTGCCGAGCGAACAAGCAGGGCAGTTCCTACAGAGCGCACTCAAAATCAACACTTCCTTCTTTGGCCCCACCGACGTGCACACTGCTCTCAGGTATCAATCGCTTAAATCCCTCACTCTCTCAACCAATCAACCAAGTAACTACTCAGTCACTATCTCCCCCCTCTCTCCAGTCAGCATCTGTTGTCCCAGTGGATGTGTGGAGTGGGAGACTATCGTTCTGCCATGAACCACGAGAAAGAAGCTCTGTCTGCCTTCACTAGCCTGGTCTGTACCTAGCATACTCTCTGTGTGTGTGTGTGTGTGTGTGTGTGTGTGTGTGTGTGTGTGTGTGTGTGTGTGTAACCCTGTTGTCTCTCTCAGTATGGTGAGGACCACCCCCAGAGACGTTGCAGCTATGAGTTCCTGCGTTCCATTACCCAGCAAGCAGTGCGTGTGGAACGCTCTCTGAGGCAAGGCGGGGACCCGCTCACAGCTGAGGTAATAAAATACTATTCTGTTCTCTTTTTGTGTTTTAAATAAGGTCCAGAGTAGGTGACCATTAAATCCCCTTCTGCCTGTCTCCTCTCTACCCAGGGGCAGTCTCTGTCTCCCTCAGCTGAGACCACTCTGGAGCAGCTGGCCCTGGTCACAGGCATCAGGACACCAAGCCACAGGTAACACACAAGAGAAGGATTGTATTATTATTCATGTATTACCAAAATTATATTAGCAGACATGAATCTAAGCGTGGTCTGGTCTCTTAGTGACAGGCTCCTGGAGTTCAAACAGAAGCTGATGGAACAGAGAGAGGCAGTGGAGGCCGCTAACGCCAAACCAAACAACACACACACAGAAACAGTGAATGGAAAGGAAGTGAAGACCCCTGATAGAGAGAAAGAGGAGGATGGGGTAGACCAGGAGACCACCAGCGAGGAGCTGCCAGAAGAGGCAGGTCCAGAGAAGAACACAGCTGACAAACAGACAGCGGACAGCCATCAACTGGAGGCCACTGAGTGGTCCGTAGATGAGGGCTCAATAGTGGAGGGCTTAGTAGTGGAGGAGGACTCAGCAGCAGAGAGTAAAGCAGTAGAGAGTGGAGCTGTAGTAGAATTCAGTGAGAGAGATGGAGATGAAGACAGAGCTGCCCCAGAGGCTGAGCAGCACACAGGGACAGAGGATGGAGAGGCAAACCTGATGGCTACAGAGGAATTGCAAACTGAGCCAGTCAGAGACCATATAGAGGGGAGTCAGAGTCTGACACAAAATGGAGGTTTAGAATCTGAGGGAAACCAATCAGACAACCTGGTGGAGGTAGCCAATGAGAAGCCAGGGTCAGATAAGGTCAGCGGTGTGAACAAAACACCAAGCACAAGCAATGACCAATCAGAGCCTCAGGAGGTCTTAGTGAACAGGGACGCCTCAACAACCATCAGCCAAACAAAACTAACACTGGTCACAGCAGAGGGTGAGATGCTAGCTAATGGAACAGTGGTGTCAGAGAGGGAGGACTGAGAGAGGGAGGGACCATCATAAGAGACTGACAGAACAAATGACCATAGTGAGGAGTCATAGGACAGACAGGTGCTGTTGATTGAGCTGGATCAGAATCCTTACAGCAGAGAGCTGTGGAGGAGGAGAAAAACTAAAGCAGAAGAAGAAAGAGAATATAGATGTGTACCACTGTACCATTCTTGACCTGGTGGTTTATTTACTGATATTGGGAGAGGGCTACACTTTGTGGTGCTTTTTTCAATATGAAACATTTTACTCTAATTTAGTTACAGATGGCATAAATCAACTGTTATAACAGCATAAAACTGAATGTTTACACTTACACAACTGAATCAAAATAATAAATTCATTGGAAAAAGAGGCAGTTTGGTAATTGTTATTTTTTAACATGTTTTTCTTCTTCCAAATTTAATAACATACATACATTCCACAGATCAACAAACACACACAGGTTCCACAGCACTCACACACTACTGCCAGATGTTTCGACTGTGGAAGTGAATCCAACTTGGCTTACGTCCAGTATTTACCATCCTATCCAGGGTTTGCTGTAGTAATGAGCGCGGTTGGCCATCAGCGCGGCTACATTTTAGATACAGCGCCAAGATGGTTGCCTCTAAAATTGTATCGAAAAATAAGCCAATTTCCTGCAATTCTACAAATTTCTCCATAGAGCTGAGAATTTTTTTGCCCGTTTTAAAGCTAATTTCCTGCGTTCTATATATTCTGCCATGGAGCTAAGAGAAAATGTTGCAGTTTTAAAGCTAGTTTCCTGCAATTCTATGCATTTGGCCATGGATAATGCTGTGCTCTTTTGTTCAAACATAATAAAATGAATACTGCTAAACTCATTGTTTTTGTAATTTTCAATTCTCCCTGTCTAGATTTTATTTAGGTGATTGTTAGTTCTCAAAGATTATATTATAAAAAAATATATAGGTTCATTATATTTTCTACATACAGCGTTTTTCCATCCCGAAAATAATTCACCCAAAAAATAAACCCCAAAAAGAAAATGTCCCACCCAAGGATTACAATGGCAGAAAAATCCTTGCTATCCTCTCATTTCACTGGGAACCACAGAGACCACAATGATTATTTCATCCTCCACCCCTCTCATCTCTGTGGGTCTCTCTGTATGATCTCCAGATCAGGGCAGTGTTGGTATTGGGGCTCTGGTGCCTCACCCCAGGTGGATTGTGGGAGTTTGCAGAGGCTGCTGGGATTGAAGGTGATGAGGGCAGTGTCATTGAAGACGTCCAGGAGTTGGGACGGGCATGGGAGGGGCCACTCCTCACACAAACACACAGCCTGACGCACACGGGGGGGTTAAGGGTCAAACACCTCCATAGACTCTGGATCATATATAGCTATACTGCATTATTATTGTATATCTATTTTTTAATGATACTGTACTTAGTTTCAAAGGATACGTGTGCTATGTAGCTGTAGTCTCTCTGAAGTTCTCTCTGAATCATCCTGAAGGAAAGACAATCGTTAGTGGATCACACAAACACACACACACACAAACACACATGAACACACACACCTGTCCTGTATGCCTGCAAAGCTGTTTCCTATGATAGTCAGTAGAGGCAGTGCATCTCTACTCCAGTTCTTCCACAGCAGGTTGTTGTACAGAGCCTTCCCACAATGCATCAGGTAGAAAAGAGTTGGCCTCGACACTGCTCGCTTCCCCTCCTGATGACATCACACACATGAATACAATAGTACTTCATTAGTCCATCTGCAGAGACAAAAATTGTGTTCTGTATTTCTTCCACATACACACACACACACACACACACACACCTCGTTCTCAGTCAGCACGGTGAGGCCAAGCTGTCGCAGTACCTCCATCTCCCCTGAGGAGAACACAGGGTCGTACACACTGCACCGCTCCATAGGGATCTAGACAGGAATACAGTATACATTACATACAGTATAGTACGGAGTACAGGATCGATTAAGGCAGCCCTCTGCGCCTCTCTGATTCAGAGGGGTTGGGTTAAATGCGGAAGACACATTTCAGTTGAATGCATTCAGTTGTACAACATCCCCCTTTCCCTTTCCCATTACACACTGCACTTCTCCATGGGAATCTAGAGTGGGACAGGAGGAATACAGTGAAGCCGTGTCTTTAGGCCGTGTCTTAGGTCTTGAGAGAGCGAGTGTGAGTGAGTACCTGTAGTAACTCCAGAATCAATAGCAGCATGGCTAGTTGGTAACGAGCTGTCACACAGGAAGAGAAGGAGCCCAGACCATAACACACACACTCCAGTGGGCTACTAGGGGCCTCCCGGGCCCGGTCCCCTCCCTCAGGTCCTGGGTCACAGCCTGCTGCTGGGTTCCCTCCAACCTCTGGGGAGTCTGCCTTAGCCTCAGCTGTCAGTCGATCTGAGAAAGGAAGGAACTCTATTACCATAGTGTTTACTCTTATCCAATCCTTTCAGGTTTAGTGTGTCGCTATGGGTAAAGGCTGGAAGTTATGGGACTGGCCGATGTCGTAGTAAATATGACCCATTTTAATGTTAGGAGCTTGTTTTCAATCAATGCTGTTCCTATGCAAGAACAATGGACAGAGCCAATATCTTCTCAAGGACAACACCCACGCCACAGGCCACAATCTGGTTGCTCCCCACAAGTCTTTCCTTTGAGAACATACACACATTCACACACACATCTCCATGCCTACGCACACTCATCCTCATGCCTCACGAGTTACGCACACACACAAACTGCACTTCTTTCTACTGGTCGGGTGCCAAGGGCAGAGGACTCTGCCGTGCACCAAAGGGGCTTCTACTCTGGACAGAGCAGACCCGCCTCCTACGCCTCGGGAACCAATCAAGGGACTAGAAGAAGGACCCCTTCCTTTGTGTTACATTGTATAAAGTAATGCTGTAAACTCTGTTTTTTATCCCTTTTCAACTGTCTCCATAAGAGGCAACTGAATGGGTCCATGCATGTAGCTTGAGCAGTACCAGCTATCTCTGTTGTTTAATAAACTGCCTTTTGCTTAAGCATATTCCTCTCTGTCTAGCGTCGTTGGTTTGTACTTCCTCTCCTTATGGTTCCACCAACAACATGGTAGCAGAGGATGGTTTTTAATTCGATCTAAAAGTTGGTGCGAGAGGAAAAGGCAAATCATCGATCTAAAAACAGACGGAAGAGTGACCTGAAAATCCTGGAGAAATCAACTATTCGTCTTGGCTCAGGAACCTGATCAGAGCGCGCTCTTCTAAAAAGGTATGCAGAGCCTGTTAAAACGAAATCTTGCATATTGTATTATAGACCAATACCAAATTATGATCAGTAGTACTGAGCGTGAGTATGAATACTTGTTAAATAATTTCCATCCTAAATGAATTAAGGCATAAATGAGATATCTGGTACTGTGAACAATGAGAACTGTGATTGTATATTATGAGAGTCTTACCAGTGACTGAATACTGATGGTTGTATATTATGAGAGTCTTACCAGTGACTGAATACTGATGGTTGTATATTATGAGAGTCTTACCAGTGACTGAATACTGATGGTTGTATATTATGAGAGTCTTACCAGTGACTGAATACTGATGGTTGTATATTATGAGAGTCTTACCAGTGACTGAATACTGATGGTTGTATATTATGAGAGTCTTACCAGTGACTGAATACTGATGGTTGTATATTATGAGAGTCTTACCAGTGACTGAATACTGATGGTTGTATATTATGAGAGTCTTACCAGTGACTGAATACTGATGGTTGTATATTATGAGAGTCTTACCAGTGACTGAATACTGATGGTTGTATATTATGAGAGTCTTACCAGTGACTGAATACTGATGGTTGTATATTATGAGAGTCTTACCTGTGGCTGAATACTGATGATTGTATCCTATGGGTTAAATTACGATTTAACGCAGTATGTGGATAAGATTTGACCCACAACTAGATTCCTAAAGGGACCCAGTTTGAACTGAGACTTTTTGCATAAATCCTATTAGGGGAGGTCCTACCCTATAGGTTGCGAGGAGGTTGAAGTCAAAACTGTGGCAGAGTTCTAGACATTAGGTGGGGGAGAATCACCGAAATTGACCAGAGGTACTAAATTCCCTTGATAGGGATCCAGTTGCTTCTGTGACTTCACATAAGTATAAGGTTGTGTGAAGGGTGGCAGTTGAACTGAGACTATGTTTTAGGACGCTCTGGTAACCTAAATTTTTTAAGGCATTGTATTCTAATTGGCAGTTTTGTTTTGCTGTGTTTATATTTTAACGTGTCTGTGTTATATCTTAAATGTGTAATGGATGATGGGAAGTTATAGTGAGACTTATGAGACCGAACACCAATCTGTGGAATTGAGTGAATTTGACCTAGGGTTTCAGGAACCGGGGACTGGGGAGACTGATATTGAGGTTGTGCATGATTCTAGAACAAGCGTGAGATAACTAAAGCGTGGTGTGTGCTGTGTGTAGAGATTACTGCATTGGTATATGTGACTGGAATTCTTATTCTTATGATAATAATTGCATTACAAATTATATAAATTAGCCTCTTTATATGCGAGGGTGTCATACATGAGATAAGTCTGTATTTGATACCGATAATACATCCAAGATAGAGAAAGCAAGATGGCAGGACCAAACATAACCATACCCAAATTCAATGAATACTTAGAACAACGAATGACAGGGAGAGTAATGCCAGGTCCACCAAGGGAGGGAGGTCATATGCCCGCCCTTGATGTACAACAGATAGAAATGACTGATTATGTGAAGAAATTGACGGAATTTTCTGCAGCACTCTCTTCTCAGGTGCGGAAGGCCTAAGAGGGGGAGCTGTCGGGAAACACGCCACCACTGAAGGTAAAAGTGGGAGACTGGGTGAGGGTGAAAGTCCACAAAAGAAAGTGGCTGGAGCCCAGGTGGACTGGACCGTACGAAGTGAAGGAGGTTACTTCACACTCAGTCCAGGTCAGAGGTAAATCAGGCGCACCCTGGCACCATCTAACACATTGCACTCCAGCCCCCACTCCTTCCAGACTATTGTCTGAAGTAAGAGCTGATTTGAGCAGCGAGAACCAATCCTGACAACACAATGAAGAAACCCTTATGGGAACAACAATCTCACTCAGGGTGAAGAATAACTTTTTCCCCCTGGGAGAGATTGGGAGTGTCTGAATGTTTGTATGTATGTTTTCTGATAGGAATTGGACTCCTGCTGGGCACTCCTTATGAGGTGTTGTTGTGTGAAGCTATTTTGAATTACTTGTTAAATTGACTTGTAATATAGAAGAGGTGGCTAAGGGATTTTTAACAGTACCAACCGGGGGGCAAATCCTCACAAGAGGTCCCAGAATTTACTGGGGACGAGAAATGCTTGATGTAATTAAAATGGAATCCAGAGATAGAAGAAATCTCCATTATATAACCAGGTGGAGGGAGAGGTATGGTTTTGAGGGACGTCTGGACGCAGATAAACTCGAATCCATGCTTAAACAGATACATAAGGTGTGTAAAGGAGAAATAAGCAGTGAGAGAGAGAGAGAGTAGGAGGGGGCCAGTACCCACTGATAGCCTTACCTAATCTATTGGCGGGGAATGAAAGGGGCCCCAGCAACCTTAGATGTATACAGTAATAATAATAATATGCCATTTAGCAGACAGGCCATGAACACAGAGGACGTGGCCAGAGCGGTAGAAAGAATGACCCACCCCATGACAGGAATAGTAAGGTTTGGGCTGCCGTTAGAGGGCAGTGGGTTTCAGGGGATGCCCATAGGACACTTTTGCCATGGGCCGATTACGGAGCGATTTGTCGTAGTAAATATGACCCATTTTAATGTTAGGAGCTTGTTTTCAATCAATGCTGTTCCTATGCAAGAACAATGGACAGAGCCAATATCTTCTCAAGGACAACACCCACGCCACAGGCCACAATCTGGTTGCTCCCCACGAGTCTTTCCTTTGAGAACATACACACATTCACACACACATCTCCATGCCTACGCACACTCATCCTCATGCCTCACGAGTTACGCACACACACAAACTGCACTTCTTTCTACTGGTCGGGTGCCAAGGGCAGAGGACTCTGCCGTGCACCAAAGGGGCTTCTACTCTGGACAGAGCAGACCCGCCTCCTACGCCTCGGGAACCAATCAAGGGACTAGAAGAAGGACCCCTTCCTTTGTGTTACATTGTATAAAGTAATGCTGTAAACTCTGTTTTTTATCCCTTTTCAACTGTCTCCATAAGAGGCAACTGAATGGGTCCATGCATGTAGCTTGAGCAGTACCAGCTATCTCTGTTGTTTAATAAACTGCCTTTTGCTTAAGCATATTCCTCTCTGTCTAGCGTCGTTGGTTTGTACTTCCTCTCCTTATGGTTCCACCAACACCGACTGGGACCGGATACGGAACAAGATCATTCATTAGAGTTCTGTTACGCACCTCTCCACTCCAACCAGAAGTCTGCACACCTCAGTTCAGCCCTACAGAGGGAAAAATAAAGCAACAGTTATCTTTTTGTGTCAACTGCTGTGATTAGATAGGCCTACTGTCCACCGTTGTACAATACAGCACAGTGAATGACATATGGGAACAGTCAGGATAATCCTTGACTTTAATAGTGTTGTTCTTACATGGTTTCTGTGATCCTTTGTTTGGTCCTGTCTGTGTCCACAGCATCGGCGTGTCCAGGTTCATGGCGGGCCGTGTGAGGAATCTTCCCTCGGCGGCCTGCTCCCTTCCGTCGCCGGGCCACCTGCCACTCCTCACCGCTATTCGGCATCCACACAACGGCTCACCTAACCAACACAGATATTAGATGATTAGAGTGATCATGAGTTTATGATACTGTCACTAATAGAGTTCTCGTAGGGGAAATTAATAAAAACAAAAAGTTAGTCGCTAGCTAGTATTTCTGACAACACATGGGGACTGTTTTGAAAGTGGCGCACGCGAACCCATTTGGCTTCCGGTGTAATTTTGTCAACGGGAAGTACTTGGTTTTTTCGTGTTTGTTACGATGCCAGCTAGATAGCAGTAAACATTGTCCATATATATTTGCGTTCATCGATAGTTACAACAACTGAGCAGTTCAGGTAAGTAATTAAGTTACATTTACTTTCCTAACCATGTAAATCGAGCTGGTCCCTCCAACGACGCATAACCAGAGCAGGAAACCTGCTGTCCCATACCGACGTTAGCCTAGCTAGTTTGGTAGCTATAATTAATATATAACTAGGTAACGTTAACACTGTATAGATCTAAATCAACTTTATCAATGTCAACTTGTATATTCTGCATGCTAACAGGGTCATATCACTTCAGTTGTTTCGCCATAATGCCTATGCCATAAAGCAAGCAAGTCCAGACAATACTTCCAGACTATACATAGCTAACGTTACTACTTTCTAGAAAGTGTAGTTTTGACTGTATGGTGTATAGTGTATACACTACCTACGTTTTAAACATCCATAAGAGGAAATGACTGGGTAATTTCTGTGAACTATTCCTTAATGATGAAGGCTTGAATGACTGTCTCCCTCTCAGAGACCCAGCTATGTCTATGTCCCACCTGTATGGACGGCAGGGAGAGGAGGAGGATGAGGGGGTGGAGGTGGAGAAGTTTGAGGTGACAGAATGGGACCTTGCCAATGAGTTTAACCCGGAGCGCCGCAGACACAGACAGACCAAAGAGGAGGCCGTCTACGGCATCTGGGCAGAGAGGGGAGACTCCGACGATGAGAGACCCAGCTTCGGAGGGAAGAGGTAGGAGGCTGGTTCCTGTACACTCTCCATCTGATGACATGCTGATGACTAAACTACAGACACACATTTGGAAAGAGGAGAGGATGGCAGAGATGGATGTCACAATCTCGTGGTCTTCATTGGGTCTGTGTCTACTCTTAATCCCAGGTCTAAGGACTACTCTGCCCCTGTGAATTTTGTGAGTGCGGGGCTGCGCAAGTCTGCAGCAGAGGAGAAGCCACAGCAGCAGATAGGTGGAGGGTCAGATGACTCTGACAATGACAACACTCCCCCTGCCCAACCCCCACCCCGCGACACTGCACCTAAGAAACTGCAGACGGTAGGTGTGTGTGGTGTGTGTGTTTTATGGGACCTTGAAGGAGCATTAGGTTCTTTGAATCAAAGGTTCAACACAGAATCAAATATGTTTTTATTTTTCTGTTTTTTACTGTTTAAAAAAAAATAAATGTTTTGTCATTTAGCAGACGCTCTTATCCAGAGCGACTTACAGTTAGTGAGTGCATACATTTGATATTTTTTTTTCATACTGGCCCCCCGTGGGAATCGAACCCACAACCCTGGCGTTGCAAACGCCATGCTCTACCAATGGAACTACATCCCTGCCAGCCATTCCCTCCCCTACCCTGGACGACGCTGGGCCAATTGTGCGCCGCCCCTTTGGGTCTCCCGGTCGCGGACGGCTACGACAGAGCCTGGATTCGAACCAGGATCTCTAGTGGCACAGCTAGCACTGCGATGCAGTGCCTTAGACCACTGCGCCACTGCGCCACTCGGCCGATAGACAAAATTATTAGGAGGACAGATTTTGTCTTACTTGCATGGTTAACTCTCTGTCTTTCTTCTGTCTGATTTCTCCAGGGCGGTAGTTTTCGTGGCAACAGCCAGTCCCAGAGGACTGGGTTTGCGGCCGGTATCCGAGCTGGAGGAGACTTGGGCACTTGGGAGAAACACACCAAGGGGATTGGCCAGAAACTCCTCCAGAAGATGGGCTACGTACCAGGGAAAGGACTGGGGAAGAACGCACAGGGTGGGTATGGGAGAGAGAGGGAAGGAACGAGAAAGAGGGGAGAGTAATGGAGGAGGTAGAGATTGAGGAACAAACAGAGATGGGGTATGTTTCAGGGAAAGGACTAACTTCTGCTAATTCTTCTGTTTGTTAAAGTTAAAATGGCCTCTATCGAATGCCTCTCTCCTCAGGTCTGACCTCTGAACCCTCTCTCCTAAGGTATTTTGAACCCCATCGAGGCGAAGCTTCGGAAGGGAAAGGGGGCGGTGGGCGCCTACGGCAACGAGAGAACCAAACAGTCACTACAGGACTTCCCTGTGGTAGACTCCGAGGAGGAGGAGGAGAAGGTAGCTCTCTCTCTCTCTCTCTCTCTCTCCCCATCCCCAACCACTTCAGTAGTCTGCTCACAGATCTGAAAGGGACTAGTTAGGTATAAACAATGCAGTGATGACCTTCCCACTATATTCCTCTCTCCTATCGAGTCCTTTTAGATTTGTGAGCACAACATCTGTATCTGGGTTAATGATGTATGCCTTAACATACCTTTATCCCCCTTTTTCTAGGAGTTCCAGAGGGAGCTTGGTCAGTGGCGTAGGGACCCTGTGGGTGGCGGAGGGAAGAAGAAACCAAAGTATTCCTACAGGACTGTAGAGGAGCTGAAGGCTAAAGGCAAGCTGGCTGGACGGACCACACAGACACCCGCTGGAGAACTGGCTCAGGTCAAGGTGAGGGAGAACACTTGCGCACACACACATAGTTACACATTTAAGTATCCAGAAACGGATTTAAACACGTGAATTTGATAATTTAAGAAGAAAGAAATGCTCCTCCTCTCTCTCTAGGTGATAGATATGACAGGCAGGGAACAGAAGGTTTATTACAGCTACAGTCAGATGACTAACAAACTCAGTGTACCAGAGGAGGCTCCACTGAGCGTGGCCACACGTGAGCAAAAGACGTCTGGCTTTGCCCTGCCAGAGCTGGAACACAACCTGCAACTACTGATCGACCTGACGGAACAAGACATACTACAGGTGACCTCTAACCCCTAGCATACACAACCTTCTGCTTCTGAGAGACAACACATCTCACCCATTACTATAACACTATTTCCAGAGAGTTCAGAAACTCGTATAAACTCACAATATCCCTGTCTGTCCTTCTGTAGTCCTCGCGGCGTCTGCAGCATGAGTGTGACGTGGTGGTGACTCTGAGCCACGAGAGCTCTGGTCTGCAGATGAGGCTGGGGACAGAACGGGATGCCATCCAGAGGCTAGAGGCAGTACTGCAGCTGGTGGATCGCTTTCAGAGTGGAGAGACTGCACCCGGGGTAGGACCCAGCCTGCAGGTACACACGTTTGTGCTCTCTCAGGACAAGTCATTGTTGAAGATGGAGAATAACAGTGGTCCCAGTATTGAACATTGTGGTACAAACTTTTCTTTATTGTATTTGACTCCCTCTCTCTTTCTCTCTCTCTAGGAGTGTGCTGGTGTCTTTGAGACTCTACAGAGTGAGTTCTATGAGGAGTACAAGACTCTGGGTTTGGGAGATCTGGCTGCGGCTGTAGTACATCCACTACTCAGAGAGAAACTACGTACATGGGATCCTCTCAAGGTACACACACACTCCCTTGCTTGCACCACCTTTTAGTTGTGGAAGCACCACGAAGTGCATGACAACACTCACATGTACTCCTAGTTTCCTCCACTGACTCCTGCTGTTTGTCTGTAGGACAGTTCATATGGTCTGGAGGAGGTGGGTCAGTGGCGAGCCATCCTGGAGTCTGATCAGCTTCATCACGCCAACGCCCCTGAAGCACACATGGACCCCTACCACAGGTAAGTCAATACCACTTCACACCTCAGAGTTGTGTGTCTGTGTGTGCACAGTGGGCAAGTGGCAAAAATACCAGAATGTCAAGCCTTATGTGAGTGAATATAATGTGTGTGTACAGGCTGTTGTGGGAGGTGTGGATCCCTGTGCTGCGAGTGTGTGTGTCGGGGTGGCAGCCTCGTATGGTAGGACCCATGGTGGACTGTGTGGAGGTCTGGGCCCCTCTGCTGCCCCTCTGGATACTAAACCACCTCCTGGAACAACTCCTCTTCCCAAGGCTGCAGAGAGAGGTAGAATCACACACACATCAGCGCTATACCAGTGATGCAAATATGAAGTCTCATGTTGTGCCAAGCTGTCTGTTGACAAAGGGAGAAACGTTTCACAACCTTAAAGTAGTAGTAGTTTGGTCTTGGTGGGGTAGCTCAGAGCGTCACTCTTTTCTACCCAGAACCATAAACATCATGAACGCGCTCTTTCTACCCCCACTAACCCCACCCCTTCTCTTTGATAGGTGGATAGCTGGAACCCCCTGACCGACACAGTGCCCATCCACTCCTGGCTCCACCCCTGGCTGCCTCTGCTCCAATCACGGCTGGAGCCTCTGTACCCGCCCATCCGCAGTAAACTGGCCAATGCGCTGCAGCGCTGGCACCCGAGTGACGGCTCCGCCCGCCTCATCCTCCAACCATGGAGAGACGTGTTCACGCCTGGTGCCTGGGAGGCCTTCATGGTCAAAAACATCATCCCTAAACTAGGTACACACCACACTTACCTTGAGTGGCCCCTGAAGCCAACTGAATTGCCTCAAAGGGACACAGAGAGTGCAGCACCCTCTTCCCTATATAGTGCACTACTTTTGACAAACTCTGGTCATAAGTAGTGCACTATAAAGGAAAAGGGGTGCCAAAATGGGGACACAGACAGATATTACTGCATAGTAGAACAGTAGTTTCTTACATCCGGCTCTCCTTCCCTATAGCTCTGTGTCTGGGAGAGCTGGTAATAAATCCTCACCAGCAGCAGATGGAGCCGTTCAATTGGGTGTTGGACTGGGAGGGCATGCTGTCTCCCTCCAGCCTCGTATCACTGCTGGACAAACACTTCTTCCCCAAGTGGCTACAGGTATGTGTGAGAGAGAGCACAGAGGTTGTGCTTAATGATAGTTGACTTATTCCTTATTTGTGATTATCTGTGCTGTTTTTTTAGACCTAAATAGTCTGTAAATGTTCTTAACTATGCAGAGATAATTGATTTGTATGTTTGTATGTGTGTGTAGGTGCTGTGTTCGTGGCTCAGTAACAGTCCTAACTATGAGGAGATTACAAAGTGGTACCTGGGCTGGAAGTCCATATTCAGTGATGCTGTTCTGGCTCAGCCACTCGTCAAGGACAAGTTCAATGAAGCTCTGGACATCATGAATCGCGCTGTCTCCTCTGGCCTTGGTTAATATTACACACACACAGCTCCAAACAACATTAACTGAGCACTGACCTTTGGCCCTGTGTAGCTCAGTTGGTAGAGCATGGTGCTTGCAACGCCAGGGTTGTGGGTTTGATTCCCACGGGGGGCCAGTATGAAAATGTATGCATTCACTAACTAAGTCGCTCTGGATTAGAGTGTCTGCTAAATGACTCAAATGTAAAATGTTAATATGATACACACTCACCCTTCTCTTTCTCTTTCTGTAGGTGTGGGGTACATGCAGCCCGGTGCCCGTGAAAACATAGCATACCTCACACACACAGAGCGTCGTAAGGACTTCCAGTACGAGGCTCTGCAGGAGCGCCGGGACGCTGAGAGCGTGGCGCAGCGAGGCATCGGTGTCAGCCTGCCCACCAACTTCAAAGACCTGATCCAGACCAAGGCTGAGGAGAACAACATCGTCTTCATGCCGCTGGTTGCCAAACGCCACGAGGGCAAACAGCTGTACACCTTCGGACGCATCATCATCTATATAGACAGAGGAGTGGTCTTCGTACAGGGAGAGAAGACCTGGGTCCCTACGTCCCTACAGAGTCTCATAGATATGGCCAAGTGATAGAGGGAGTACATAGAGATGGAGATAAGGTTAAGGCTGTGCAGAGGCAGTGCGCTTGTCATTTGTTTGTAATACGTTTGATATTCAGCTGGTGATCACTGAAATATGTAATTGGAACCATGAATAAATGATTTTTTGACTTTCTACTTTAGAGTTTTTTTTTTTATTGTAAACTCACCACTGCAAGCCAAGAGTATTGCTTGTGGAAGTTTAAATTACTTAGCTGTAAATTCAAGATAACCCAGATAGGCATTTTGGCTGACCGAAAGCCTTGTGTATGTTTGCCTACCACTGTTGCACAAGTTCTAGTGAGAAGAGAACAGTCAAGATGATGAACTAGTGAGGCGCGGGACTCCAGTGCCCTAGGTGGCGGTATGCATCTTACGTCTCACTAGTTTACCTGCTGCCGTGACCAACGAAGAACATTGCTACCCATAGTGCTTTGCGTTAGAACTGGAAACTGCATGAGCTTTATGGATAAATGAACGTTCTGATTTAGTTTTCCGTATTTTATATCGTTTTGGTGAGTATATCGTGTGTGGTGCCTCCAATATTTGTTATTGCTACTTTGATAGCTAGCTAGCTAGCTTGTGCATTTACTAACTTTAGCTAGCTGGCTAACAACACCATCGTTATAACAATATTTGCCATTTTGGCCAGAGCATAGATATAGAGGACTAATCGTGGATATAACTCGTTTTGGCATGGACATAGTCACAGATTGCCTGGAAACGCGACGTAGAATTCAATGCAATTCAACGTCGGGCAGCAATGAGCATTTGAATCAGGAAAGTTTACTCTCATGACCTCTACAAAGCCTCCACTTTACCGGTTGTCCGACCATGCGGTTAGTCCTTTTGGTGGTAGGAATGTAAAACCCTATATCCACAGGAAAGTGTAATTACATCAACTTTTCAATGCGCTGGTAACGCAAGTGTGTTCATATTTCTATCATCTGAAGCATGCGCATAACCATGTAAACACGTGCACGAGCTCAGCGCATGTTTCAGGTGATGTAAATCTGAATGTACTAGAATCACAGCCTTAATCATGTTACAACGCACCAATATGATCTCGCTAGCTCGTGCTTGGCTTTGCTCATCTCCTTGCTGGTTCTGCCCACTGCTTCATTTGCTCCCACTGTAAACGACACATTAACTATTTGCTCTCAAATATTTGTCATCTGATGCATTCGTTTGAGTCTCTGAATTGTTTAATCAAACTTTGCCGCCAGCTCCTGATATTAGGGTATTAAAAACTACAACCTCTGTCTCCTGAATTAGCCAAGTGCGCATGTGCACCAAGCTATATAAAAAATAAATATGCCATTTAGCAGACGCTTTTATCCAAAGCGACTTACAGTCATGCGTGCATACATTTTTGTGAATGGGTGGTCCCGGGGATCGAACCCACTACCTTGGCGTTACAAGCGCCGTGCTCTACCAGCTGAGCTACAGAGGAGCACTCCTGTCCCGATCATGTTTTGCACAGTTTTCCCTGGCTAAACTAGCTGGCTAGCTGAACTATGCTAGTTTTAGTCCTCATGGCCAAACTTCATAAGTACTGCACCCTCCAACTTAAAAACAAGTTATACAATCATGTAACTAAGAAATTCACTGGAAATAAACTTTAATTATTGTTTTGTTGAATAGTCATGACTGGTTCGAGCTATGGCGAATGATATCATTAATACCTAAACTAAAATATTTAACTTTTTAGGTGACCAACCAATGTTAGCTGTAGAGCTGTCATAATCATTGAAAGTCTAAAAAGTGGTGGATCTGTTCTATTTGCACTATTTCTATGCTTCCCGGTCCAAGTTTTGTTTTTGCGTCTTGTACTTTCGGTTCTGTACACCAGCTTCAAACAGTTGAAAACACAATATTTGTAGTTATTTAAAATATATTTCACAGCGGTTTAGATGGTACAATGATTCTCTACACTTGCTTGTTTTTTCACATACTGAAATTAGGCAAACTATTCAAATATTTTCAAGCAGGAAATGGCGAAGCGATTTGTGCATATTGCACCTTTATCGCAGATCCAAGTTCAGTTTTGAACTCCACCGGCGTCATTGGCGTAGGTTTAGCTGGACGTTTCTGACTGGTCTTGGAACTGTGACAACGGGCAGCCTCTCCCTGCATGGCTCGATGGGATATCTAGTGCATTTGCCATCACAGCCAGAAATGTACACAGTCCTGTACCATTAACTTTTTAAAAACTGATATCATATTTGTTGATTTGCAGTGCATTCGGAAAGTATTCAGACCCCTTGACTTTTTCCACATTTTGTTACGTTACAGCCTTATTCCAAAATTGATTCAATATTTTTTCTCCCTCATTAATCTACACATAATACCCCATAATGACAAAGCAAAACAGTTTTTTTCTTCTTGGGTATGATGCTACAAGCTTGGCACACCTGTATTTGGGGAGTTTCTCCCATTCTTCTCTGCAGATCCTCTCAAGCTCTGTCATGTTGGATGGGGAGCGACGCTGCACAGCTATTTTCAGATCGGGTTAAAGTCTGGGCTCTGGCTGGGCCACTCAAGGACATTCAGAGACTTGTCCCGAAGCCACTCCTGCGTTGTCTTGGCTGTGTGCTTAGGGTCGTTGTCCTGTTGGAAGGTGAACCTTCACCCCAGTCTGAGGTCCTGAGCGCTCTGGAGCAGGTTTTCCTCAAGGATCTCTCTGTACTTTGTGCCATTCATCTTTCCCTCAATCCTGATTAGTCTTCCAGTCCCTGCTGCTGAAAAATATCCCCACATTATGACGCTGCCACCACCATGCTTCACCGTAGGGATAGTGACAAAGAGTTCAATCTTGGTTTCATCAGACCAGATAATCTTGTTTCTCATGGTCAGAGTCCTTTAGGTGCCTTTTGGCAAACTCCAAGCGGGCTGTCGTGCCTTTTACTGAGAATTTGCTTCCGTCTGGCCACTCTACCATAAAGGCATGATTGGTGGAGTGCTGCAGAGATGGTTGTCCTTCTGGAAGGTTCTACCATCTCCACAGAGGAACTCTAGAGCTCTGTCAGAGTGACCATCGGGTTCTTGGTCCCCCTCCCTGACCAAGGCCCTTCTCCCCCGATTGCTCAGTTTGGCCAAGCGGCCAGCTCTAGGAAGAGTCTTGGTGGTTCCTAACTTCTTCCATTTAAGAATGATGGAGGCCACTGTGTTCTTGGGGACCTTCAATGCTGCAGAAATGTTTTGGTACCCTTCCCCAGATCTGTGCCTCGACACAATCCTGTCTCTGAGCTCTACGGACAATTCCTTCGATCTCATGGCTTGGTTTTTGCTCTGACTGTCAACTGTGGGACCTTTATATAGACAGGTGTGTGCCTTTCCAAATTATTTCCAATCAATTGAATTTACCACAGGTGTACTCCAATGAAGTTGTAGAAACATCTCAAGGATGATCAATGGAAACAGGATGCACCTGAGCTCAATTTCTAGTCTCATAGCAAAGGGTCTGAATACTTATGTAAATAAGGTATTTCTGTTTTCTTATTTTTAATACATTTGCGCAAATTTCTAAAAACCTGTTTTCGCTTAGTCATAATGGTGTACTGTGTGTAGATTGATGAGGAAAAACAATAATTTAATTCAATTTAGAATAAGGCTGTAACATAACAAAATGTGTAAAAGGGAAGGGGTCTGAATCCTTTCCGAATGTACTGTATATCTGACTTTATTCATATAATGAGTAATCCAGGAATGTCACGTGTTAATTGACACGAGAACGCCAAGGGCTAAATTACTTCCGGACACAAAGGGTCCACGGAGCTCCTCCTCCTCCTCACCACTCTATTGCCATTGAGGGCTTCCGCCATTTTAAAGTAGTCAACTGGGTGGGGATTCCTATAGGTTGTACCCTTAGTGGCACTGTCCATGCTGTCATAGACACTATAATGGGACGGGTATAAAGACGAGTCTTCTATTTATCTCTGTGGGCCAGAGATACAGTACTTTTGAGGAGATGGGAATCTCCATTGGATTTGTATTAATCCCAATTATGTACGTTGCCCGTACATTGCCAATGGGCTGTGCATTCTGTGTACAATCCTGCAAGGAGAGCTCTCCTTCAAGGAGTGAATGGGAGTAAATTGGGCGCTAGCACAAAAACCCTACATCAGCATGAATTACGTGAACTAGAAGCTCAACATGACAAAAAAATTCGGAGATTTGAGATAATGAATTCTCTGTAATATTGTATAGCTTTGAAATCGTGACATTATGTACTTTAGAGGAAAATAGGCATGTTTCTCGACTCATTCGTACTTTTAAAGGGATTGTGTGACGATTATCTTAGCAACTGCGTTACGCAGCATGACAATGAACACGATTGGTTGACAGTCTGCTGGGTGGGGCATTATACGTTTTTCAGTTCATTGGCCACTGTGATTCCGATCTCCTACTTTCTCTAATATCTCTGTCGTGCCTAGCGTATATAGCTAGCTTTCTATAGAAATATTTTTTCTGTATTTAGTGTCCTCTGACGTTCACAAGCCATGTCCGATGCCCTGAAGAAGCGCAAGTCGAAGGTGCTCCGCAGCGAGACAGGCACACCGGAGGGGAAATGCGGCCGCGGAGAGGGGGACCAGGTGAGCACTAGTCTCTCTAGACAGACAGGTTACCTTCCACAATATACCAAAAGTGCTGTTGACTGGGTTTTCAAAACTAGGTGAACAAAGGAGTGGACAGCAGTGGGAGGGGAGGGGGGGGGGGGGGCAAGGTGAGAACTGTAGAGAGAGGGGAGGCAGAAGAGTATAGAGAGAGAAGGGGAGGGAGCGTTACCAAAATTGAGTGTGTGTGTGTGTGTTCAGGACGTGCGTGTGTACAGTGAGGAAGTGGAGCTGGATGGCAGGAACCCTGAAGAGGACTACCAGCAGTATAAACTGACCTGTGAAGCTCTGGCCAAACTGATGAACGACATCCAGGAGCTGAAAGCCAACGGAGCCAAGGATGGGGTGAGACGCACACAGTCAGAAAATGAGTGTCCTATACACTCAGACACTACTCAGTCTTATAAGAGAATTGCTCTAACCCCCATGATGTCTGCCCTTCCCTCCAGTGTGCTGAGGTAGAGGAGAAGAGGATGCAGAGCTGTATCCACTTTATGAGCCTGAAGAAACTCAACCGCCTCGCTCACATGAGACTGAAGAGGGGGAGAGACCATACACACGAGGTACATACACAGTGAGGTCCAAAAGGATTTGGACAGTAGCAAGGTTTCCATCCAATTGGTGACAGATTTTCATGCGAATATGATAGAATCCGCATAAAGAAAATATGCGCATTTTCACACCAGTAGTGGGTTTACACCAAATGGACTTGTTGCGGGTAAAAATCAGTGCGTAATGACGTATTGCACACAATGTACTTTTTCACTTAAGTTTTCATGTACCAAATAAAAATCTAAAGTTCGATGTGTTTCCATCACATTTTCAAATCTACAGATACACTACATGACCAAAAGTATGTGGACACCCGCTCGTCGAACATCTCATTCCAAAATCATGTGCATTAATATGGAGTTGGTCCCCCCTTTGCTGCTGTAACAGCCTCCACTCTTCTGGGAAGGCTTTCCACTAGATGTTGGAACATTGCTGCGGGGACTTGCTTCCATTCAGCCACAAGAGCATTAGTGAGGTCGGGCACTGATGTTGGGTGATTAAGGCCTTGCTCGCAGTCAGCGTTCCAATTCATCCCAAAGGTGTTCGATGGGGTTGAGGTCAGGGCTCTGTGCAGGCCGGTCAAGTTCTTCCACACCGATCTCAACAAACCATTTCTGTATGGACCTCGCTTTGTGCACAGGGGCATTGTCATGCTGAAACAGGAAAGGGCCTTCCCCAAACTGTTGCCACAAAGTTGGAAACACATAATCGTCTAGAATGTCCAGAATCGTCTATGCTGTAGCATAAAGATTTCCCTTCACTGGAACTAAGGGTCCTAGCCCAAACCATGAAAAACAGCCCCAGATCATTATTCCTCCTCCACCAAACTTTACAGTTGTCACTATGCATTCCGGCAGCTAGCGTTCTCCTGGCATCCGCCAAACCTAGATTCGTCCATCCGACTGCCAAATGGTGAAGCGTGATTCATCACTCCAGAGAACGCATTTCCACTGCTCCAGAGTCCAATTGCGGCGAGCTTTACACCACTCTAGCCGACACTTGGCATTGCACATGGTGATCTTAGGCTTGTGTGCGGCTGCTCGGCCATGGAAACCCATTTCATGAAGCTCCAGACAAACAGTTATTGTGCTGACGTTGCTTCCAGAGGCAGAGGCAGTTTGGAACTCGATAGTGAGTGTTGCAACCGAGGACAGACAATTTTTAAGCGCTTCAGCATTCGGCGTTCCCATTCTGTGAGCTTGTGTGGCCTACCACTTCGCGGCTGAGCCGTTGTTGCTCCTAGATGTTTCCACTTCACAATAACAGCACTTACATTTGACTTGTTGTCCAACTGACTTGTTGGAAAGGTGGCATCCTGTGACGGTGCCACATTGAAAGTCACTGAGCTCTTCAGTAAGGCCATTCTTCTGCCAATGTTTGTCTATGGAGATTGCATGGCTGTGTGCTCGATTTTTATACACCTGTCAGCAACGGGTGTGGCTGAAATAGCCGAATCTACTAATTTGAAGGGTCGTCCACATACTTTTGTATATACGTAGCCTTCAAAAAGTATTCACACCCCTTTACTTTTTCCACATTTTGTTGAATTCAAAATTGATTAAATCGTTTTTATCTTCATCAATCTACACACAATACCCCATAATGACAAAGCAAAAACATGTCTTTAGAAATTTTATTCAGACCCTTTACTCAGTACTTTGTTGAAGCACCTTTGGCAGCGATTACTGCCTCGAGTCTTCTTGGGTATGACGCTACAAGCTTGGCACACCTGTATTTGGGGAGTTTCTCCCATTCTTCTCTGCAGATCCTCTCAAGCTCTGTCAGGTTGGATGGGAAGCGTCGCTGCACAGCTATATTCAGGTCTCTCGAGATGTTCGATCGGGTTCAAGTCCGGGCTCTGGCTGGGCCACTCAAGGACATTCAGAGACTTGTCCCGAAACCACTACTGCGTTGTCTTAGCTGTGTGCTTAGGTTCGTTGTCCTATTGGAAGGTGAACCTTCGCCCCAGTCTGAGGTCCTGAGCGCTTTGGAGCAGCTTTTCATCAAGGATCTCTCTGTACTTTGCTCAGTTTGGCCGGGCAGCCAGCTCTAGGAAGAGTCTTGGCGGTTCCAAACTTCTTCCATTTAAGGATGATGGAGGCCACTGTGTTCTTGGGGATCTTCAATGCTGCAGAAATGTTTTGGTACCCTTCCACAGAACTGTGCCTCGACACAATCCTGTCTCGGAGCTCTACGGACAATTCCTTTTGACCTCATGGCTTGGTTTTTGCTCTGACATGCACTGTCAACTGTGGGACCTTTATATAGACAGGTGTGTGCCTTTCCAAATCATGTCCAATCATCTGCATTTACCACAGGTGGACTCCAAGTTGTAGAAACATCTCAAGGATGATCAATGGAAACAGGATGCACCTGAGCTCAATTTCGAGTCTCATAGCAAAGGGTCTGAATACTTATGTAAATAAGGTATTTGATAATTTTTTTGTGACATTTTCAAACATTTATAAAAACCTGTTTTCGCTTTGTTATAATGGGGTATTGTGTGTAGATTGATGGAAACATGTATTTAATCCATTTTAGAATAAGGCTGTAAAGAAACCAATTGTGGAAAAGGGGAAGTGGTCTGAATACTTTCCAAATGCACTGTATAGTGTATAAACGCAACATTTTTGAGTTACAGTTCATATGAGGAAATCAGTCAATTTAAATAAATAAATTAGGCCCTAATCTATATATTTCACATGACTGGGAATACAGATATGCATCTGTTGGTCACAGATACTGTACCTTAAAAAAAAAAAAGTAGGTGCGTGGATCATAAAACCAGTCAGTTTCACTTCCACAGGCGGCTGATTGTGGCCTGTGGAGTGTTGCCCACTCCTCTTCAGTGGCTGTGTGAAGTTGCTGGATATTGGTGGGAACTGGAACAAGTTGTCGATCCAGAGCATCCCAAACATGCTCAGTCGGTGACATGTCTGGGGAGTATGCCGGCCATGGAAGAACTGGGACATTTTCAGCTTCCTGGAATTTTGCATAGATCCTTGCGCAGTGGGGCTGTGTATTATTATGCTGAAACATGAGGTGATAGCGGCGGAGGAATGGCACAACAATCGGCCTCAGGATCTCGTCACAGTATCCATGTGCATTCAAATTGCCATTTTATAAAATGCAGTTGTGTTTGTTGTCGGTAGCTTATGGCTGCCCATACCATAACCCCACCGCCACCATGGGGCACTCTGTTCACAACGTTGACATCAGCAAACCGCTCGCCCACACAACGCCATACACATGGTCTGCGGTTGTGAGGCCGGTTGGACGTACTGTCAAATTCTCTAAAATGATGGACGCAGCTTATGGTGAAGAATTTAACTAATTAATTAAATTCTCTGGCAACAGCTCAGGTGAACATTACTGCAGTCGGCATGCCAATTGCACATTCCCTCAACTTGAGACATCTGTGGCATTGTGTTGTGTGACACAACTGCACATTTTAGTGGCCTTTTATTGACCCCAGCACAAGGTGCACCTGTGTAATAATCATGCAGTTTAATCAGATTCTTGATATGCCACACCTGTCAGGTGGATGGATTTTCTTGGCAAAGGAGAAATGCTCACTAACAGGGATGTAAACCAATTTATGCACAACATTTTAGAGAAATAAGCTTTTTGTGTGTATGGAACATTTCTGAGATTTTATTTCAGCTCATGAAACATGGGACCAACACTTCACATGTTGCGTTTATATTTTTGTTCATTGTAGTAACACAAGATATAAAATACACAAGAATGAATCTATATACAGGGAGTACCATATAAATGTGCAGGGGTACGAGGTATCTGAGGTAGATATGTACATGAAGGCAGGGTAAAGAGACTAGGCATCAGGATACATTATAAGAGTAAGAATAAAGAACTGAGTAGCATCAGCAAATTATGAGTTTGAAAGTTTGTGTGAGTGCGTATGTAGGGTATGAATGTGTGTGGGTATATTTGTGTAGTAGTGTGAGTGTGTGCTGCTTCAGAAAGTATTCACACTCCTTGACTTTTTCCACATTTTGTTGTGTTACAGCCTGAATTTAAAATGGATTAAATTGAGTGTTTTTGTCACTGGCCTACACACAGTACCCCATAATGTCAAAGTGGAATAATGTTAATTTACACATTTAATAAAAAATTATTTTTGTGACACATCCAATAAGCTTGACTCTACAAACCTTTTGGTTGTATTTGCAGTTTGTTTTTGTTTCAGATTATTTTGTGCCCAATTGAAATGAATGGGAAATAATGTATTGTCAGTTTGGAGTCACATAATGTAAATAAGAATAGAGTATGTTTCTGAACATTTCTACATGAATGTGGATGCTATGGATAATCAGCAATGATGAGTGATAAAGTTAACCTCCCCTGTTATTGATAATGGTGAGAGGTTAGCATGTCTTGGGGTATGATCTTTGTGCCTCTAACTTTCACTCATCATTCTTCACAATTCATTGAAGATTATCCATAGTCATGGTAGCATCCACATTAATGTAGAAGTGTTCAGAAACATTCTATTCTTATTTACAATAAAAGTGACTCCAAAATGACACAATTCCTATTGTGCACAAAATCATCTGAAACACAACCAAAACAAACTGCAAAAGCATCCAACAAGTTTGTAGAGCCACAAGCTTGATGTAGTCATTGCATGCTAGGAATATGGGACCTGAACTGAACTTTTGACTACTTTAATACACAAGTGAATTTGTACAAAGACTTCTGGTTCCCTAAAAGGGGGAGACTATGTACAGAAAGTGTTGTAATTTCTAAACGGTTCACCCGATATGGATGAAAATACCCTGAAATGAAAGCTGACAGTCTGCACTTTAACCCCATAGTCATGTGCTGGAGTAAAGAGCCAAAACAACAAAATGTGTCACTGTCCAAATACTTTTAGACCTCACTGTATATACACTTTCACATGCAACATTTTAGAAATCCCTCTACACACCCACAGCAAAAGCATCTATTAACACCCCTCTCCCCCTCTCCCTGTCTCCCTCCAGGGCAAGCAGAGAGTGGATGTGTTGCACTTGCAGCTCCAGAACCTGCTCTATGAGGTCATGCACCTGCAGAAGGAGATCAGCAAGTGTCTGGAGTTCAAGTCAGTACCACTGGGGGGGGGGGGTGTTCTAATTCACATTTGCTCCAAGTCTGTACGACTAAGCCCAGGAATGAGACGCTTCGTGAGTATTGCTCTTTGTTGTTGATTTTCTCTCTGCATGTGTGTCCAGGTCTAAACATGAGGAGATAGATCTGGTGAGTGTAGATGAGTTCTACCAGGAGGCCCCCCCTGAGATCTCCCGCACCCTCCTCACCAAGGATGACCCCCACCAACTCACACTGGCCAGGTTGGACTGGGAACTGGAACAGAGGAAGAGGTACCACACTCACACTGAGACACTGTTGTTCCTCTGTAGGTTGGCTAAGCAGTACATCAACTCCCACTGTTCTCTGGGCAATTTGTGTGTGTGTGTTTGTAGGTTGGCTGAGCAGTACAAGGAGTCTCTGTCCAGTAAGGAGAAGATCCAGAAAGGCATTGAGGTGAAGAAGGAACACCTGAGTTCTCTACAGCCTGGACTCAACGCTATCATGCAGGTACAATGAAGCAAAGTGAATTTAAACCTCCCTGGAAGCCATAGCAGCATTCAATTGACAGAACAACACCAGTCCCACAGCTTTTACAAGTCCAGATTTCTGTCTGGTATGGATGGCTGGACATGTGCATGATAACACACTGCAGGCAAGGGCTTCTGAAATGGCCTTATCCCCAGAATGTGACCTTCCAGGCCTGAAACCTAAACCGGTCTCCTTCCCCAGGCATCCCTCCCGGTCCAGGAGTACCTCTCCATGCCGTTTGAACAGACCCAGAGACAGACAGAGATCGCCCGCCACCTCCCACCCTCTCTCTACGTCCTACTGGTTCAGGCCAGCGCTTACGGACAGGCCTGCGGTGAGTGTTTCTGTATGTTTACTTACATACGCACATCCTTAAACTTAAGTGCTGGGCTAATAAAGAATTCTTGTAAAGAACAGGAAGGCCCGCACACTGTTTATGCTCCCAGTTCACTGCTTTATTGACAACGTATTGATCCAAAACTGATCTTCGTCAGCTTCTTTACTTACATTTGTGAACACGATTTTGTCACTTTTTCCATTGTCAAATTATCAATTTTGTGGAGGACATGCGGTTTTCATGTTTGTATTTGTGTGTGTTTCAGATAAAAGCCTGAGTGTGTCCATCAGTGGAGATGTGGACGAGGCCAAAGCTCTGTCTAAACCTCCAGAGGACTCGCAGGGTAAGACTTCAGCATTTACATTTTTAGTCATTTAGCAGACGCTCTTATCCAGAGCGACTTACAGTTAGTGAATACATTATTTAAATTTTTTATACTGGCCCCCCGTGGGAACCCGTGGGAATCGAACCCACAACCCTGCAAACGCCATGCTCTATCAACTGAGCTACATCCCTGCCGGCCATTCCCTCCCCTACCCTGGACGGTGCTGGGCCAATTGTGCACCGCCCATGAGTCTCCCGGTCGCGGCCGGCTGCGACAGAGCCTGGATTCGAACCAGGATCTCTAGTGGCACAGTTAGCACTGCGATGCAGTGCCTTAGACCACTGCGCCACTCAGCATGCCTGGCTGCCTGTTAATTACTCTATACTGTGTGTGTGTGTGTGTTCGACAGGGTAGTGATTAAATACAGAAAGCTCTGTGTGTATTTTTGGACGGGGCACAGTGGTGTAGTAGAGAAGTGTGTGTTCTGACTGTGCATTTAAGTGTGTGTATTCTGATTCTCTCTCCTCTCTAGATGATGATTCTGGTGATTCTGATGCAGAGGAGGAGCAAGAGAAAACGGTCTGTCCCACACCATGCTGCCACTAGAGGCCCTCCTAATACCACTCTGTACACACACACGTCAGTGTCAACGAGTTCACCTCTCCTCTCTACACACATTGTCCCAACAACCTCTGCTGACACACACACTGTAATGGCAGACAGGGAAAGGAGGTCTATTGATTGCTTCCTGACTGGTGCCATGTGGTGTGTTCTGGGAAGCATGGATAAGATAGGTCACTATAACCCAAGCCCACACACAGTTGGCAGTCATACTCTTCCTTCTCCCACACGTGTGTCATACTCCTACTCCTCACACACTCTCACTCACATATACTTTACACACTACCACACATACAAGCCTTTTTTATATTGTATTTATTTATTCATCTTTTTGCTGAAGACATCCGTCCGTCTGTGATTTGCCTGGTCACATTACTGCTACTCTGTCACTACACCTCAGCTGACACTCCTTTTCTCCCTCCCTCCCTTCATCTAGTCCTTCTCTTTCGCTGTGAAATAATTCTGAGGTGAAGGGCAAGCCAAGGTTAACTCTGTCCTCCTATGGCCAGCTGCAATGAGAGATGATCAGTTAGGATTATAGATTGTGTACCCAAATAGCACCCTATTTCTTATATAGTGCACTACTTTAGACCAGGACCAGACATCTGTACATCTGATTAATTAAGCAATAAGGCACCTCAGGGGTTTGTGGTATATGGCCAATATACCACGGCTAAGGGCTGTTCTTACGCATGACACAACACGGAGTGCCTGGATACAGCCCTTAGCCGTGGTATATTGGCCATATACCACAAACCCCCGAGGTGCCTTATTGCTATTATAAACAGGTTACCAATGTAATTAGAGCAGTAAAAATAAAAGTTTTGTCATACCCATGGTATACGGTCTGATATACCACAGCTGTCAGCCAATCAGCATTCAGGGCTCAAACCACCCAGTTTATAATGAGCAGTAGAACATGACGGCATGATAAAATACTAATGGTAATACTCCCCCCCCCCTTCTCTTCCTCTCTCTCTCTCTCTCTCTCTCTCCCTCTCTCTCTGTAGAAGAGGAGGAGACCTACTACAGGTGGTCAGCTGGATGATAAGAGACGTGAGATGCTGAAGAGACACCCTCTCTCCCTTTGTCTGGACCTCAAATGCAAAGGTACACACACATACTGTTCCTATGTGACAGGCAGCAGGACCCTGTCACTGGGACAGTAGAGGAGATATGATCATTCAGAGCTATATGATAGGACTGTTAGGAACTGATATTAATAGTGGTGATGAGGATTCTGTGGACATTGTACATGATGACAATTAGGTGGGTTCCTATATTTGTCCTATTTTGATGATGATAATGGTGGTTCGGTGCATAGATGACAGTGAATAAACAGTTATTGTCCAATGGGCAATGACATCACTACAGAGGTTACACAAGGTCGCCTCTCCTCTCCTGGCTCTGCAGTCAGACAGAACCCAATAACACCCTGAGAGACTGACACACACACACACACACTGCTTTTAATGCAGCAAACAGCCAAAAGCTGCCCCATGGTTTAGAGGACAACAGAGAGCGCAAGAGGAGGCTGATGAAAATAGGCCTAGAATAAGGTGTGACTGCTGCAGCCCTACACTGCTGCCAGCTCCGCAGTCCACTCCTGCCTGCCTACCAGTGGATGGATGAAGTTACACCTGCAATGCTGAACATCCTCCCCTTCGCTTCTCCATCTCTCCTTCCCCTCGTCCCTCCTCTTCTACATCTTCCTCCTCTCTTCTCATCCTCATTTCCTCTCTTCCTCTTCTCCTCTCTTCCTCCTTGTCGTCAGGATATAAACAGTCCCTCTCCTCTCCTTGGCTCAACCCATCCTATACACCTACACAGTAGCACTAAGTGTCAGACTGGAGCAGTGACACCATGACATCATACTATACATTGTACTATATAATTAAGTGTCAATTCACACTGGGATGACTGTTGCTGGTGGGACCTTTTGGCAGGGAGGCAATTTACCATCCACAGTACATAGATGGCATCATGCTCACATAGACACACATTACCTGTCTCATCTCCCTGTTTGCTGAATAGAATATGCAGTTTATATATATTTATTATTAATAGATGGCATCATGCTCACAGACACACCCAGTGAACCCTTCTCCTCTCCCTCGGTCTGTCTAGACGGCAGTGTGCTGCATCTGTTCTTCTACTACCTGATGAACCTGAACATCATGACTGTCAAGGCCAAAGTCTCCACCACCACAGACCTCACTGGAGCCATCAGCGCAGGGTACGCGCGTGTGTGTGTGTGTGTGTGCGTGTCGTGTTTGTGGAGTTTGGAGTGTATGACTGTGTTGTAATTGTGTCCTCTCTCAGGGAGCTGTTAAACTCTGACACGCTGCTCAACTGCCTGTATGCCAACGACCAGGGCCGCGAGACACCCAACCCCGCTAACCGCTACCAGTTTGATAAAGTGGGGTAAGGATGCTGTCCTAACACCAGACTCCCATACACACACACACACACCTTGTACAGTTGCTTCAGTATCAATACAGATATTATTTGATGATTGTAGGATCAGTATGAATGATTATATTGTGTTTTCTTATAGGATCAGTTCGTTTGGAGACTACGTGGCAGAGTTGGGTCATCCCTACCTGTGGGTGCAGAGTCTAGGAGGACTGCAGTTCCCCAGTGATGCCCCAGAGGTGTGTGGTGTGTGTGTGTGGCCCTGCCATTGCGTATAGTAAAGTGTCTCCTGCTATGGGGTGCACTTCCTGAGTGTGTGTGGTGTGTGTGTTTTTCAGGGTTTGCGTGCGGGCAGTTCTCTGAGTGCCAGTCACATGGAGAGCACTATGAAGCTGTTGAGAGGACGAGTCCAGTCACGCCTGGCCCTGCACAAACAGTTCTCCTCACTAGGTACACACACACACACACACATCTGGCCCGGCATAAAGAGTTCTCCTCACATTTCTCATCTCTGGCTACACACACAGACAAAATAACCTGTCTCCTGCATGCTGTTGGTATTGTTTTTCTGTTTTCAGAGCACAGTATAGTTCCAGTGTCCAGTGAGTGCCAGCACCTGTTCCCTGCTAAGGTTCTCTCCCGCCTGGCTCGCTGGACTACCATGTCACACCAGGAGTACACAGTAAGACTCACACAACCTCCCATTTTGTTTGCTCTCTCTACACAATCAAGGAGTACACAGGAAGCACACAATCTTGACTACAACTCACACTCACTATAACAACTTCTGGCTCTCATTGGAGCTGCGGTGTAGATGGTGTTGCTATAATAAGCATTGTGTGAATCAAGGAGGTTTTAATTAAGTAAAACGTATACTGGTAGCTTACTTTTCTTTGTGTTCTATCTCTCTCTAGAATCTGTCGTTCACGCAGCATGTGTCAGAAGCAGGTCTGGCTCGGGAGACTGACCTGTTCTTCATGGCTGTGGTGGAGCGAGGAACAGGTAAAGATCAGGGGGCAAAGTGATGAGTCACTATGTAATATATGAAGACATTTCTGAAGAAATGGAGGCCTCTCTCTTTGCTTTGTTTAGACCATAGGATTCCTTAGAAATGTCTGGAAAATAAACTCTTTCTCTTTCCCCCCTCAGCTCGTCTTCAGGCTGCAGTGGTGTTGAACCCCCGTTACTCAGAAATCTCTCCTCTGTTTGCTCTTTCACTCAGCTGGAAGGGCGAATGCAGCGGACGTACAGATGACAACCTCAGAGTGAGTATACACACACACACTGAATATGAGACCCTAACCCAGGGGAGGATCTCTATATTATGTTATGTCCTTTGATGTCACTGGTTAGTGGTTAGTCACACACACCGGCTGTGACTGACATGTGTAACCCCTCCCCCAGGCCATGGAGAGTGAGGTGAATGTGTTTAAGTCGGAGCTCCAGGGGCCCCGCCCAGGGCACCAGCTGCTGACCAATCAGGTAGCTCGTCTGTGTGTCTGTCTGGACGTATACCTGGAGACTGATGGACAGGATGACAGTGTGGAGGGACCACAGGAGTTTCTCAGAGAGAAGATGTGTCTACGCACCGTAAGGTACACATACACATGCGCACACACTCACACTCACACTTCTCTCTCGTATTTCTGACAGCGTGTTTCTCTCTGGTTGTGTTTCAGGGGTCCGAACCGTCTGAAGCCGTTCAAGTATAACCACCCCCAGGGCTTCTTCAGTCACCGCTGACTTCCCCCTTCACCCCTTATATCTTACCCTTGATTTCTTAGCCCACCTCAAAGCTTCTTCAGTCACCCCTGAACCCTGAACTTTATCTTCTGCCACGTCCCTGCCCTCATATCCCCTCTCTCTTTTTTAATACACCACAGTTTTGTCTGTTTTAGTTTCACACATTCTGTGTTCAGTTAACAATAAAAAGCTAGTGATTTTGTTTGAATCAGCAAGTTCTTGGTATTTTTTATGTTATTCTTCGCTGCTATGATTTATGCTCAGCTGTATTCTATCATGAATTACCTCTCCTCTCCACCTCTTTTAGCTATTGCATATTTCATCATCTCTCTCTGCCTTCGCTCTCTTCCCCCCCTCTCTTTTTTTCTCTGCATCGTAATCACATTATTTTATGGCTTTTATTATCATAGCTCAGCACTTCTCTAAGCTGACTCATGCCCACTGGTTCTGGAAATACAGAGAATACATTATCACACACGCGCACCTACAAATGTGTTCCCTATCCTGTAGTTACAGTGTAGTAAGAGCTGATAATTGATAACAGGACCACTGGTGGACTGGATCACTGCTCTGGATTTAAACTGACATTAGTGCAGCATCACAGAACCCCAGTAGCCCTCTCCCTTCCAGGACAAGCATTCTACTGTTAGGATGTAGCTGAGGTGTTTTTTGGGGTGCCATGCCATGGTGATCATTCTGAGGATGTTTTTGCTGCAGGTTGTCTCCTGTTAATACACTGTCATCCATCAGACATAAAGAGATTACATTCTGCCATTACAACCCCAAAGAGAAACCTAATGATCATGAGGGAAGAATTCAAAAAGGAACTTAACGGTCATGATGATACACAGTCAGAATTCAGGGAGATACTTCATGATATTAAGTGTGAGATACAGCATCTCAATGTCAACAGAATAAAGGTTCCTTCAGAAAGTATTCATACCCCTTGACTTATTCCACATTTTGTTGTGTTACAGCCTGAATTCGAGATGGATAAAAAATATATCTCACCCGTCTCTACACGCAATACCCCATAATGACAAAGTGAAAATATGTTTTTAGAAATGTTAGCAAAAATATTGAAAATGAAATCCAGAAATATCTCATTTACATAAGTATTCACACCCCTGAGTCAATACTTTATTGAAGTAAAGTACCTTTGGCAGTGATTACAGCTGTGAGTCTTTCTGGATAAGTCTCTAAGAGCTTTCCACACCTGGATTGTACAACATTTGCCCATTATTATTTTCAAAATTCTTCAAGTTCTGTCAAATTGGTTGTTGATCGTTGCTAGACAACCATTTTCAGGTCTTGCCATAGATTTTCAAGTAGATTTAAGTCAAAACTGTAACTCGGCCACTCAGGAATATTCACTTTCTTTTTGGTAAAAAATTCCAGTGTAGATTTGGCCTTGTGTTTTAGGTTATTGTCCTACTGAAAGGTGAATTAATCTTCCTGTGTCTGGTGGAAAGCAGACTGAACCATGTTTTCCTCTAGGGTTTTGCCTGTGCTTAGCTCCATTCCGTTTATTTTTTATCCTGAAAAACTCCCCAGTCCTTAATGATTACAAGCATACCCCAAAACATGATGTAGCCACTACTATGTTCTACTAACTACGTTTGGAAATATGGAGAGTGGTACTCAGTAATGTTTTTGTATTTGCCCCAAACATAACACTTTGTATTCAGGACAAAAAGTGAATTGCTTTGCCACATTTTTTGCAGAATTATTTTAGTGCCTTGTTGCAAACAGGATGCGTGTTTTGGAATATTTTTATTCCGTACAGGCTTTCTTCTTTTCGCTCTGTCAATTAGGTTAGTATTGTGGAGTAACTAAAATGTTGTTGATCCATCCTCAGTTTTCTATCACAACCGTTAAGCTCTGTAACTGTTTTAAAGTCACCATTGGCCTCATGGTGAAATCCCTGGCCGCTTTCCTTCCTCCGGCAACTGAGTTAAGAAGGGTGCCTGTATCTTTGTGGTGACTGGGTGTATTGATACACCATCCAAAGTGTAATTAATAACTTCACCATGCTCAAAGGGATAATCGGTCTGCTTTTTTATTTTTACCAATAGGTGCCCTTCTTTGTGAGGCATTGGAATACCTCCCTGGTCTTTGTGGTTGAATCTGTGTTTGAAATTCACTGCTCGACTGCAGGACCTTACAGATAATTGTATGTGTGGGGTACAGAGATGAGCTAGTCATTCAAAAATCATGTTAAACACTATTATTGCACACACAGTGCGTCCATGCAACTTATGTTACGTAAGCACATTTTTACTCCTGAACTTATTTAGGCTTGCCATAACAAAGGGGTTGAATACTTATTGACTCAAGACATTTCAGCTTTTCATTTTTAATTCATTTTTTAAAAAAAGAATTAAAACATAATTCCGGTTTGACATGATGGGGTATTGTGTATAGGCCAGTGACAAAAAATCTCAATGGATTACCATTTTAAATTTAGGCTGTAACACAACAAAATGTGGAAAAAGTCAAGGGGTGTGAATACTTTAGCAAACATTGTTTCCATTGTAACTCCACACCATATCACAACTACTGTCCCCAGTGCAGCTGACTCCAGTGTAGTTTCCACAATGGTTGTGGACAACTGTGTCACATCAAGGACATCATAGACAGGACTCTAAAACTGACATCAAAGTCTAATGGAGGCCTTTTTCTGTTGTGAAAGGGTGTGATGTCTGTTTATAGCACTTCTCATAATATCTCACTGCTCTATCTTTAGCAGCACATGCATGGATCCTCAGATTAGCTGGTGTAGATCATCTCTGGCTTGGCAGGTTACTCCAGAAACTATCTACTAGATGATGTACATTATATTATTTATGATGATAATTATGCTTTTGGACTGTTTTGATCCATGCTTACTGTTTCAGCAGGCTGGCTTTGTGGAGCAGGTATTGAGGAGAGAGCGGTAAAATGAGGGAAATGAGAGACCTAACCTAATGATAAGCGCAAGAGATGTGCAGGGGAAGCTGTATGCTCTAACTCCTGGATGTTGTGTAGTAGAAAGAAGAGGGGGGACAGCTCTGTTTGGTTAGCACTATACTCCAGAACACCTGATTTATGTATGAGCCCAAGCTATGCGACGTCAGAGCAGGGAGGGGAGGTGCACTCCTCAGCCGCAATGCAGTACAGAACACACACACACACCCACATAGTGAGATCCACACCCCTCACACCTCCGCTTCCTCGCCTCCACTGCTTCTTTTCATACCACCTCAGACCGTGTACCGTTCAGAACTGTTCCTTTCTTCATAGTGTGTATACTGACATGTACATGAGAGGAACTAGACAGGAGCGATATAATTTCTAAAGTTTAGTTAAGTACCTTAGTACTGTACCAGTAAATTATCTATGTTATCAAGCTAGTTTTTCTCTCTCAACACCCACTGGGCACACGCTGGTTGAATCAGCGTTGTTTCCACGCCATTTCAATGAAATTATGTTGAACCAATGTGGAATAGATGTTGAATTGACATCTGTGCCCAGTGGGGAGCACATCAGGTCATGTCGAGACCATCAGTATCGTTCACACCAGAGTAATACAGTATATCTTTGTATTAGAATGATATAATGAGAACACACAGAAATCTTTCAGTTTTAACTTTATTAGTTCCATCAGTTTGTATTGCATATTCTCAGCAGTTTATACATGGCACAGTCATCCCTGACTTCAGAGTTCTCCCTGACCTAGCATACTAACCACAGCACAGTGACTCAGCACAGCCATCAGACAGGGAGCTGTTTAAGGTGCACAATGAGGTTCATTGTCTTTCTCTGCTTTTTATATTCATCAATGTAATATACTCATTTATATCGTCATAAATATACATATACAGTACAATATATTAATCTGTCACAATCTTTTATAGATATTTGTTGACATCTCTGCCCTTGAAGGCTTCAGAAGGTACATGGCCCTATGCTGTGCTCCCAGCCAGAGCGATGCTGCTGTTTTAATGCACTTGTTATTATTGACGGGCAGTCAGACACATTCAGATAGAGTTTAGAGTATTCTGCATTCTTTAGTCATACATTAGAAGAAGCATCAGGGTTGAGTACCCATGGATTAGTAACTATAGAAACACTATTGCTTTGTTTGTTTACTGTTTGTCTCCTACTCTGGCCTCCCTTTACAAAGGCTGTTCAGGTCTTCAGTAGCATCACCCCCCCCCCCCCCCCATCCCTCCCCGATAGTTATTTGGGGTCTCTCTCCTCTTGGCTCATACACAGCGCATTAGTGATTCACTTCTTGGCTTTCTCTTTGACCTCAGCGCTGGAGGACTTTTCTGACTTCTCTGCCTTCCCTCCCTCCTTCGTATCCTTTGCCTCTTTACTGTCGGACGCTTTAGAGGCCTCCTGCTTGTTCTCTTTCTTCTCCGTCTTCTTATCCTCCTTTACCTCCTCTTTGGGCTCTGCTTTCTTCTCCTCTTTCTTGCTCTCTGTTTTCTCTGGTGATTCTTTGGGAGCAGGCTTCACCTCTGCCTGAGGTTTTTCATCTATTTTGGACGGGGCCTGTTTCTCCTCTTCCTTCTTAGCAGGGGTGGGGCTCTCCTTGGCGGGGGTGGGCTTCTCCTCTGCAGGCTTGGCCGGGGTGGCGGCAGGGGGGGCAGGTGATGGGGTCTCAGTCTTCGTGGGGGTCTCCTCTGGCTTGCTCTCCTTCTTGGGGTCTGGTTTGTCTGTCTTCTCCTCAGCCTTCTCCTCTTTAGGCTGGCTCTCACTCTTCTCCTTCTCCTCTTTAGGCTGGCTCTCACTCTTCTCCTTCTCCTCTTTAGGCTGGCTCTCACTCTTCTCCTTCTCCGTGGGTTCTGGCTCCTCTTTCTTCTCCTCCTTTACAGGCTGGGGTTGTTCCTTCTCTTTCTTCTCCTCCTTTACAGGCTGGGGTTGTTCCTTCTCTTTCTTCTCCTCCTTTACAGGCTGGGGTTGTTCCTTCTCTTTCTTCTCCCTTTACAGGCTGGGGTTGTTCCTTCTCTTTCTTCTCCTCCTTGGCTGGTTTGTCTTCTGCAGGGGGCTTGGCTTTCTCCTGGACGGGGGACTTGGGTTCAGGAGATTTGGGGAGGGGGGACTTGGAAGGGGACTTAGACTCTGGGGATTTGCTGGGGGGAGATTTAGATGGTGATTTCACGTCCAGAGATTTGGGCTGGGGAGATTTCTCTGTGGGAGATTTGGGGGCGGGAGACTTGGTGGGTGATTTGGGGAGGGGAGATTTGGCTGGGGGTGATTTGGATTCAGGGGATTTGATGGCGGGAGATTTGACCTGGGGGGTTTTGGGGGGAGACTTAGATTGGGGAGAAGCAGCCTCCTCAGGTGACTTAGACTTCTCTTCCTCTTTCTCCTCACATGCCTCCTCTTCCCCCTTATCCTCAGATCCTTCCCCCTTATCCTCAGATCCTTCCTCTTCCTCCTTCTTATCAACCTCTTCCTCATCTCCTCCCTTATCCTCAGCTCCTTCCCCCTCTCCCTCTTCTACCTCAGCTTTGGTCTCATCCTCTTCTACCTCAGCTTTGGTCTCATCCTCTTCCTCGTCCTTTACTTCCTCTTCCTTCTCTTCTCCCTTCTCCTCTTCCTCTCCTTCCTCTGTCACCTCAGTGACCTGTGTCTCATCCGTCTGTTCCTCCAGTATGACTGTGTCTGAGAGCTCCTCCCCCTTCAGCTTCAGGTGGACGGAGGAGTAGGAGTACAGGCTTGGCCCAGATATGAACCGAGTCTCCTCCCCTTCCAGCAATTTCCTGTTTAGGGGAAGAACATGGGAAGTGCAGTCTGAGTTGGGTGTGTCAATACAGTCTCCTGTTTAAAAACATATCAGCGATAATTGTTTTTCCAAGATCAAGGTTATTCAGAGCCAGTCTGAGTCTGCATAATAGCAATTTTTATTTTTTTACACCCTTAACCTCTCCCCCTTAACCCCTGACCCACCTGTAGGCTGCTATCTCTATGTCCAGAGCCATCTTGACGTTCAGCAGCTCCTGATATTCTCTCAGCTGACTGGCCATCTCCCACTTAGTACTCTTCAGTTCACCGTCCAGCTGATGGATGGTCTCCTACACACACACACACACACACACACACACACACACACGTTGGTGAGCAATGTGTGTCAGAATGAAGGAGAAAGAGAAAAGCCAGACAGACGGTCAGACAGGCAGAGGAGTGTACCTGTAGTGAGTGGATATCTCCATAGTGTCTGTCCTCACTCTCCATGCGTTGTCTCTCCAGAGAGTCCTTGGTTCCTCTGAGGGTCTCCAGTTCGATGGTGCGGCTCTGCAGCTGCCGTCTGTACTCTGCTATCTCCTCCTGGGCACCGCGGATTGCATCCGTGTTAGAGTGAGCTGCATCCGCCAACCGCTCCATACGCACTTCAGGAGGTGGGGGGACAGGGTCAGAGACAGGGTGTTAGCGGTCATAGGGACAGGGGCTATAACCCAAAACTATAAAATAGTGACCTGTCCTAGGACTGGCCAGGTGCCTGAATGCTTTTCTGTATTGAGCTTTAGAAAAAGGTCAGTCATTGAGAACACACATCCTCTCCTCCAGGAAGGAATGACCTTGACAGTGTCTGTCTGAGGTCTGACTCGAATACATGACACTGAACAACATACTGATGAAGATCTTGGCAAGAGAAACTTCCAAGGACTCTCAAATGTGCCATCAGTATTTTTAGGGACCTAATACTGCTGACTCAGTTGCCTGCAGCGGGAATGCATGATGAACAGAAATAAGACTTTCCAAACAGGACTGTAGGCAACAGACTGCAGGCAGACAGATATTAAAAGACTTGAGTTTACACCAGACAGAACACTTTCTCCTCTCCATAAAATAAACCACTGGGCTATTTCAACACATTATGCACATCCAATACTTTTTCCAAATGCAATCAGCCTATAATTGCATATCTATGGCGTTTAATTCGAAAGTACCCTTGTGTCACACAAGGATGTAAATGTGAATGTGTCATTATAGTCATTGTTACGCACTCCTAGGATGCTGTTTAGGCATGTTTAGCTGAATATATAGCCTAGAGAGTCTAAAGCAGTTTGCTTCTAATGGTGACCTTACAAGGCATCAATGTCCCAAATGGGATTGAAAATATCCTATATGCACCACTATGTACCACTAGCCTATTTGATTGTAAAACCAAAGAGCTCCATCTTTACCCAAATCCTCCCAAGTTCAGCACAATGGACAGCGAACTAGGCTGCGTCACCGCACCGCCACACCAGAGCCCTATAAAACTGGCATTCTCACCGACCACTCTCTCCGTAAAAACAGGTGGGTATTAAGGTAGATTGATATAAAGTTGCGCCTCTCACCTTTGAACCATCCATCCACCTGCATTGCGCTCTTGGTCGCGTGGCCATCCAGCTGAGCGCGGATCTCCCGCAGCGCGCTCGTGACGTCAGCCTTGATCGTGTCTCGAGGCTCAAAGCTCACCTGTGCACGCTGGATCTGTGCGAGCATCTCGGCCACCTCCTCCTCGTGGTTCTTCTTCAGGAACGCGGCTTCTTCCTGCAGCGCGCACAGCTTCTTGTCCAGCTCCAGCCGCGTGAGGCCAGACTCGTCCACATACTTGTTCATGACGCGTGTTGCGGCCTCCAGCTCCTCCCGGCTGCGTGTCTCGTCCTCGAGCCTGGTCCGCACATGCTGGATGTCCTCTTCAAGGTGGTCTTGCTCCAAGAGTGTGCGTGCCTTCTCCCCGGTCAACTGCTGGACCAGAACCCTCAGGTCCCCCAGCTCGCGCTCATAGTGCTCTCCCACGGTAGCGCGCCCCGTCTGGCTCTGTCGCAGCGCAGCCGCTTCCTGCTCCAGATTCGAGTTAATCAGCTCGAGGTTCCGCACCTTGTCGATGTAACCGGCGAACCGGTCGTTGAGTGTCTGCAGAATCTCCTTCTCGTTCCTCCGAGTCATGTCGCCGTTAAAGATCTCCAAGCTGTTGGCAGAGGCTGCCTGGCTGTAGCCCGGGCGGCGGCGCTGGGAGTTCGTCCAGGGCTGGGAGTGGTAGCCGGAGGAGGAGAGGGAAGCGGTGGGCCGGGCAGAGTGGCCCTGTGGTGGCCTGCGATAGGAGCCGTGGCCGTAGAGGTGGTCCAGTGGGTAGCTCATCTCTAAGCCGGATGCAGACTGCGGCAGGGTGGAGAGGGATGAGCTTTTTATACCGCGGGAGGAGAAACTCACAACTCAGCACGGACAATCTCTCTCTTTAAAGAGACATCTTCGCTATCGTCATCACCACTCCTTTCTTATCACACAGACGAACTACAGAAACACCATGATACAGCGCATGATAGGATTCTTGAATTTTCACCCAAATGTCCAATTGTATTATATTATTTACTCATGATTTCTGAGTGCCCACAATGCATCAATAGGATTCTGTGCCATGTTCGTTACAGTAGACCTAGGCCTATAGGCGTCAACTTTTTGAAACATAACTATGTCCACAATACCATGTTCACCAGAAGAAAAGTATATAGCTAATATAAACTGGGTTTCAATTATATTGTTGTGTTTGGACTAGTTGAACGTTTAATGTGCAGCTCTTCATTATCTTTGTCAGTGCTGTGAATACATGACAGTGAAAGTGTGTGTGGTTCTGTCAGTGGGCCAGGTGTGTCCCCCAGGTGGGTTGGAGTGGATCTGCAGACTCACACTGCAGGGGTAACCACACCAAACATCAGCAGAAAGCAGCGCCTTCTCTTTGTCCCTCTCTCTCTCACTCACTCACTCACACCTGGCTGGCCCACTGACAACTTTACACCTCTTACACCTCATAACAGTGTGTGAGGTTTGACGTCTTCGTCATGATCTTCAGAAATGTATATAAGTGGATGGACCAGAATGACCTCTGTCAATAACCCAGGTTCTTTGAAAAATCAGACAGTGGAGATGACTGAGAATTAAGTACGTACACACGCACTTGCTATTTTAGTGCGGTCCTTGTATGTGTGTCAGCTGATTTGGAGGAATGTATCTGAGGAGGATAATTCTGTCCCTACTACAGCACCTATTGATCAGACTCCTTCAGGCTCCCACACACACGGCACCATGACTGTAAATCTTAAAGGAACACCTTAAATATATCTCTGTCACTGTAAAGTTCTGCAGCCCCATTTTCCACATAACTTTATACCATCACGATCTTGGATGCAAAGACTGAAACGTTTCTGCACGTGTCAACATTGCACAAACCCGTGTATTTTCTCTGCTTTTACACTACCAGTAAAACGTTTTTAGAACACCTACTCATTCAAGGGTTTTTCTTTATTTTTACTATTTTCTGCATTGTAGAATAATAGTGAAGACATCAAAACTATGAAATAACACATATGGAATCATGTAGTAACCCAAAAAGTGTTAAACAAATCAAAATATATTTTATATTTGAGATTCTTCAAATAGCAACCCTTTGCCTTGATGAAAGCTTTGCACACTCTTGGCATTCTCTCAACCAGCTTCACCTGGAATGCTTTTCCAACAGTCTTGAAGGAGTTCCCACATATGCTGAGCACTTGTTGGCTGCTTTTCCTTCACTCTGTGGTCCGACTCATCCCAAACCATCTCAATTTGATTGAGGTTGGGGGATTGTGGAGGCCAGGTCATCTGATGCAGCACTCCATCACTCTCCTTCTTGGTAAAATAGCCCTTACACAGCCTGGAGGTGTGTTGGGTCATTGTCCTGTTGAAAAACAAATGATAGTCCCACTAAACCCAAACCAGATGGGATGGCGTATCGCTGCAGAATGCTGTGGTAGCCATGCTGGTTAAGTGTGCCTTGAATTCTAAATAAATCACAGACAGTGTCACCAGCAAAGCACCCCCACACCATAACACCTCCTCCTCCATGCTTTACGGTGGGAAATACACATGCGGAGATCATCCGTTCACCTACACCGCGTCTCACAAAGACGCGGCGGTTGGAACTCAAAACTCCAATTTGGACTCCAGACCAAAGGACAAATTTCCACCGGTCTAATGTTAATTGCTCCTGTTTCTTGGCCCAAGCAAGTCTCTTCTTCTTATTGGTGTCCTTTAGTAGTGGTTTCTTTGCAGCAATTAGACCATGAAGGCCTGATTCACACAGTCTACTCTGAACAGTTGATGTTGAGATGTGTCTGTTACTTGAACTCTGTGAAGCATTTATTTGTGCTGCAATTTCTGATGCTGGTAACTCTAATGAACTTATCCTCTGCAGCAGAGGTAACTCTGGGTGTTCCATTCCTGTGGCGGTCCTCATGAGAGCTAGTTTCATCATAGAGCTTGATGGTTTTTGCGACTGCACTTAAAGAAACGTTCAAAGTTCTTGAAATTTCCATATTGACTGACCTTCATGTCTTAAAGTCATGATGGACTGCCAAATATGGACTTTGTATTTTACCAAATAGGGCTATCTTCTGTATACCTTGTCACAACACAACTGATTTTTTTATTTATTTTTATTGTACCTTTATTTAACTAGGCAAGTCAGTTAAGAACAAATTCTTATTTACAATGACGCCTACACCGGCCAAACCCGGACGATGCTGTGCCAATTGTGCGCCACCCTATGGGACTCCCAATCACGGCCATTTGTGATACAGCCTGGAATCAAACCAGGGGGTCTGTAGTGACACCTCAAGCATTGAGATGCAGTGCCTTAGACCACTGCGCCACTAGGGCTCAAATGCATTAAGAAGGAAATAAATTCCACAAATGAACTTTTAAGAAGGCACACCTGTTAATTGAAATGCATTCCAGATGACTACCTCATGAAGCTGGTTGAGAGAATGACAAGAGTGTGCAAAGCTGTCATCAAGGCAAATGGCGGCTATTTGAAGAATCTCAAATATAAAATATATTTTGATTTGTTTAACACTTTTTTGGTTACTACATGATTCCATATGTGTTATTTCATAGTTTTGATGTCTTCACTATTATTCTACAATGTAGAAAATAGTACAAAATAAAGAAAAACCCTTGAATGAGTAGGTGTTCTAAAACTTTTGACCGGTAGTGTATATGGCAGGTGATCACCCTCAGACTGAGACACATACGTTGTCATGGCCTCCTCCTCCTCAGTGACAAACTCTCACATCACATTTACATTTTTGTCATTTAGCAGATGCTCTTATCCAGAGCGACTCACAGAATCCTAGTCGGCACGGTGATTAGAACCAGCAACTTTTTGGTTACTGGCCTTTTATAAATGTGCAAAAATTATGGGGTATTGTGTGTAGATTACTGAGGATTTTTATTTATTTAATCCATTTTAGATGTAACAAAATGTGGAAAAAGTCAAGGGGTCTGAATACTTTCTGAAGGCACTGTATATAGTAGATGTAGTGAGTAACTTGTACTAGGAGTGTGTGGAGTGTTCATTTCTGGTCTAAATGTGATACTCTGATAAATATGTGATTATTTAAATGTGATTGTAAATGTGACGATATATATGCGACAGGTAGTCTACCGGTTAAGAGCGTTTCTGTAACTTTAAGGGGTCTGAATACTTTCCGAAGGTACTGTATGAGGCCACTGCAAGTGGAGCAGAGATCACTGATCCAGAATGGAGGGGTGGAGCCTGCATTTTCAGTCCTTGGAATGTCAATCAGTTTGAAGGGAAGGGAAGTGAAAAGTGATTAAGTAAGAGGAAGAGAAAGAGAAGAGGGGCGGAGGAGGGAGGAGATGAAAAGAGGGGAGGGAAGAGAGAGACCTGATGGAGGGAGGAGAGAGATGATGGAGAGAGGGGAGGGTGAACGGGAGAAGAGTGACCTTAGGAAGACAGTGCTCTACTGGCAGGCCTCATATAGATGAGTCAGCTTCTGTACATTTAACATTTAGGATGTTATTACATTGTACTGGTGTGTGTAAGAGCGTGAGCAAGACAGAGATCTCAACCATTTCCAGGTCCATCGACATGTCCTAGTCTTTGGTGACCTAAACACCAGAACTGGACAAGAACCTGACACCCTCAGCACACAGGGGGACAAGCACCTACCTGGAGGGGACAGCATTCCCTCCCAAATATGCCCCCCTAGACAAAACTACGACAAAACAACCAAGAAAAATTATTATTATTATTATTATTATAGCTCATCTCTTGGCTGTAGTACTGTAGACTACTTTATCACCGACCTCAACCTAGAGTCTCTCAGCGCGTTCACAGTCAGCCAACTAACACCCTTATCAGACCACAGCAAAATCACAATCTTGAACAGATCAATACTCAACCATGATGTAGCAAAGCCGAACAAACTGCATGCTATTAAGAAATGCTATAGATGGAAGGAGGGTAGTGTTGAAACGTATCAAAAAACAATTGGCCAACAACAAATCCCTCCTAGACAACTTCCTGGACAAAATGTTTCTCTTCAATAGTGAAGATGTAAACTTAGCAGTAGGAAACCTGAACAGTAAATTTGATCTATCAGCTAACATATCATCGAGAGCATCCTGACCGGTTGCATCACCGCCTGGTATGGCAACTGCTCGGCAACTGACCGTAAGGCGCTACAGAGGGTAGTGCGTACGGCCCAGTACATCACTGGGGCCAAGCTTCCTGCCATCCAGGACATACACTACCGTTCAAAAGTTTGGGGTCACTTAGAAATGTCCTTGTTTTCGAAAGAAAATCAATTTTTTTGTCCATTAAAATAACATCAAATTGATCAAAAATGCAGTGTAGACATTGTTAATGTTGTAAATGGATTTTGTAGCTGGAAACGGCTGATTTTTTATGGAATATCTACATAGGCGTACAGAGGCCCATTATAAGCAACCATCAGTCCTGTGTTCCAATGGCACGTAGTGTATTTTTTTAAATCTTATTTTATTTTATATTTTTTTTAGGGGTAGATCAGCTTAATATTGCAGATAGATTGTAACTTCCATCAATGTAATTGTCTGCATCACTTCCAATCCCCCATGTTTATATATATATATATCATACATACATACATACATACATACATACATACATACATACATACATACACATACATACATATCCTTTAAAAAAAAATGATTTTTTACCCTTTATTACTTTCCAACCCCACCACCCTTTCCCTAATTGGAGTAAACTAGTGAACAACAATGCTTAGGCCTCTACTTCCAGCTTATGCTTACTACACTGCTAAAAAAAATAAAGGGAACACTAAAATAACACATCCTAGATCTGAATGAATTAAATAATCTTATTAAATACTTTTTTCTTTACATAGTTGAATGTGCTGACAACAAAATCACACAAAAATTATCAATGGAAATCAAATTTATCAACCCATGGAGGTCTGGATTTGGAGTCACCCTCAAAATTAAAGTGGAAAACCACACTACAGGCTGATCCAACTTTGATGTAATGTCCTTAAAACAAGTCAAAATGAGGCTCAGTAGTGTGTGTGGCCTCCACGTGCCTGTATGACCTCCCTACAACGCCTGGGCATGCTCCTGATGAGGTGGCGGGTGGTCTCCTGAGGGATCTCCTCCCAGACCTGGACTAAAGCATCCGCCAACTCCTGGACAGTCTGTGGTGCAACGTGGCATTGGTGGATGGAGCGAGACATGATGTCCCAGATGTGCTCAATTGGATTCAGGTCTGGGGAACGGGCGGGCCAGTCCATAGCATCAATGCCTTCCTCTTGCAGGAACTGCTGACACACTCCAACCACATGAGGTCTAGCATTGTCTTGCATTAGGAGGAACCCAGGGCCAACCGCACCAGCATATGGTCTCACAAGGGGTCTGAGGATCTCATCTCGGTACCTAATGGCAGTCAGGCTACCTCTGGCGAGCACATGGTGGGCTGTGCGGCCCCCCAAAGAAATGCCACCCCACACCATGACTGACCCACCGCCAAACCGGTCATGCTGGAGGATGTTGCAGGCAGCAGAACGTTCTCCACGGCGTCTCCAGACTCTGTCACGTCTGTCACAAGTGCTCAGTGTGAACCTGCTTTAATCTGTGAAGAGCACAGGGCGCCAGTGGCGAATTTGCCAATCTTGGTGTTCTCTGGCAAATGCCAAACGTCCTGCACGGTGTTGGGCTGTAAGCACAACCCCCACCTGTGGACGTCGGGCCCTCATACCACCCTCATGGAGTCTGTTTCTGACCGTTTGAGCAGACACATGCACATTTGTGGCCTGCTGGAGGTCATTTTGCAGGGCTCTGGCAGTGCTCCTCCTGCTCCTCCTTGCACAAAGGCGGAGGTAGCGGTCCTGCTGCTGGGTTGTTGCCCTCCTACAGCCTCCTCCACGTCTCCTGATGTACTGGCCTGTCTCCTGGTAGCGCCTCCATGCTCTGGACACTACGCTGACAGACACAGCAAACCTTCTTGCCACAGCTCGCATTAATGTGCCATCCTGGATGAGCTGCACTACCTGAGCCACTTGTGTGGGTTGTAGACTCCGTCTCATGCTACCACTAGAGTGAAAGCACCGCCAGCATTCAAAAGTGACCAAAACACAGGCCAGGAAGCATAGGAACTGAGAAGTGGTCTGTGGTCACCACCTGCAAAACCAGTCCTTTATTGGGGGTGTCTTGCTAATTGCCTATAATTTCCACCTGTTGTCTATTCCATTTGCACAACAGCATATGAAATGTATTGTCAATCAGTGTTGCTTCCTAAGTGGACAGTTTGATTTCACAGAAGTGTGATTGACTTGGAGTTACATTGTGTTGTTTAAGTGTTCCCTTTATTTTTTTGAGCAGTGTATATACATTTTATGGACACAGTCAATTTTACAATAATTATATTTTGTTTGTTTTTTCTCCTGAACTTCTTCTACTCTCAACCTTTATGAAAATTAGTATTTGTGTCATTCTCAAAACTTTTGACCATGACTGTACTGTATTCTAGTCAAGGCTCATCCTATATATCTACTGCTGTACACACCTTTTCTATTCATACTGTATACTGTCCATACAGTCTATATAAACCATTTTACACACACACACACACATATATATATATATTTACAGTATATTCTGGACTCTGACGTTGCTCGTTCTGATATTTCTTAATTTTAATTGGGGGATTTGTGTGTATTGTTTTTGTATTGTTATTACTGCACAGTTGGAGCTTGAAACAAGCATTTCTTTGCACCTGCGATAACATCTGAAAAATATGTGTATGTGACCAATAAAAGTTTATTTTATTTGTATTTGATTTGAGCTGCATATTTCCAACAGATCACACAGACCCACAAAGAATTTGAAAACAAGTCAAACATTGATAAACTCCCATATCTGTTAGGCGAAATACTGCAACATGCAATCACAGCAGCAAGATTTGTGACCTGTTGCCATGAAAACAGGGAAACCAGTGGATTACAAACAACATTGTAAATACAACCAATATTTATCGTCCCCTACTGTTCATACTACAACTATTTGCACATTGTTATAAACACTGTACATAGCTGATAATATAACGTTTGAAACGTCTTTATCCTTTTGAAACCTTTGAGTGCAATGTTTACTGTACACGTATGTTTTTTTGTTGATGTTGTTTTTGTTTCTTCTCACTTGTTTATTTCACTTGTTTTGGTAATGTAAACATATGTTTCACATGCCAATAAAGCCCCTTTGAATGGAGTCGAGAGAGAACTTCATAACGTATCAGTTATGGTCAGTTGCCTGCTTTATCCAGTAGGCGGCAGTAGAGCAACATGGACGCCTGACAGAACATTCTTCCCTGACAAATAGCTTCCTCTTTGACTCCAGGGAGGGAAAGTTCGAAACAACAACAACAAGACATGAGCGGTTGTATTTGTTGTATTCTGAATGATTTGTAAAGGATTTGTGACAACGATGTCTCACGTATCGGCTCCATGTTTGCTGGACAGATGGATTGAAGAAAATAACGCTATCGTAGACAAGTGGAAGGTGAGCTACTATAGCTAGCTAGCTACTGTTAGCTAGCTAGACAACAACATAATGGTAATGTCTAGATGTATCGAACTTTTGTCAAATTTTCCTAACCTTAACCTAATTCCCCTAACCTGCAGCGTAAATTCTCCTAAACCTGCTACGAAAAGTCAATTCTGCCAAAAGCTGGATCCTTTCTAGCCTTGTCCACGAAGTGTTGCTCTCTATCAACTGAATTTCTACAGCTATACTGAACAAAAATATAAACACAACATGTAAAATGTTGGTGCCATGTTTCATGAGCTGAAGTAAAATATCCCGCAGATTTTCCATATGCACAAAAAGCTTATTTCTCTAAAATGTTCTGCACAAAGGCGTTTACATCCCAGTTAGTGAGCATTTCTCCTTTGCCAAGATAATCCATCCACCTGACAGGTGTGGCATATGAAGAAGCTGATTAAACAGCATGATCTTTACACAGGTGCACCTTGTGCTGGGGACAATAAAAGGCCACTCTAAAATGTGCAGTTTTGTCACACAACACAATGCCACATGTCTCAAGTTTTGAGGGAGTGTGCAATTGGCATGCTGACTGCAGGAATGTCCACCAGAGCTGTTGCCAGAGAATTGAATGTTCAATGGGCAAATGCTCACCTTTGATGGCCACTGGCACGCTTGAGAAGTGTGCTCTTCACAGATGAATCCCAGTTTCAATTGTACTGGGTAGTTGGCGGCGTGGGGGTGAGCGGTTTGCTGATGTCAACATTGTGAACAGACTGCCCCATGGTGGTGATGTGGTTATGGTAAGGGCAGGCATAAGCGACAGACAACAAACGCAATTCGATTTATCGATTGCAATTTGAATGCACAGAGATACCCTGATGAGATTCTTAGGCCCGTTGTCATGCCATTCATCCACTACCATCACCTCATGTTTTAGCATGATAATGCACAGCCCCATCTCGCAAGGATCTGTACACAATTCCTGGAAGCTGAAAATGTCCCAGTTCTTCCATGGCCTGCATACTCCCCAGACATGTCACCCATTGAGCATGTTTGGGATGCTCTGGATCGACGTGTACAACAGTGTGTTCCAGTTCCTGCCAATATCCAGCAACTTCGCACAGCCATTGTAGAGGTGTGGGACAACATTCCACAGGCCACAATCAACAGCCTGATCAACTCTATGCGAAGGAGATGTGTCGCGCTGCATGAGGCAAATGGTGGTCACACCAGATACTGACTGGTTTTCTGATCCACGCCCCTACTTTTTTTTAAAGGTATATGTGACCAACAGATGGATATCTGTATTTCCAGTCATGTGAAATCCATAGATTAGGGCCTAATGAATTTATTTCAATTGACTGATTTCCTTATATGAACTGTAACTCAGTAAAATCTTTGAAGTTGTTGCATGTTGCGTTTTATATTTTTGTTCAGTGTAAATGCTTCCGTAGCCCTCATGTCTAAGGGTTTTTTCTCATATAGTCTTATTTAAAGTGAACTCTGGGGTAAAAAAAAAGCAAAATAACTGTTCTCTTTGTATTCACACCTTTGCCTTGAGGACTCAGCTCTTTTGCCAGTTTACTTCACCTATTTTGTGGTCTGAGTTCTCTTTGCTTTCACATTTATTGCTGTGTTTAGAAAGTAACCAAGATCTTTTTCCAACATTAACTCAATGCACTCTGGGTTTTTATAAAGTGCAGGACAAGCTATTCCATCAGCATGTGTTTTCGGACAGCTAGCCCAATAATGCACTAAAGGAGCCTAACGTTACTCCTTAGTCCAAGGACCTTACATGTTCTGTTTAAAGGGAGAATTGGCTCTGGAAGCCAAAACACCCAAATACTCCATCTAAACGTGAATCGATTCTCAATTGCGGTACGGTTCTAGAAACATAAATCCCTCTACTTTCATATCACATCAAAATAATTTCACAAATGCCGCCAACAGTATTTTTCAGTGATAACACGTTTGTGATGTCGGTCTTCTGTTTACACACAGATGTTCGGAGATGCAGAGAGCTAATTAGCACATCAGTCTGTTTTCCGTAAACAAGTACCCATAACATGGAAATACGGCTGTGTGGGAACCCTACCCCTTACCCTATAAAGGTGTATCAATTTAACCTTTTTTAAAATTATTTTTATGTATTTCTCAATGATATGAAAGATAAGTCCTTATGCTTCCAAAACCGTACCGCAAGCGATGCGTGTTAATGTTCAGACCGAGCGCCACGGCTCGTAACAAAACTCCCCTCTACAGAAGACGCCTTCGTCCAATGACTCTTGTGTAATGTAATGGATCTGAGAGTCATTATCAAGGGCTATCAGACAGCTAGATATATAGTGCATTCGGAAAGTTTTCAGACCCCTTCACTTTTTCCACATTTTGTTTTGTTACAGCCTTATTCTAAAATGGATTTTAAAAAAAGAATAATCCTCATCAATCTACACAAAATATCCCATAATGAAAAACCGAAAACAGGTTTTTAGAAATGTTTGGCAAATGTATTACAAATCAAAAACTAAAATACCTTACATAAGTATTCAGACCCTTTGCTATGAGACCCGAAATTGAGCTCAAGTGCATCCTGTTTGCATTGATCATCCTTGAGATGTTTCTACAACTTGATTGGAGTCCACCTGTGGTAAAGTCAATTGATTGGACATGATTTGAAAAGGCACACACCTGTCTGTATAAGGTCCCACAGTTGAAAGTGCATGTCATAGCAAAAACCAAGCCATGAAGTTGAAGGAATTGTCCGTAGAGCTCCGAGACAGGATTGTGTCGAGGCACAGATCTGGGGAAGGGTACCAAAACATTTCTGCAACATTGAATATCCCCAAGAACACAGTGGCCTCCATCATTCTTAAATGGAAGATGTTTGGAACCACCAAGACACTTCCTAAAGCTGGCCGCCCGGCCAAACTGAGCAATCGGGGGAGAAGGGCCTTAATCAGGGAGGTGACCAAGAACCCGATGATCACTCTTGACAGAGCTCCAGAGTTCCTCTGTGGAGATGGGAGAACCTTCCAGAAGGACAACCATCTCTGCAGCACTCCACCAATCAGGTCTTTATGGTAGAGTGGCCAGACGGAAGCCACTCCTTAGTAAAAGGCACATGACAGCCCGCTTGGAGTTTACCAAAAGGCACCTAAAGGACTCTCAGACCATGAGAAACAAGATTCTCTGGTCTGATGAAACTAAGATTGAACTCTTTGGCCTGAATGCCAAGCGTCACGTCTGGAGGAAACCTGTCACCACCATGGGTATGTTCTTTCAGTGGCAGGGACTCGGAGGCGAGGGAAAGATGAACGGAGCAAAGTACAGAGAGATCATTGATGAAAACTTGCTCCAGAGCGCTCAGGACCTCAGACTGGGGCGAAGGTTCACTGTCCAATAGGACAACGACCCTAAGCACAGAGCCAAGACAATGCAGGAGTGGCTTCGGGACAAGTCTCTGAATGTCCTTGAGTGGCCCAGCCAGAGCCCGGACTTGAACCCGATCGAACATCTCTGGAGAGACCTGAAAATAGCTGTGCAGCGACGCTCCCCATCCAACCTGACAGAGCTTGAGAGGATCTGCAGAGAAGAATGGGAGAAACTCCCCAAATACAGGTGTGCCAAGCTTGTAGCGTCATACCCAAGAAGACTCGAGGCTGTAGTCGCTGCCAAAGGTGCTTCAACAAAGTACTAAGTAAAGGGTCTGAATACATATGTAAATGTGATATTTCCATTTTTGTATTTATTATAACTTTCAAAAAAATTATAAAAACCTAAAAAAGGAAACCAGACCGCGGAATTCAAGCATACCAAACTCAGACCACCTCTCGAGATGGTCTCAGTTCTGTTCGCTTCGGGGCTCTTTTGGAGGGGTCTGAGTTCCATTGGAGTATTCACGCTGCTCAAAAAATTAAGCGAACAGCACTGTTCACAAAAATTGGCTGAAATGGACCATGTGTGAAAACATACTAACAAGCGTGTCTTTTCAGCAACATAGTGACAGAGGAGACGCAGTAACTCGGGAACAGGGTCTGACACTACTGAAATGGTGCTACGTGGAGAGTCACAAGCTACTACAGAAAATACAAGGTGCAATATCTAAGATGGCATTTAATTTAAGCTAGCACCCCCAAAAAATGTCATACAGATAATAAAGTCTCACTGTGGTCCTCTGTAGCTCAGCTGGTAGAGCACGGCGCTTGTAACGCCAAGGTAGTGGGTTCGATCCCCGGGACCACCCATACACAAAAATGTATGCACGCATGACTGTAAGTCGCTTTGGATAAAAGCGTCTGCTAAATGGCATTTTTTTTTTTTTTTTTTTTCTCATCCCCCCTCTCTCCTCCCCTCCTCTCTCTCCACCCACCCCATATTCCCTCACCTCCTCTCCATCCCTTTCCACCCCCTCACCTCCCTTTCTCTGCAGGTGTACCTGCGGTGCCGGCCCATGTCCAATTGGAGTTGACAGTGGTGTATAACTGCTGTCTGTTCTCCTTCAGTCAGACACAATTCACTGAGGCAGAGCATCTCCTCACACACAGCCTGGAGAGAGGTACGAAACACATGCACGCACACGCGCACACACCCACACTCACTCACACAGGTAGGAAACACACACATCTATCATTGCCCTCTCCCCCATCTGTCTCACCTCACCCCCTACCCTTTGTGCAGCTCTAGGGGCTGTAGGTTGTGATCGTCCTCCTCCCGAACCCCGGGTGTTCTGGTGTACGGTTCTAAAGTCCCTGGGTTCCACATCTTCCCTGCGCTCCTGCACTCTGCAGCTGCTCTGTCTGCACTGGGCTCTCTGGCTGTCTACCTGCAGACTGGGGCACATACAGGAGTTGCAGGTAGTGTGTGTGTGACCAACCTGTTACTGGATTTCTCTGTGTGTGAAACACTAGTATTAGCGTATTAGGTCATGATGAAGTAATCAGAAATGAGGTCTTGAAACAATAACTCTTTGACAGTTACACACTGACATCACATCACAAATGTTCATGTTGTTTTTCTGGTTCTCTCTGTCTGCAGGAAGAGCTGCGATCTCTCTCTGAGGGACTGGGGGCAGGAGAAAGGGATGACAGGAGGGCGGCAGGAGAGGTGGCTGTGGAGATGAGTGCAGTGAGGCCAGCGGTGCTAGTGCACCCCAGGGATCTAAAGGATCTCCTTCTCATCTGCACTGTCATCGCTCAAGGTCTGAACCATTCAGCGCTTCCCATGCTGGTTAGTTTAACCCTTACCTGTCCAAGGTCAGAGAGGTTAACCGTTACCTGTCCTTACCTTTGCAGGTGCTGAGCTGCTGTGTGAGGGGCAGTGTTCAGAGGCCCTGACTGTTCTTCAGAGAGACCCCTCCCCGTTGGCCCCCAGAGACCTGCTGGCCCAGATACACACTCTCACAGGCCTCTGCCTCAGCCGCACGGTAAAAACACACACACACACACACACCTCACAAGCCCTTCAGATGCATGGTGAGAGAGCGAGTGATGACCACGGAGATGTGTGTGTTTATGTGCAGGGTCGTCCCCACAGTGCTGTGCAGTGTTATAGGAAGGCGTTGGAGACCGACGTGAGGTGTGTGTGTGCGCTGCACCAGAGCATCCTGGTCTACAGGCAGCTGGGAAACACACAAGCAGAGATCCAGGCACTACGTCTGCTACACTCAGTGAGTGACACACACAGAATAAAGGCATCTGTCTGAGGCAGTACTTGACTGAGATGTGATGGGTCTTGTGTCTGTACCAGATTCTGATGATGCCACCTGCCACCCAGCCTGCTGTGGCCCCACCTCCTATCGTCTGCCCCGCCTCTCTGCTCCCTGGCCAATCCCTGTCCAGCCTGCTTTCAGTCCCTTCCCCGCTCAGCGTACTACACAGTCTGGCTCAGAAGTGTGTGCTCCACGGAAGGCAAGTTCCCTGACAGCCAACATTGTTGCTCAATTCCATAACGACACACCTCCTAGGAATTTCTTCAGATCTGAGAGGGTTACATTTGTACCACTATGTTGTTTATCTTGTAGTGTGCTACCCTATTGTTGTGTGTTTGTGTTGTAGTGTGTCAGAGGGAGTAGAGCATTACCTGGACCTCCTAGCTTTTCTTCAGTCAGACCACCAGCTGTCTCAGGGGTTCTCTGAGGCCCCTCCCCTCCCCAGGTTACCTGAGCTCTACCTGGAGGCTGGCTCCTCCCTGCTGACGGCCCAGCAGCCTGCCGACTGCCTGGCGCTATGTGATGAGGTCATCAGTACGACTCTGGAGCTGCTCCCAGAGAGGCTGTTGCTGGAGGAGCCCATGGAGGCGTCTGTGCATGGGTCTCCAGACAAGCTGGGGTTAGGCCAGGACAGGCTGGGTGTGGTGCTGTGGTCTGGGGCTGCCTACCTTCTCCAGGCCCACTGCTACTCCCACCTCAAGGACTGGAAGCAGGCTGTCACCCACTACACCAGGTGAGTCTCATATCACATCACACTTCTTCCACTGCACCAGGTGAGTCTCACATCGCATCATCAAAATTCACCCACTACACCATGTGACATCACATCGATGTTCCCATTAGACTGGTCGGGTTACCGACTCCACCAGGTGATCATCAGTCCTTACACCTGAGTGCTGAAACTGTGTCTTCTAGTTCTGAGGGAGTGTGTTGTGGGTTCCAGTTCTGAAGGAGTGTGTTGTGGGTTCCAGTTCTGAAAGAGTGTGTTGTAACGTGTGGGTTCCAGTTCTGAAGGAGTGTGTTGTAACTTGTGTGTTCCAGTTCTGAAGGAGTGTGTTGTAACTTGTGTGTTCCAGTTCTGAAGGAGTGTGTTGTAACTTGTGTGTTCCAGTTCTGAAGTAGTATGTGTGTTGTGTTTCAGGTGCATCAACCTGCTGATGAAGGTGTGTATTAAACAGAAAGGTGAGTATTCAGACTGGCCGCTTGGACATGTATCAATTCATGTTGTGTGTGTGTGCGTATATATATATATATATATATAGTTTGTTGATTTGTGTATCTGGAGGTTGTCTTGACGTGGGATGGTGTTGTATTGATGTTGGGTTGCAGGCTGTGTGAAGCAGGAGCTAGGTGTTAGGACCCTGCAGAGGCTGAAAGGGCTGGCTCTGGCAGGGAGAGGAATCAGCTTCACACACAGAGACCAGAAGAGGGAATCCCTGAGAGACCTACAGCTCAGCCTGCAGGCTGCACCAGGTAACTACAGGGTTAAATTGTCTTTATGTAGACTTGTATCTAGTAGTCTAGTAAGTAATACATTATTGTAATCCAGCCCCTGGGTGTGCATACATACATACATACATACATACATACATACATACATGCATGCATGTGGCTGTCTGTCTGTGTCTTCAGGGTGTGTGAGCACTGGGCAGTGGCTGACCGAGGTGCTATGGAGGCTGGGGAGGAAACAGGAGGCTGCAGCCTGTTGGGAGAAGACCCAGAGCTCCAGCACAGCTCCATCATTAGAGTAAGACGACATCCGTGGTCAATGGTTCACTACAGATGCTCACCTGGATTTACTCGCAATACAAATGGAAAAACATGTAGAAAAACGTTGTTTTGAGTATAAGATTGAGAGTTATAGGTGTCATTTGAGACACATCCTAACCCTCTGCTTGTCTGCATTCTCTCCTTCAAGAGGTGTTCCCCTGTACCTGCTGGACCGCCAGACTGGCCCCTCCCTGGACCTCACTGACCTCCGACGCAGAGTGGAGGAGTTCACCAACACTCAGCACAGCTAGGGGGTGTCTCCAGAAACACTGGCGTGTCCTCATAAACTCTGGGATGTCCTCATAAGGCTTAGTAAGCCCTGTACCTGGGACAAGCAGGTTTTACCCACCCAACATAGTGTGAGGTTCATACCCTGGATGAATTGGAGTTCCAATTAAGTGGAGTTTAAACTCTGTTAACCTCTGAAGCCCAGCCGAGATTTGGGAGGATGGCCACTCGAGACTAGAACTCTGTAGACCAACTGTGCCACTGTGAGCCATAGCCATACTGCCTGGTGAGGTGAATTGAGTTCACTCATACAGAAGGAACAGGACAGGCAACTATTTGGGAATGCCACAGTGCTCTGTCTAAGTGACTTGTGTAATAATGTGTCAGTAGTACATTATTGTGATATGACAAATATGATACTGTGTTGCCTAATTTCTGTAAATATGTAAAAATGTTGTTTGAATTTATTTCATATTTAGTCAGCAGCATAAAGAGTGTGGTTTATCTCTACTCTGTTGGTTATTGTTTTAATGAATGTTCAGCGTGGGAGATTTGGAGCTAGCAAGCTACTGTTACCGGTAAAAAAAAAACATTGTGAGATGTCTCTCTATTTGGATATTAGGATGAACTTGTGCTATAAGGTTAGATCTAGAGAGATAATATTATAAAGCAATACAGTGATGATATAAAGTCGGCGTGAAATGGAGGATTGCACTTGTTTTACGCCCCAGCAAACCGAGGCAGGAGTCGAGGTATGGACCATAGAATGGACCGATTATGCACCTCTAAGCCGGTTTGAATAAATCGAGTGCATCTGCTTGGTCGCTATAACCTCAACGCGGTGCACTCTGATTGGAATATAGCAGTTTAATGACAGGCGCCTTAGCCAATGGGTCTGAGCACATGGACGTCCCCACTGACTGTCTGAATCCAATTGGTCATGAATTTCACTATGTTCTCTAGAACATCCAATGTGTTTGGTTTCTCGTATGCAGGAGGTTTGTCCTTTTATGCATCGCTTTGAGAGCGAACTGTGTTTGTGAGCTCAAATCGAGTCGATAACAGTAGCAATAGGAACTGAAGAGAACGGGTGTGAAGTTACTTTGCCAGTGACGCTTCACAAATAGCTAGCTACTTTTTATTTATACATACTATTTCAGAATACCATGGCCTCGGGAGGAGAGTAAGTAGAAATGTGTTACTAGTTGGCTAACTAACGTTAGCTAAAAAGCCAACATATCTAGAAAAGTGTATTTTCACAAACGAATTACTAAACTCGGGTATTTTACCTCAGCCATCGTTAGCTAGCTAGTTAGCTAGCTAACGTTAGCATAGTACATGTCATAACGTTACGGTTTATTTAAGAATTTACTTGGCTAACTAACGTATAAGCTAATATACAGTGTTATTGGGACCAGTTATTGGAATGACCCAAACTACTGTTCGTGATTGACAAACGTTTGTAGGTAGGTAACTTAGTTAGCTTACTTAGCTTGACAAAGCGTAGTTAGCTGGGCCTACCGGCACATTTTACTATGTTAGCTAACTAGCCCGTGACTCGCTGGCCTGCTGGCTTGACAAGCTCATCCAACGACCATGATGATAAATTAGAGGCAGGAAATGTCTAAGTCACTGCCAACTCAATTCGTTAACGTTAGTTAGCTAACTAGCTGGCTAGCTACCTAACGTTAGGTAACGTAAGTAGCAAGCTAACTCAAAGCTGGGTGTAAATGTCGGCCTTGTCACTAGCTAACATACTAGCCTAACGTTACCAGCCTAGCTAACTAATAAACTGCTCTTTCGAAGTGGTATGATGGTTTAGGTAATTTAGGATAATGGCATATTGCGAAAATGTAAACTAGATATCTAGCTAATGCAATAAGGTTACGATACCGAACTAACTAACGTTAGTTACATCAATCTTTAGCTGGTTTAAATATCCGTAGCTTGCCAGCTCGGGATCCCAAAAGTTGTCCTTTTGCTGTGTCATCTGCTCGCCGCTGCTGGGATAACGGTAGCTAGTTAGCCAACATTAGCTAGCTGGCGATGAAATAACAGCATTGATGCTAGCTATTATGGCTAGCTGATTATGAAACTGAAAATGACGTTGCTGGATCAATATTAGGAATAGGACATGGACTGAATGTGTATGGAGTAACAACTGCGAATTATCCGACGGTCAAGTTTGAGTTTTAACTTGTCGCTTTTGTTTCTGTGTTTGAACTAGATCCAAAAATGATGACCTTTCCACTGCGATTCTGAAACAGAAGACCAGACCAAACAGATTGATTGTCGATGAATCCATCAATGAGGACAACAGTGTGGTCTCTCTCTCTCAGGTAGGCCTAAATTACAGGTAATTGGGTGGATTTGTGTTCACATTTAGAATCCCAGAATTTGATTATTCTGGTTCAAAGAAACCATGTGTTATTTTGATACTGCTTCTTGTGTGGAAAAGATCTGGTCCTGCATTCTACGTATTTAGTACACTTAGTGAAATTAATGTCATTCATGCTCTGTTTTTAGGCAAAGATGGATGAGCTGCAGCTGTTCCGTGGAGACACAGTGCTGATGAAGGGGAAGAAGCGCAGGGAGTCTGTGTGTATCGTCCTGTCTGACGACACCTGCTCTGATGAGAAGGTCCGCATGAACCGTGTGGTCCGCAACAATCTCCGTGTCCGTCTGGGGGATGTCATCAGGTACACACACACACACACACCTGTATATGTACATAATATGCCCAAAGCAAATTGAGATGAGTGATGTGTCTCTATTTATCCTGCTACAGTATCCAGCCGTGTCCTGATGTGAAGTATGGGAAGAGGATTCATGTTCTGCCTATTGATGACACAGTGGAGGGGATCACTGGCAACCTGTTTGAGGTCTACCTCAAACCCTACTTCCTAGAGGCCTACAGGCCCATCCGCAAGGGTCAGTACACACACACACCTGTTACCAATCATTTGGTTTCAAAACTGAGACCGTGAACAGTAGTGTTTTTTCCATATTTAATTCTGTAATATGTAATTGTGTGTAGGTGATATCTTCCTGGTTCGGGGGGGTATGCGTGCGGTGGAGTTCAAGGTGGTAGAGACAGACCCCAACCCCTACTGCATCGTCGCCCCAGATACAGTCATCCACTGTGAGGGAGAGCCTATCAGGAGAGAGGTGGGTCACAACCTACACCATCACTTGTGGGCAGAGCACACTTCATTTAGCCTATGGAAATCTAGGAGGGGGGGGGGGGAATCTGTATTGAATCGGGACCTATGCATCCTGAAGTCCCTGCCAATAGATTTTTAGTCATTTAGCAGACGCTCTTATCCAGAGCGACTTACAGGAGCATTTAGGGTTAAGTGCCTTGCTCAAAGGCACATCGACAGATTTTTCACCTAGTCGGCTCGGGGATTAGAACCAGCGACCTTTCGGTTACTGGCACAACGCTCTTAACCACTAAGCTACCTGCTGCCCAATACCCGGCAAACGGTAAGCAAACCTACTCTCAAACCTCAGACTTACTTCTGTGTGTGTTTCCTGTGTGTGTAGGATGAGGAGGAGTCCCTGAATGAGGTGGGCTATGATGATATCGGAGGAGTGAGGAAGCAGCTGGCTCAGATCAAGGAGATGGTTGAGCTGCCTCTAAGACACCCTGCACTGTTCAAGGCTATAGGAGTCAAGGTAAAACACACACAGAGCTCCTATCTTCTAGGCCAGGCGTATTCAACTCTTATCCTACGAGGTCTGGAGCCTGCTGGTTTTTGGTTCTACCCGATAATTAATTCCACCCACCTGGTGTCCCAAGTCTAAATCAGTACCTGATTAGAGGGGAACAATGGAAAAAAGAAGTGGATCTGGCTTCGAGGTCCAGAATAGAGTTTGACAGAGGGCCTAGAACCGTCAGCCTCTACCCACTGTTTCTTGAATAGTAGAGTTTAAATCATGCTTTCTAAAGTCAAGGAATTCAATTGGCTTAAGCATAGGAAGCATTTTGTTGTATTGGAAACGTGTTCTAATGTCCCCTGTCAACAACACTAAGGAGATTGACATGTACCTCTACTCTCCTCCAGCCCCCCCGTGGTATCCTGCTGTACGGACCTCCCGGTACAGGAAAGACCCTGATTGCCAGAGCTGTCGCTAACGAGACCGGAGCCTTCTTCTTCCTCATCAACGGTGAGATGCTAAACCTTACCCTTTCCCTGGTAGAGGATCACTGTCCATGATTTACATTTTAGTCATTTAGCAGACGCTCTTATCCAGAGCGACTTACAGTTAGTGAGTGCATATATATTTCTTCATGATGTCACTACTCTTTTGTCATTTTGTGGTAGCTGTTTTGATGTTGCTCTGTTTGACCCTTTTCTCGCTGTCTCTGTGTCTGTCCGTGTGTGCGTAGGTCCTGAGATCATGAGTAAGCTGGCTGGAGAGAGTGAGAGCAACCTGAGGAAGGCCTTTGAGGAGGCTGAGAAGAACTCTCCTGCCATCATCTTCATTGATGAACTGGATGCTATCGCTCCCAAGAGAGAGAAGGTGAGGAGAGGGGGAATGGGTATTAACGGTGTGTGTCGGTTGATGTGCAGAACAGAATAATCAAAATGGAATACAAAGGAACCTGAAATCCCCTCTAAAGGACCATAATAGGTCACCCAACAATGACATTGTATCACTTTTCAAAAATGACCCAAGTGTAGCAGCTATAAACAGTGATCTGACATTTTCTGTAGACCCACGGTTAGATGGAGTGGCATATCATGCTTTTATGTTAACCGTGTGTGTTTGTAGACTCATGGAGAAGTGGAGAGGCGTATCGTGTCTCAGCTGCTGACCCTGATGGACGGGCTAAAGCAGAGGGCTCATGTCATCGTCATGGCAGCCACCAACAGACCTAACAGCATAGACGCTGCACTTAGAAGATTTGGTACGTATACACACTTTATCTGTTGGTTACAAGGTGTTTTGATGTTTTATTGGTCAGACGTTGTATACTGGTTGCAATAATATGTGTGTGTCCAGGGCGTTTTGACAAGGAGGTGGACATTGGAATCCCTGATGCTACAGGCAGACTGGAGATCCTGCAGATCCACACCAAGAACATGAAACTGAATGATGATGTTGACCTTGAGCAGGTGTGTGCTGACTATTTTGGCTGTGTCTCAAATGGCACCCTATTCCCCACAGCCCTGGTCAAAAGTTGAGCACTATTTAGGGAATAGGGTGCCATTTGGGACGCCGTCTTGTTAGGTGGCTGACACACATTCGCCTAGGGCTGGGCGATATGGGCCAAATATCATATCACTGTATTTCTCTCGGTATTTGATGTTTCTGAATAATCGTTATATAATGTATGCTTTGAGTAGTTCATGGCAACAAATTAATTCTAAGTAGTTTTAAAGGGTTTTCTCCTTTCTGATTTGCTTTATACCGTTCAACCAAATATAGAGGCCAAACTGACAAAGTATTCCTATTTGTACAACCTTGCATATGAATCAAAATCATTTTTTTTGGCCTCAAACTGGTACTCGACCAATGGTGGCTGTTTGCATTATTATTTGTTCAATTCCAGCATTTTCATCATTTTGAATTGCATGCGCTAATTTATCATTTACAGTGTCACATTTATTTTGTCTTATTTGTCTATTTCTTAAACTCTTTTCCTTTATGAGAATAATTATTCTCCTCTGACTATTTTCGGCTTCAATTGCAGTTGTTACTTTAGCTTCTAGTCGGCCCATTTCTCGGGATCTATTTGGCAAGCTAGAAAGTTAGCTAGCAGTTCTTACTGCCGATTTAAAAACGTATGATTATGGTGATCTTTGAAACATTACTGAACTTTAATGTAACAAATCGAACATAAAAATACTGTTATAGAAGGTAAAGTAAAAATCCAAACCGGTCCGTGATGGATACTAGTATCGTTTTTACGGTTTCTGCCCAGCCCTGCATTTGCCAAACCCATTTAACTGGCAGCATTGTGTTCTGAGGGAGGCCTGCATGTGTTAACTCCCAGTCTTGTGTGTAGGTGGCTAATGAGACCCACGGCCACGTGGGTGCTGACCTGGCTGCCCTATGCTCAGAGGCTGCGCTCCAGGCCATCAGGAAGAAGATGGACCTCATCGACCTGGAGGACGAGACCATCGATGCGGAGGTCATGAACTCCCTTGCCGTTACCATGGACGACTTCAGGGTAAGAAACACACTACCAAGTGTAAACTACGTCACTACGTAGGGTAGACTAAACACAATATCACAACCCTGTATATGCTAATTATACATCTACCTGTTATATATAATTAATTAAATGTGTGTTTGTCTTTCAGTGGGCTCTGAGCCAGAGTAACCCATCAGCTCTGAGGGAGACCGTGGTGGAGGTTCCTAACATCACCTGGGGGGACATCGGAGGACTGGAAGACGTCAAGAGGGAGCTGCAGGAGCTGGTGCAGGTAAGACGCGCGCGCGCGCGCACACACACACACACACAGTTTAACCTTACACACATTGTCATACCTAATTACCTCTATCTTTCTTTTCCCTGTAGTACCCAGTGGAGCACCCAGATAAGTTCCTGAAGTTCGGTATGACCCCTTCAAAGGGAGTGTTGTTCTACGGGCCCCCGGGTTGCGGTAAGACCCTGCTGGCCAAGGCCATTGCCAACGAGTGCCAGGCCAACTTCATCTCCATCAAAGGACCTGAGCTTCTCACCATGTGGTTTGGAGAGTCAGAGGCTAACGTCAGGGAGATCTTTGACAAGGTATGACTTAGAAGTGACTCACCAAAAATAAGTGAACATTTTGTATTAGTGCACTATGGTAGATTCTAAATCAACATGGAGAAAAACTGTGGTCTTAGCATTGAACCCTGCGGCACACCACTACACCCTTTTCAATACTATATGGTTTAATCTCCTGTGTGTTTCTCTGTGTGCAGGCTCGCCAGGCAGCCCCATGTGTGTTGTTCTTTGACGAGCTGGACTCCATAGCGAAGGCCCGTGGCGGTAATGTGGGAGACGGTGGCGGAGCGGCCGACCGTGTCATCAACCAGATCCTGACTGAGATGGACGGCATGTCCAGCAAGAAGAACGTCTTCATCATTGGAGCCACCAATCGCCCTGACATCATCGACCCTGCCATCCTCCGACCCGGCCGTCTGGACCAGCTCATATACATCCCTCTGCCTGACGAGAAGAGCAGGATCAATATTCTCAAGGCTAACCTCCGCAAGAGCCCCATTAGCAAGGTAAAACACAGTTCATAAACGGTACACCCTCCTACGCCTGTCATCATGCCAATGTAGCAAGGGCTGATGATGCAGTTATAATATAAATGTAACAAGATTTAGTGGCTCACACCAATATGTAAGATGTTTCAGGTGCTATAGATCTGTCATATAACCTTGAAGGTCAGTTGTTAAACCCTGTCTCTTCCGTCTGTCCTGTAGGATGTTGATCTGGACTTCCTGGCTAAGATGACCAATGGGTTCTCGGGTGCTGACCTTACAGAGATCTGCCAGCGGGCCTGTAAGCTGGCTATCAGAGAGTGCATTGAGAACGAGATTCGCAGAGAGAGGGAGAGGCAGACCAACCCCTCTGCCATGGTCAGCTCACACACCTCAGTCCTTCACTCAATCTTTCTCTCTCGCTCTCCTTTTCTCTTTTTCAATGAACCTTTCTCCTCCTCGTCTCCAGGAGGTGGAGGAGGACGACCCTGTGCCTGAGATCAGGAAGGACCACTTTGAGGAGGCCATGCGATTCGCCCGCCGCTCCGTCAGCGACAACGACATCCGCAAATACGAGATGTTTGCCCAGACACTGCAGCAGAGCCGAGGATTTGGCAGCTTCAGGTACGTGTGTGACTGCAGGGGTTTGTGTGACTGCAGGTGTGTGTAACCGTGTTTAATGGTTAATATTGTTTTTCTCCCAGGTTCCCCTCCAACGCTGCAGGAGGCAGCGGTCCCAGCCAGGGTACCGGGGGCACTGGCGGGGGGCCAGTGTTTAACGAGGATAACGATGACGACCTGTATGGATAGATGGACAAACAGACGGATGGATGGTGCCACATGGTGGCCAGCTCTGTTATCATACCTGTACAAACACTCAAACCCAATTGACCATTTTTAGGACTCTGTGCTTCTTTCATGTGTTTCTTTTTGTATGATGATTGCTCTCTGGTGGAGAAAACATGTAGCCTGGTTTGATCTGGAAGGGGGGCAGTGGATATAGGTGAAAAGTTAAAGGTGAAAAGTTAAAGGTGATTGGTTGACTGATGTGGGGGGGTAGGGGGGCTTGAGTGGCCTCATTCTGAGTTTATTTCAATCCCATGTGACTGCCTTTAGTGGTGGGATTCTATGCGAGACTATAAGAAAGGGGGGAAAAAAGATAGCTAATGACTTAATTTTTTATGAGTAGTAGCATATAATGTATGACAAGTTTGAAAATGTTGAAAATAAAATCTCACGAAATGACAATGTAGTTTGACGTTATTGATATCTGTTCCCATTCCTTGTTTGACACTTGGTTCACTATAACAGTTGTCTAACCAGTTTCTCATTCCTTTAGATGAGATGTCAGAGGTCTGACCAACTGTAGTTGGGGGGGGCGTCAATGTAAATAGTCTGGGTGGCCATTTGATTAATTGTTCAGCAGTCTTAGGGGTAGAAGCTGTTTAAGGAGCCTTTTGGACCTAGACTTGGCACTCTGGTACCACTTGCCGTGGGGTAACAGAAGAGTATGACTGGAGTCTTTTGACAATTTTTTGGGCCTTCCTCTGACCCGCCTAGTATAGAGGTCCTGGATGGCAGGAAGCTTGGCCCCAGTGATGTACTGGGCTGTACGCACTACTCTCTGCAGCGCCTTACGGTCGGATGCCGAGCAGTTGCCATAACAGGCGGTGATGCAACTGGTCAGGATGCTTTCGATGGTGCAGCTGTAGAACTTTCTGGGGACCCATGCCAAATCTTTTCAGTCTCCTGAGGGGGAAAATATGTCTGCCCTCTTCATGACTGTCTTGGTGTGTTTGGACCATGATAGTTTGGCTTGTTGAGTAGGAGTGTCAACCCTAGTGTCCTTCCAAACCTGGTCACCGTACCACCATGGCCACCTACTCATCCCTGGCTTCCAATGGCCTCGTAGCGTTAAATACCTGTAAATTACAATGGACAGGAGTTGAATGCACGAGCTGTCGTTAACATTTATATCCAAAATGGTGGCCATTGTTTCAATGTCTGCAATCCCTTATCTGACCACACTGTGTCACACTTACCTGAACAGACCATCCCAGGGTGCAAATAAAAAACACCATTTAAACTTTGACCACATGAAATTGATGTTGACTGTCTATATTCAAGTGTATTTAATGAGACTATGAGTGCGTTCTTCTGTCTACAAGTGTAAATGGGTTATTTGCATGTGGGCTGTTTCGGGCCCCGTTGTTCCTCTGTAGATGCGTAAAGTCCGTTTTGCATGTTTTCCAACAGTTTGGGTTACAGATCAACAGATCCAGCCAAACTTTGAACTTTGTCTAAAACCAGCGTGACTCCTGAGCATCACACACTCTGGCTGACAGACATCTGATAAGAACTATCACTCCTTACTGTTCCTTACTCTAGCATGTTATACACGGACATAACTTCTCACATTACAGAGAACCTTTACTCTTTCCACAGGTGGAAAGGCGCCATAATGTTTGTGACTGAGCTGCACTATGGTGTCTTTAATTCTTTCATCACTATTTGCTCACAATGCGGTTCAGCGCAATGTTGAAAGGGTAGCAATCTACTGGAACAAACTCAATTGAAGCTGAAACAAGTAGCGGCAGGGGGTAGGGGGGATTCTGACCTCAGACCACTCAACCTATTTTGGGCATTGTACTTTAATACAATTCTATATCACGTGACATACTGTAGTACAGGATTATAATACTATGATGTTACTTAGTAATGTGCGCTCATCAAGCCAGCCTGTGACTGTCATAGTTGGATCAACTATTTAGCTATAGAAAATAAGTTAATATACTTATATTATGATGGGTTCAGAGAGAGTGTTTGAAAGAGAGACAGAGAAAAGGGAGGATTTGGCTGTTTTAACTGTACTATGGGGTATCATATCCCCGTCTCAGATATATGCGAAATAAATGAGAAAGCATGTGCATGCTCGCAACTGAAGAAAACAAATCTAGTGAAATTGCAAAAAAAAGTGTCTGGACACCTATAATATGCCATTGGCATAAGAAATTGAGATTGTCCTTTAATGCTTATTCAAAAACCTTAACCTGTGTGTATGGTTTGATTATCTGCGTCTCTCTGTAGGTGAAGCAGGAGGTGCTGGCGGCTCTAGACTGTGGCTACAAACACATTGATTGTGCTGCAGCTACAGTAACGAGCAGGAGGTGGGTGTGGCACTGGCTCTGAGGCTGGGACCAGGAAAAGTGAACCACACACACACTACGTTTCCAGGGCTGTTCTACGCTTCCGGGACCATTCCGGGACCATTCTGACACAAACACAATAATCAGGTAAAGGAAAAGTAGAAGTTTGATCGAAGAGCATTAGGAAAACTCTTTTGAAAAGCTGTGCATGTACACAACATCACCAAAAGTATGTGGACACCTGCTCGTCGAACATCTCATTCCAAAATCATGGGCATTCATATGGAGTTGGTCCCCCCTTTGCTGCTATAACAGCCTCCACTCTTCTGGGAAGGCTTTCCACTAGATGTTGGAACATTGCTGCGGGGACTTGCTTCCATTCAGCCACAAGAGCATTAGTGAGGTCGGGCACTGATGTTGGGCGATTAGGCCTGGCTCGCAGTCGGCGTTCCAATTCATCTCAAAGGTGTTAGATGGGGTTGAGGTCAGGGCTGTATGCAGGCCAGTCAAGTTTCTGTATTGACCTCGCTTTGTGCACAGGGGCATTGTCACGCTGAAACAGGAAAGAGCCTTCCCCAAACTGTTGCCACTAAGTTGGAAGCACAGAATCGTCTAGAATGTCATTGTTTGCTGGAACTAAGGGGCCTAGCCTGAACCATGAAAAACAGTTCCAGAACTTTATTCCTTCTCCACCAAACTTTACAGTTAGCAATATGCATTGGGGCAGGTAGCTTTCTCCTGGCATCCGCCAAACCCAGATTCGTCCGTCGGACTGCCAGATGGTGAAGCGTGATTCATCACTGCAGAGAACGCGTTTCCACTGCTCCAGAGTCCAATGGCGGCGAGCTTTACACCACTCCAGCCGACGCTTGGCATTGCGCATGGTGATCTTAGGCTTGTGTGCGGCTGCTCGGCCATGGAAACCCACTTCATGAAGCTCCCAACGAACAGTTCTTGTGCAGACGTTGCTTCCAGAGGCAGTTTGGAACTCTGTAGTGAGTGTTCCAACCGAGGACAGACGATTTTTACGTGCTTCAGCACTCAGCGGTCCCATTCTGTGAGCTTGTGTGGCCTACCAATTTGCGGCTGAGCCGTTGTTGCTCCTAGACGTTTCCACTTCATAATAACATCACTTACAGTTGACTGGGGCAACTCTAGCAGAGCAGAAATTTGACGGTGCCACATTGAAAGTCACTGAGCTCTTCAGTAAGGCCATTCTACTGCCAATGTTTGTCTATGGAGATTGCATGGCGGTGTGCTCGATTTTATACACCTGTCAGCAACGGTGTGGCTGAAATAGCCGAATCCACTAATTTGAAGGGGTGTCCACATACTTTTGTGTATATAGTGTATGTGTGTCACGTATTACATGCGCGTGTTGATCCCCTGTGGTGTCCCCCAGGCCCTGCGTCATGAGGATGTGTTTCTGACCTCTAAGCTGTGGAACACCCAGCATCACCGTGACTATGTAGAGACAGCCTGTAGGAAGAGTCTAATACACCTGGGACTGGACTACCTGGACCTCTACCTCATGCACTGGCCCATGGCCTCCCAGTGAGCAATACACCTAATCACACCTCGAATTTGACTGTCCTCACCTCAACAAACACACTTGTACTAGAAACCCTTCCCACACAGGTTGGTCCTCTGAGCTGCCTGTGTGTTCTCCAGGCGTGGGACAGAGCTGATGCCCAAGCGGGCCGATGGGAGTGTGTGTTACGACAACATACACTACTGGGAAACCTGGGTTGCCATGGAGAACCTGGTTGATAAGGGGCTGGTCCGAGCCATCGGTCTGTCCAACTTCAACGGCAGACAAACAGATGATGTCAACACCCTCGCCAAACACTGTGGTCAACCAGGTATGGGACTGTTTGTGTGTGTGTACAGTATGTTTGTGTAATCATGTCTGACTGTGTGTTGGTGTAACTCTGTGTCTTTGTAGGTGGAGTGTCCCAGGCCGAGCTGCTGAGTCACTGCAGGTAGGTGTTTGTGTGTGTGTGTGTATTCCAGGGCGGTAGATGTAGGTGTGACGGCCTACAGTCCCCTGGGTAGTGCTGACCAGCCCAGGGACTCGCCTGACGAACCCTGCCTGCTGCAGGACCCTGGACTGGGGGCTATCGCCAACCACCACAGAAAGACCCCTGCTCAGGTCATACTCACGTAACACTCAAACACTTCAGTGTAACTAACTAGCTGTAGTGTAATAGACAATGCTCATGTGTCTGTGTCTCTCTATGTCTCCAGGTGGCAGGTACAGAGAGGGGTGGTCTGCATCCCCAAGAGCGTCACTCCCTCCAGGATCCAGCAGAACCTGCAGGTCAGGGGGACAGCGCCATCTAGTGGAAACCAGTTTGGAAACTACTCACCTCTTCCCCCAAATGTGACTTTTCGCGAGAGATGGAGCTGGCTGAGTCTAGGAAACTACAGGCTATAATTCTGTGTAGCTGCTGTGATTGTTTTCTTGAATGGGCGTTTGTTTGTCTGATTGACAGGTGTTTGACTTCTCCTTTCGGATGAAGACCTGAAGCAGATCGAGTCGTTCAACAGAAACGAGAGGTACATCGTCCCGGCTGTGGAGGTAAATTCTGATTGTCTCAGATGAGACCTCAGGGTGCAGGTCAATAGTCTTATATACAGCCTCCTTCTTAGACAGGTGAAGAAGAGCAGATGAGGATGATACAGTGGGGAAAAAAAGTATTTAGTCAGCCACCAATTGTGCAAGTTCTCCCACTTAAAAAGATGAGAGAGGCCTGTAATTTTCATCATAGGTACACGTCAACTATGACAGACAAATTGAGAATTATTTTTCCAGAAAATCACATTGTAGGATTTTTAATGAATTTATTTGCAAATTATGGTGGAAAATAAGTATTTGGTCACCTACAACCAAGCAAGATTTCTGGCTCTCACAGACCTGTAACTTCTTCTTTAAGAGGCTCCTCTGTCCTCCACTCGTTACCTGTATTAATGGCACCTGTTTGAACTTGTTATCAGTATAAAAGACACCTGTCCACAACCTCAAACAGTCACACTCCAAACTCCACTATGGCCAAGACCAAAGAGCTGTCAAAGGACACCAGAAACAAAATTGTAGACCTGCACCAGGCTGGGAAGACTGAATCTGCAATAGGTAAGCAGCTTGGTTTGAAGAAATCAACTGTGGGAGCAATTATTAGGAAATGGAAGACATACAAGACCACTGATAATCTCCCTCGATCTGGGGCTCCACGCAAGATCTCACCCCGTGGGGTCAAAATGATCACAAGAACGGTGAGCAAAAATCCCAGAAACACACGGGGGGACCTAGTGAATGACCTGCAGAGAGCTGGGACCAAAGTAACAAAGCCTACCATCAGTAACACACTACGCCGCCAGGGACTCAAATCATGCAGTGCCAGACGTGTCCCCCTGCTTAAGCCAGTACATGTCCAGGCCCGTCTGAAGTTTGCTAGAGTGCATTTGGATGATCCAGAAGAGGATTGGGAGAATGTGATATGGTCAGATGACTTTTTGGTAAAAACTCAACTCGTCGTGTTTGGAGGACAAAGAATGCTGAGTTGCATCCAAAGAACACCATACCTACTGTGAAGCATGGGAGTGGAAACATCATGCTTTGGGGCTGTTTTTCTGCAAAGGGACCAGGACGACTGATCCGTGTAAAGGAAAGAATGAATGGGGCCATGTATCATGAGATTTTGAGTGAAAACCTCCTTCCATCAGCAAGGGCATTGAAGATGAAAAGTGGCTGGGTCTTTCAGCATGACAATGATCCCAAACACACCGCCCGGGCAACGAAGGAGTGGCCTCGTAAGAAGCATTTCAAGGTCCTGGAGTGGCCTAGCCAGTCTCCAGATCTCAACCCCAAAGAAAATCTTTGGAGGGAGTTGAAAGTCCGTGTTGCCCAGCGACAGCCCCAAAACATCACTGCTCTAGAGGAGATCTGCATGGAGGAATGGGCCAAAATACCAGCAACAGTGTGTGAAAACCTTGTGAAGACTTACAGAAAACGTTTGACCTGTGTCATTGCCAACAAAGTGTATATAACAAAGTATTGAGAAACTTTTGTTATTGACCAAATACTTATTTTCCACCATAATTTGCAAATAAATTCATAAAAAATCCTACAATGTGATTTTCTGGATTTTTTTTATGAGACTACTGAGATGCAGCCAATTCAGCTGAGCTTCAGTTGAGCCATGGGGTTTTGTGCTTGTACCGAATGGAACTGTGTGTGTTCTTTTCACAGAGGGATGGAGAGTGGAGGGACGCAGACCACCCTCATTTCCCCTTCAATGATCCTTACTGACCTGATCTAGAGACAGATCTACTGACCCCACATCTAGAGACAGATCTACTGATCCCACATCTAGAGACAGATCTACTGACCCCACATCTAGAGACAGATCGACTGACCCACATCTAGAGACAGATCTACTGACCCCACATCTAGAGACAGATCTACTGAATCCTCGTACATACAGTACCAGTCAAAAGTTTGGACACACCTACTCATTCAAGGGTTTTTCTTTATTTTTACTATTTTCTACATTGTAGAATAATAGTGAAGACATCAAAACTATGAAATAACATTTATGGAAACGTGTAGTAACCCAAAAAGTGTTAAACAAATGAAAATATATTTGAGATTTGAGATTCTTCAAAGTAGCCAACCTTTGCCTTGATGACAACTTTGCACACTCTTGGAACACTCCAACTGATCCAGTGTTCCGATGTATGGATATTTAATCTGTGAGATCATTGGACAATAAATGATGAATAAATCACCCTTTCCTTCCGCCCTTGAAGTAACCACAGAGCTGAGAGTGATGGATAGGTGAAAGCAGTAGAATGGGGCTCAGGTACAAATAACTCCTCCACTCCTCACATAAACACACAGGACCGTACATAGCTTAGTACTTGGTTTATTGGTTGTCATTGTAAAATTCAACTCACATAAGAATCTTTGTCAAAAGTACAGAAGCTGTGAAACAGTGAGAATCACTGTCGCAAGAAAACCCATTCTCACACAGCACCAGGCCAAGGCTCACTTTCTGCTCTAGCCCCACCCCTACCCCCATATCCCAGAGACCCTGTGGCTGCTCTGCTTGACAGGCATCATTATTAGATCCAGATTGAGTCCCTCTGATTTCTGTATCTCTTGGCTGTGTGTGAACATGAAAATATGTTTGGCACCACCTATAGGCAGGGCAGGGAACAACAACAGTATCACCCTGTTTCCTTAAATTCCTTATATTTCCACTATACTGTAGACCAGGGCTTTCCAACCCTGTTCCTGGAAAGCTACCCTCCTGTAGGTTTTCATTCCAAGCCCAGTTGTAACTAACCTGATTCGGCTTATCAACCTGCTAATTATTAGAATCAGGTGCGCTAAATTATGGTTGGAGTGAAAACCCACAGGACGGTAGCTCTCCAAGAACAGGGTTGGAGAGCCCTGCTGTAGACCTTCCTTCAATAGAAAACAAATTACAAGTGGCAAAAAGTGGACCAAGAAAAGGGTCTCCATTTGATATTGATAGTCCTGAAGTGATGTATGATAGTACCAGACTGATAGGTCCCTCAGCGCAGTACAGATCACTGCAGCCCCCATACAGTCAGTGCCAGAACACACTGGTAAGAGTACCAGCACCTAAAATGTTCTACTGCTTGAGTAGCAGCACTCTTATATATTTATATACATATCTAATCGCTTTAAAGAATTGCAGCGTTCCAGCTCTTAAATATAAACAGTACTGGCACCCAAAATGAGTACCAGCATCTATTTCACTCCTTCACTTCAAGCACCGCATACAGTATCAATCCCACTACACTCCCCACAGTCAGAAGACAGCATCCACAGTAGATCAGTCCTGGCTATCTGGGCAGGTTTACATTGAATGTGTTTCACAAAACTTATTTTAAAGTTTCATAGAAATGTGTCTTTATATTCTCTGCGTTTAACCTGTGGACACTGAGTGTGTGTGTGTGTCTCCAAGTTAAGGCACTTACCAGTCTCCCATTGAGTCAGGGAGAGCTTAAGGCAGTTATTAAAGACTCAGTCATTCCCTTTGAGACACACACCACAGGGATCAAAGCACCTAGAGATGACGGACAGGTGAATTCCGGTCCTGGAGGGCCAAAACACTTCTGGTTTTGGTTTCTACCTGGTAGTTAATTGCACTCACCTGGTGTCCCAGGTCTGAATCAGTCCTTGATTAGGAGAGGATGAAAACCAGAAGTTTCAGCCCTGACCTAGACGATGATGACCCATAGTGCAGGGGTATTCAACTCTTACCCTACGAGGTCTGGAGCCTGCTCACACCTGATGTCCCAGGTGTAAATCAGTCCCTGATTAGAGGGGAACAATGGGGAAAAAAGCAGTGGAACTGGCTTCAAGGTCCATAGTGGATTACACACTGCTGGGCTGCTGGGGGACTCAGCCAGTCAGGGTGTCTGGATCAGAGACATAGATACACAGAGTTCAGCAAACTGTCCACCATGTTACAACTAAACCTTCCCCAACAATGACATGCTCATTTACGCTTTGAGTGCTGATTATGGCGAGCAAATCCAAATCTCAAGACATGTTTGCCAAACTATACATCTATGTCATTGGTTCTGCACTGGGAGGAGCTGGTAGTAGTGGCTGTTGTATTAGCAGTAGCCGTGTCCAGCAGATAACCCATAGAGTTCACACATGATGCTTTATTAAACATAAGAAACAGAAACAGATGATTATGTTAAAATGGGGAGCAGAGACTGAAGCTGCTGGTTGGGTGTACAATAATAGAATCAACTTTCAACTCCTCTGTAAAATCCTGAACAATCTTCTCTTTTTCAAATAAAGTGTTCCTCTCAACTCATCCATAAGAAGAGAAGAAGAAGAGGATCGGGGGATGTATAAAACCCTTGATAAGTATGTAGAAAAAAGAGCGTTAAGAAAAGGAGTTCCGGTAAAAGCCAAAGCCACGCTGAGCCGTTCTTCCGTATCACTTCGCCATGTCCATTTGTGTGCGCTTGGGCAAAAAGAGAAAATAAACTAAAACATCCTAAAACTGGAGTTCCTCTTGGCACTTCTGTCATTCCCAGAAGAAAAAAACCTTTCCCTTAAAAATATGAGTGTCCATGTAACGTTGTATGGTAAAAACAGTGATTTCTTGAAATGAGGGAAGAGGGGTTGGGTCCAACTGGTAAAAATGGTTTGTGTGTATATGGTGGGGGGGCAATGAGTCTGTGGGGGAGGGGTGTTGTCCTAAGACTGGGGCAGGTGTTGTCTGATTATCTCTCTGGACTGGGGAGGGATCCTGTCTGGGAAGCGAACCGTGAACTCTACGATGAGGTCGCCGCACTGGGTGGGGCTCTTCGGGAGGGGCAGGCCCTCCCCCCTCAGCCGTTTTACTGTTCCCGGCTTTATGACGTCATGGCAGGTTAGCGGGATGACGCGGTTATCCAGGGTGGGAATGTTCACCGTACAGCCACACAGCGCCTGGGGGAGGGGGATATGACAGGGTTTACTACTGTATCATATAACACAAACATCTTCACTATATTTACTATATGACTGCTTCATTACAACAGTGATTCTCAATCCGTTCCTCTTGGCGTTGCACATATTTGTTCTATTCACACCCGATAATGACAAAGTCATATTTTGTTAGTTGTTAATTAATTCAGTGATTAAGAATAGGTGATAACGTGTTTCGGGAGCTATGGAGGTAGAACACTAGTATCTGTTCCAGTTCAGCAGTCTAGAACACAGGTTCAGCTGGAGAACATTAGGGAACATGACTTGGCGCTCAGAGTGGAACAGAATGACATCATCAGCTACAATGGATCACTCCCTCTCTGACACTAAAACAAGATTCCTAGTCTTGGAAACCCCGGTGTGTGTGTGCTTGTGTGTGTGTGTAGGGTTGATGGTTGGGGGGTTGTAGAGTGCACAGGGGGCTAATTTTAGAGTGTGGTCTCATTTCTACAGCTAATGAAGTAAGACTGAATCAGCTGAGGTCGTAGACACGCACACACAAACACACACACACAGAACCTGAAACCTGAGCGCCCAAAGAAGTAGGATGAAGTGTCCTATAGCCACTGATCTAAAGTCAGTTTTGCACCCTAATGATCAAGCTTAAAATTAAGTAAAAGTAAACTGATCCTAGATCTGCAACTCCTACCCAGAGCAGGCAGCACACCATATTAACTCCAACCCTAACCTAGGGCCAGGGTTGGGTAGTAACAGATTACATGTAACAGGGATTACTTAATCCGAATACAAAAACGAAGTAACTGTAATCAGCTTGGATTACTTACAAAAATGAATAATTGGATTATACTTGCATTCTTAAAAACAACTGATTACATTTGGGATTACTTCATCTAATCTCAACAGGAAACATTTATAAAACTTTGTCAGCATTAGCCCACTTTCATTTAGCACACCCAGCAACAAATTGTTGGTGCGACCATATCATGGGCTGGTAGCACCAACTGAAAATGTTAGTATGGAGCCCTGTGACTATGCTCTCACATCAAACATATGTGTTGTAGGATATTTATGCTTTCACAATAGTCCCCAATTTAGAAATAGTAATGTTACTAAATTAAATAATGCTATATTAGATGCACATTAAAAAAATGTTTTTAAATGTCTGGATGTTAGAAGTGAAAGTAATCCAAAAGAATGCGTTACTCATTTTGAGTAATCCAAAGGATTACGTTACTGATTACTTTATTTTTCATGTAACTAATCAGTAACAGATTACATTTTCCAAGTACAATTTGTAAATCGCTCTGGATAAGAGCGTCTGCTAAATGACGTAAATGTAAATGTACTCCGCCCAACACTACCTAGGGCTGGGTTTAATCAGTAGCGTCGAAGATCAGCGTTATAGTGTGATTGAAATTTAAAGGCAATGTTTCCGCGTTCATGGCGACTGCATTCTCGGTAAACGCTGCATATGTCACCTCAATCAAAAATTACCTTTACATTTCAACCTCGCTACAAAAAGTATATTCTGCGCTATGGATTGAATCCAGCCCCTTGACAGGTTGCCATGACACTGGAGGCACACAGACAGCTGACATAAGGCCAGTTTTAAGGATGTAAGCCTCAGCTCAGACATGGGAACACCAGAATAATATAGTCCACTCCTGATAAGTGCAAACTCTGATTAAGTGCAGTAGGCCTACAGTTTTCCAGTCCCAGTTCAATAACATGACACTCTTATGAATTGCATGTTCCAGTTTAGTGCTTACAAGTTGCCAAATCAGGTTTCAACAGAACAGTCCCAGTTAACAGTTGCCTAATCAAATGTTTACTGTTCCCTGCGCCTCAACCCCCCCCCCCCCCCCCCCCCCCCCCCCACCAAATATAAGGCATCCAAAAACTATTGCCTAAGCGTTATCACATGCTATGTTGTCTTAGCC